AATGAACTTTTTTGTTCATAAAGAATTCATAAATAGTTTCGTTACAAAACAAGCATTCATCAAACTCCGTTTTTGACATAGACTATTCAATTTTGTTGAAATACATTACTGCGGTGATATTAAAATTACTATTTTTAGAATGTTGACAAATTTTCGTACGATTTGGTAACAATGATTCGATTATTCGAGAACAATATAAAACGATACTTGAATTTTCTCGAAAATTTTGTCTAGTTACTCAAAAAATATCTCGACCAATAAATAACGAATGTGTAAAACAAGCGGAAAATGAAACACTTGCAAAACTACGTGAAACCGACGTAAAACCTGACTGCTATAGAAGCCTTGCGCGCCCACTAGCAGTGCAACAAGACAAGCGAAACATATTGAGTCTTTACGGTCCGTAGAGTCATTTTGAACTGTCAAAGGGCCGTGAGAGAGATAGAGAGAGAGAGAGAAGGGTTTTTCTCGCTTGCAACCATAAAACGGCCGTATAATCGACTTGTGCGCCCGCAAGGACAATTTACCGTGCACTCGAGCGAAACTGGCTTTCCTATAGCACGGCGCTCCGGCAGTTTTGTTCTCTAGGCACTTTGGATCCATATATACATCGTAAGGGTACTATCGAAGATTTTTATGCTAATTACTGCCAAACAAACATGATTCAACCAATTTTAATTTCAGTAACATATTCAAGTCTGATTAGAATTTCCTCGAAGAGAAAAGGGTGGGGTAAATTATTATAGACTTACTTTAAAGCTTTCTTAATAGATTCCACAACATAAAAGAAATAATTTATTTTGATTTTCATGAACAAAAAACTCTCATGTATAGATGTACGTGTAACAACGCGGATAAAGAATCAAGCAAAGGAGCTCACCACGACTACCACGACTGCTACCACGACGCGATAGTAATATATATTCCACCTCTCAAAGCATATAATAAGAATAAATGACGCGAGTCGTAAAAGCGAAAAACGAATGATTGGTAATCGATTGGATATTATCGGTATAGCGCTAAGATTTTGTAATGAGCCTTGCGGCAACTACATATACTTATATGGGAATATACTCGATTCACATCTACTTATACCGTCAAATAACGTATGCGAATTTCTGGTAGTCGCGAGGCGCGTTTTTCATTCCGCAGAACAACATATTAAATCAAATTCGTTGCACAAACAAAAATGATTGTTGAACAAGGAAATGCACTGGAACGCACGCACGTGCACATTCTCTCGGGGTTATATCAAACTTTGCGTGCATGTCTATATTCGAAAAAATCTGCCACCCACGCATCGACAACACACCCACTCGTACGCCTATTCAAGCACGCAATAACGTGACGCATCCGAGTTGCTTTATTACCACGCTGACTTTGAAAGATACGTTGCTGTTTGAAGTGAGATTTGACGATGAATTTTTCGAATTGCAGTGGCTGAATTCTTTTCTTCGCGAGAGTTCGTAATTGAACATTATATACTTAGCAGGAAAATTATTGATAATTCAAGAAATGTGCAAACGAAGACAAGTAAATAAGTAGTTAATTACTTTTTCACTTTGAGTAAATTATTATATAATATTTTTTTATCACATTAATTTCTACCTAGTTCCAACCTCATAATGTAAATTAACTTTATGATTTTATAACGCTCCTATGCTTGAACAAATATTTATTTTGAATGATGATATTATGTTGTATTAAATTGAGGAAATAAATAAATAATTTACCGACTTTTCTCGACAGATATTTCCGCAATCTGTTCTTCTGGGTTGGTGAAGATCCAATAGAAATGTTCTGTCAATTGTTGAAAATCTCAATTTGTCTGTAATGAACATTATGCGAGTGTTTCAATAGTCTGTCATATGAATAGAGTATAGAATAAATGAATAACAAACAAACGTAAAACGAAAAACTAGAACAGATATATGCAAAAGAAACGACGAGAGACAAAAAGGGTTCCGATAATCGCATATAACGAAATTATATCCATTCGACCCAAAACCGCAGCAGAAATTGCCTTGGCAAAACAATTGAAGCTCACTCGGATGTAATTTACAGACCACCAAAGCATGATGAAATTCCACCTGGCCGAATCGAAAAATAATCATTTCCGCATTGTTTTCTATTTTGGCATTTACCAATCGACGTCTGGAAATTTATTAGAAGTAAACCGTCATTGGTATATATAGCGTGTATTGATTTTACGCGCATGGTGGCTGGTTTAATATCGCAACTACATAGAGAATAATAATTCAATCTATATGTATTGACGACGTAAAACAGTTTTCACTTCGAGTAATTAGTTAACGGTCTGGCTCGGCTTATAAAGAGTATATCCAATCGGAACTCAAGATCACGCTGTAAATCGACATTTTTTTCGTTTCGTCTATAAACTTACGCGAGTGAAAGTTGCTGCTGCATGCGCGCGCTATATATTTGAATGCGTGCGCTACCGGGTTTTGCATTCACGCACTACTCTTTTTGTATGTCCAATTATCCATTGCTGTACACTTTTTTTATTAGTTTTCTTCTGGAAAAATCCTCTCGACACTTCTAGTAGAATTTCGAGCCAAAATACTCCATAATACAGCGAAGACAAACAATAAGCAAAAATGCGGAAATCCAGAATATTCGCGCAGAGTGATAAAGTTTTGCACAGTATATTTATGAAAGTGTGCAGGATATATAAAGTATAGGTGGAGCCTATGACCCCGCGAGCGCGCACAGCAGATCCGCATACAATCCCCATTTCCTCGGGCGATTTCAATTTTCAAGTGGGCGCGCACTTGAACGAAGGAAAATTAGGTGGATTTAATACGCTTCGGGGCCAGTAGCCAAGATTTTTTTATTTATTCTTCTTGTATTCTTTTGTTTTTGCGAATTGGTTTACTGCGCGTCGAGTTTCACTTGCGGGTTTTCAATTTAATTATCTTCTCCATATATACGAAAAAAATGAACTATATCAGCGCAACAGTGTCGATTATTATTATTATTATTTTTATTATCAGAGAGGATCCTTAGTATATGAGCTAAGCCTGATATTGCGCTATATTAACACATCTATCATGGTACATATGCAACATGCGTGGTATATATTATTGAATTGTAATTCAATTTTTGTGAATTGCGGTGAAGGTATCTAAAGGCCTGTATTTGAATCATAATAGAACCCCAGAGGAATAACGTTGTAATCACTGAGATTACTAAAATTATACAAAACTGTGTATGCCAATTACTTATTAAGGGTGCATACAAAAAAGGCGAAAGAAAGCATGTTACAGAATATTTCGGTGGCATAGTATTTCAAAACTACATACCTTTCCAGCTGTTATGATGTCTGCGACGATTATCCTGCTATATCGCAAAGGATTTAATCGCATCTTTCATTTGATAATATTAGAAAACTTTCCACGATACTTAGACTACGAGCTATTTCCATTGTAAGAATCACGTAGGTAACTATGAAAAACTTAGCCAGATTGTCTCGATAACATTATCGTAAGCATTACAATATCAGTATCAGTATATTAGTGGCACGCTACGAGCATCTCGATCTATCGTGAAAATGAAAAAGTCTCGCAAACAAAAGCTCGCTCGCGCAGGCAAGATCTCCATACTTATTCAAAACCTCGCAGACCAATATCGCGAAGCTTGAAATGACGGTTCACAGCTCTGCGGCATCGCACAGCGATCAGAACAAAAGCAACAGCGCGAGAAGAAGGAATATAAAAAAGAGAGATGCCTCGGCTATATGTTTATAATGCTTTATCGCACTCGCCTATAAATCTAAATACGAACTGTGCAGGTAAATGCGCCAGGCTTATATATCAGATCGTCCATCTCTCTCTTCGGCATATAAGTTGGTGCTTGCGGCTCATATGCGATGCCAATGTCCGCGGGCCAACAGCCGCTGGAGAATCGCGCTAGTCTATAATAGTTTATCGCTCTCGAGCGTTTCCTTGCGAACGCGCCTAAGCGCTCCACATCCATTTCTATCGACAGTTTTTTTCACTTCTTTTCACCAGGAACTTTGTTGCGCTTTGCGCCGCGGTCGATCGATTTTTCCATGGAAGATGTTTTTAACGTTGGCGTGGGTTGGCTACGTCGCTTTTACGAATTCAACTCGGAAAGCTTCGTACACCAGATTGAATTACTCGAATCGAGGAGCGTAACTTCAGTAACTGATGCATACCATAATTGATAGAACGCCTTTTCACATTTAGAGTTGTATTTTAGTTGTATCGTAACTCAATTTTGAAGAAAAAGAAGTTCAAGAAATAACTGACTATTTAAGCGATAAAAACGAATTGCGCTGAATGAAAAATACGAAATTCGAGAGTGAAAATATTGATTGGGATTCGAAAAGACTGAAATGAATTTTTTTTATGTACACAATAAACAAATCAGTTGACTCCCTTCAGTTCCAACGAATTTTTTTTCTTTTTACATAAAATTCATTAACCGACTCAATCGAATCGACGTTATTATTATTATTTTAGTACTTCTAAACAATTACGTTGATTGTCTTTTGATTTATCTTTTACTTTTTATCGAGAGTTAATTTGCACGATCCCATGCAGTTGTTCTCGAAAATCAGTTAACGAAATTATTTTACTGCGTCATCTCATTGACCTACTGATACAAATTTCAATGATCAATTAATTACCAAGATAGCATCATTTATAACAACGCGTTTCTCAATGAAAGTCCATGCAAGATAATTTGCTGCGCTTTGAGAAAATGAAATACGTCCAATATATTTATTTCGCTACAATTTACCATGCAATACATCTAATTATATAATTTGCTGTCATAAAACACAAAAATATGTATATTTACGAAGGTAGCTCTTAGTGTAATAAAAAAGAAAAGGTATTAAGCTCCAAACTACACGTAGTGCAAAGGCGAAATGAGAAAATGGTTTGTTTAAGGCACTGTAAATGACGAAATAGTCGGGATGTATTAACATTGCCAAACATGAACTCTGATTGCAGGCGGAAATGTGAGGCCGACGGGAAGGACGCGAAAGCAGAGCTGACGGCACAACGCAATATGTTCCCTAGCGCTCAAATTAAAATGAGGTAGGTGCGCACACTCACGCCTTTACATACTTGCATACGCTATCTCACGAATATTCACGAGACTATATTGAAATCACTCGTTTATTCGAACAATATACGGGATTCTTTAAACATATGTATTTCAATTTTTTTTTTCTCTTTCAGCAATATTTATTTTCATTAGATTTGCCTGAAGCGAAGTAAATTGAAATAAACTTTAGCGAAACGACCTACTATAACAACATAAACGTGTTAGGATCTAATAAATAATATTAAAAAGCAATTATGTATTTCATTACTAGATGGAAATATTTATATTCTATTTTGAAGAAATGCTGCTATAAAATAATCTTATTTTACCGATTATGCGACAAAATAGAAGTATATTACGTCGATAGTTGAAATGTATAATATTCTTGAACAAAAAATTACAGCCCTTTATATTTATTTTTCTTTTAAATCGCAATCAAAGTGGTGTAATTAATATTAATGCTTTTTTCTTATATGACGTTTTACGCAATTGAAAATGCTACATTCTCTGAGTTGATAAAATTTGTAGAATAATACACTAATTCGAATAAATGGGACACGTTTTTCTCGCTGCCAAAAATTGGACTTGTAATTTAATTTTTATCTTTTTAATGAAAAATGTCAGTAATACTCCCATTAAATTGGCTTATGTTAACTGGGTTTACAAGCCAGTGTCAAATGCAAAACTTTTATTCTGCAATTGCAATAGTGAACCAATAAAGTTATTCAACTACAGTATAATAAACTTATAGAAACAACACGAATATATCTTTAATGTCAGTAGAAGAATAAATTCTATTACTATTTCTTGGCCGATTCTTTAATACGGAAAAGCCTGCACTTAAAAAGACATTATCAAATATAATGGCGCATTCAATTTACCTTCTAATTCTACGAATTAAAAATTTCAAATTATATAATATTGCAAATCAAGCGAAGGCGCAAAATATGAAAATTGTTATTAAAAACAAATATAAATACATAAACGTGATTTTTCTATTCTAACAGTGAACATTTATTTTTCCGTCATAGAACCTACAGGCTTCAGTTAATAAATTTAATAAATTTCATAATTTTTTTCTGAAAAAACTCTAAATAACAAAAAAGAAATACATTCAAATATTAAACAACCGAATACAAAAAATCTAATTGTAGCTAAAATGTGCCAAGTATTTCCATCAGATTGATGTCGCCAAGCAGTTCGCCGGCCACGTCACCCACGATGTCGAACTCGTCGTCGCCAACACCGCCAACACCAGCCGCCATTTCGGCTTACAGCCAAAAGATGACGGGTATCCCATGCGTAGCAGCCGCGTCTCGTTACACTGCACCTGTGCACATCGACGTCGGTGGAACTATCTACACATCTTCCCTCGAAACTCTCACCAAGTAAGTTTATCTTCTATTTTAACGACTTCAACAAGGAGATTAATTCTGCACTGGTTTTTTTTCAAAAGTTCAAACTGCACGCTTTTCATTTTACGATTTTTACATTGCGCGCTATGTTAAAAACTTCAAACTATTTATACCCATTAGCTATTATTTTCTGATGTCCCTTTTCTTGCTCGTGGAACTGCTAAAGCAACGTAAAATCTCTGGTGAATTTTTATACATTAGAACTGCTTATTGGAATTTAATAAAAATACAATAAAAATAACGTCAATCAGATTTCTAATTGAAATTCTATGCCCAAAATAAGTCAGAAACCATAATTTCGCTTAATTTCTTTTACTCGACGTTGATAGATTATTTCTCGATATGATTTGCAGCGTATAGGTGATCATCATTTATCATCTTTTATTAAATTCCAAACAATTATGGAAAATCGTATACGTTTCTTTGAGCTATTTTTGGACTTCTAGTTCGATTTGCGTGGAATGAAAGGTATGACAAACACGAACAGCGGGGACACGCTTAATTTGAAAATTTGGCAAATCCGCGCTTGATTAACGCATTTTTTTTTGTAGAATGATCGCTAGTTGAAAAAATGTCTTAATCATCTTTTACTTATTAAAACTGTTACTTATAAATCGCTGGCCTTAAGTATACTTTCACATGCGCGGCAAGTTAATCATGATTTAGAGAACAATCAACCATATGCAATTACGCCAAAAGGCAATCCGCGAAGCGCGCAACGCATCGATCATCTCTAATACACAACGGCAGCAAGCACGTTGTACACACACACAGCTGAATCTTTTCCATAGCTGAAGCTCGCTAAAGCCAGTTTCTATCCGCGCATTAAAGTGTGCCGATCTAATTAATTAGATATCCGCGGCTACCGCGCGTCCTTGCCACTCATTCCGATCGCTATCGATACGCGCGCGCCCGTCTATGCTTACTTTTGAATTCCAGTCATGGACGAACGTAGGCAAATCGCCGGATGTGAAATTATTAACTTTAACATACATCTATTGCACGTCAGCTACGTTTACATCATTAGTTATTATATTGTTATACGCTGACGTCTAGCAAGTCTTGGAAAATGACGAAAATCGTGCGAACTTACAACTACATTTTTACGGGTTACGCGAATAGCGCGGAATTAATGGAATAATTTCAAGGGAAGGAAATCATTGACTCAAACTTCAGTGTGGTGCGCAATGGCTTAATTAAAACCATTAGGTATTTGAAATATACATGCAATTCATTCGCGGACAATTATCCAGTAATAGCGTTGCTGTCAGGCTTCGATAGGAGACCGGCAAAAATATATATATAAACTTCCTCCATATCGAGTAATGAATAAATTTTCTAGCACGACGGCATTCTAAGCCAATCGCAATGGAGAAAAAGAAAAAGCTAAGCGTGTACGCGCTCAATTCTCTTGCTCGACATGTATATCAGGTTGAATATGTATCTCAGTCATTAGCACCGTTGCCCGATCGCTTTGTCGATTTCTCTATCACGCGGCCTATACTTTTTTCATTTCGCTGCTCGTATTACGTTGCGATAGTAATCGCCTTCCACCGCGTCGCACCACTGCTGCATTCCACTTTGCGAACGTTGCATCGTTTGTTTTTTAATTCCACTTCCGGGAGTGTACATGTGCATGCGGTTTGATTTTTGTTCTTTTGAATTTACATTCAGAGAGACGATAATTTTTTTTTTAATTGCGTAACTTTTACAATTCCAAATTAAATTTGTTTATTTTTCATTTCATTTACTAATCTGAATGTATAAGTTTCTCAAATGACATGTCATTTTCAAACTAATTGCTAATCACAATGGTAATATCACCTGTCAATCAATTTACTCGATGAATTACGTATTCTTCATAATTTTTGGAAAGCTATCACGCTTTGACACGAAAATGTATAAAAAATTTTAATGGCAATAAATATACCGCCCTGATCGACAGTCCATTCGAATAATTCTCCACGAATTAACAAGTCAAACTCAACATATCTAAATACGCACACAATAATTCACAAAAATTTTTTAAAAAACAGAGCGGTACAGTAAAACGCCTTGGGTACGTCGCCGAAAGCAGAGCGCGGCTGCGCGCGGCGGGAGAATCTGAGTGATGTGAGCCGATCGCTCAGAGTTTTCCCAGAGTGAGAGAGAGAGAGAGGAGAGTTCTCGCGCAGTGCAGAAAGTCAGAGATCTGACCTGAGGATCGGCTCTCTGTGCCCTACCAATGGCCTGCGGTAATCACGGCCTCTCTCTCCCTTTCTCTCTCTCTCTCTCTCTCTCTCTCTCTCTCTCTCTCTCTCTCTCTCTGTCTCTCTCTTTTTTTCTCGTCATCCTCCTCCGCCTTTAGGCCTTTTTTTGCCCCGTCCTCTTTCGTTCGTTCGTTGTATTATCGGCTTAATTGTCGCTGTCGATGTGTTTTCGGGCGACGGCCTCAATGATACTTCATACCGACTTGCTGGGGAATCTTCGGTTGTTCCTTTTTCGTTGGTTTGACTTGAGAAGCTCGTAAATTTATAATAGAAAACGAATGAAGATAAATTTATAGTAGAAAACTTAACCGGAGAAGAATTCTGTCCTTTGCAAATGTACTCATCCACGAATTACATTTTATCCTCGAACCAATAAATATCTCAATCAATCTCAAATCCTCGTTCTTCCCAGCGATACATAAAGTTCAAGACTCCTTGCGCGTTTTTACATTGTATATAGTGACATTTTAGCATTGCACGCGATGACTCACGTTTTATGACTCAACGACAATCGATTCTCTCTTTGTTTACAGCTTGTTGTAAAGCACGCACGCTTTCTCGATTTGATCGAGCAATATTGCACATAAGCTGACTGCGAATTAACGACTCAATTCCTTTTATTTACCTTCCACGGCGCACGGTTATATACACAAGTTCGTTAATTATAACATAATTAGCAATCGAGGCGCGCATCGCACACATACTGCAGATCGTAGAGACAAGTCCGCTAAAGTAAATTTGATTTCGAACGTTCCACGTACAATTTCAAATTTCGATGTCATTCAATTGAAATATCCGAAATTGGATATCAGCTGACTTCAGCTCGTCTATTTCCATTGTAGTAGATCATTACATTTTACATGAGCCGTAACAATCAGAAACTATTCACAGCTCCTCTCGCCCCTGGAGCAAGTGACACTCAGAAAAAAGTAGCCCGCGGGGCAAAGTCACGTAGCGCGTATAAAACCAAACGCGAGAAACGAGATATGGAGTAGGCATTAATCTCGATAAAGCTTTCTCAACTCGTGAATGCGCGCGCGCGAGAGAGAGAGAGAGAGAGAGAGAGAGAGGGCGAAAAGGCACAGAGCGCATGCTAATTTTCGCGCATTGTTTCTCTCTCGCTGGATGAAGAAGAAGAAGAAGAAGTAGAAGAAGAAGAAGCAGCAGACGCGTTAGGCCGCGCTGCACTCTCTCCACCCTCGCTCGCGCAAAAGCCTTATCTCGGGCGTGTGGCGCGTGCGTTTTATGTATATGCAAGTGGTATATAAGCCTTGGGGATACGGTTCCCATGGCCTCCTCCTCCACCTCCTCGCGCCCCTCTGCGCCGCCGATAGCGCACAATAATGACGGTCTGGCTTCTCGCGCGCGCGCCTGCAGCTTTTTCACCAAGTCGTGGGACCAATTTTTTCCTTCCTCTCCTCCCTTTGTAGCCAGATTCGAGAAATATATGTAGATGTTGAAGGGGAGAACGAGGAGGAGGTAGCAAGACAAGTGTTCGACGATTAATGCTGATGAGCTGTGCGCTGCTGTGATGACGTACGGCCTTACATTGGGATCTGGGAAATATTTAGTGAGGCTCTTACTGTGCGAGAGGTCAAGGGATATGTACTTAGTGGGCAGTTTACCAATTGCGATGAGTTACAACTTGGTGCAGAGCAAGTGCATCGATTACTGCCACGTTAAGGAGTACTTTTAATTTATAGCTGCTTGTAATAAAGGATGCAAAAAACGTTTACGGTTTACATCTGGATGACCGAGACTTTTACAAAGATCATACAATCGATTTCATAATCATCTTTTGAAGTTAATACAGAAAAATTTGACTGGCCGATATTCGACCGCTGTTTCTATTATCCCGAAAACTCTTAGCCTATTATGCAACGACTCGAATTTTAATTGTATTTTGTACAGAAGCATTCAACGTCAATTTGAATTAGTTTTAGCGAGTTACTTAGTTCTAGATCATGGATAGCGCAAAGATGATGACAAACATGCTCGAATACGGAGGGAGGGAGGTTGTTGCGTGCACTTACCCTACATATCCATCAAGATTTTCATGCGTGACTTTCACGCGAAAATTTATCCAGCTTACAAATGACTTGAATCCACGAGTCTTTTCGCAAAGCTTTGTCATCTCTTAATATTTTTTTCATTCTATTTTTATACTTTCGCATTTCTTGCTGATTAGAACTTCCCTCGTGTTGTTTCTATGCTATAGGCGATTATCTCAGTCTCGCATTGACTTTCTAGCTAATCAATATAAAAACGCAAAAAATTAATCTCTGACTATTGTGGTAATTCGTTTTTTAATAAAAACATTTTCGTGTAAGTCATTAGATATCGAAAGCTACTGTCAAACTAACTTGATCATGTAATGTCGATAAGGTATTATTATCAAAAACGGTTGCACATAATTAAAATTTAGAACCAGCAGCAAGTATAAATTTTTTTGCGAACTAAAGGAATTGTATATTGTTATTCGACTAGAGCTATATAATATAATCAATACATCCCGATAATAGAAAATACTTTCGGAAAAAAACAAACTCATACCAACTCGGTTATTAATTACAACTACATAATATTGCGATTTACGTAATATCATACGCAAAAATACATATCAGATTGATATTTTAGGTTGCTCTCGGAAACGCAATTTTCACTTTTTATAAACGGCGATATTATGACCCAAAGTACCTATTTTCTAACAGTAGCACAATAGAGAGATCAATAATTAAGTGTAAACGTTTACCGATTAAATATTTTTCCTATACAATCCATATCTATCACTTTCATTTTAACAGCCAAACCTATACAACACACTTTCAAGATGGATTATAAAGTTGAACGGAATATAGAAAGTATAGACAATATAATCGCTTTTATCTAAATAAGTAAGTGCACTTTATGCGATCTCAACGATAGAATTAACAATTACCATTGTTTGAAAAATGATTAATTTCTATGAGGGTTAATTTAGCAGAGTATCAATTTAATAACTGCAATTACGATCGCAAACTTACATTTCAATATTACGAAACGAGATTGCATATGCTTAGCAAAATATTACAATGTTTAATTTAACAATGTTTGCGAAAAAAACTAAAAATCTCTGAGGGACAGGCGTCGTTTAAAACGATAGACCTCGAAGAGAAAAAGGGAGAAGATTCGAGCCTTTAAGGACAGTCATGAGAAAAAAATTTGAGCAAGACAGTGCTAACTGTTCGACATATGTATCGCACGCGCGATTGAGTCGTCGGACTTCGCGTGTGAGAAAAAATGCGAACAGTTGCCTGCGGAGCTGCTGATGTGATGGATATCGTTTACCCAAACATCGGAATGCTGTGCGGACTCGAGTTATGCGAAACGATGTTTATTATATTATACGTTAATTTGTAGAAGAAGAAAACTGTTATCACAAGAAAATTACTTATTCATGAATAGCTAATAAGCAACAATTTTACATACTGGCTGATTGAAGCTGTAAGAATCGTCAAATAAATATAAAACTTTGTAAATTCAGTCATGTGCCATGATTGCGCCACAAAATTAATCTTTAAACATCAAAACCTTCATAAGACTCATTTTTTTAATAAAACTCACTGCGATCGCACGTATTCCATATCTTCCCCCCCCCCCCCTTTTTCCAATTTACAACAATCGAGCGCTAGCCGAGTCACATTTGAACGCTTTCTTCGCGGATGCGAAAGTTAATGACGACAAACATTGCGCGCATCGAGATCGTCGGTCGAAAAAGAAACAAATTAAAAATTGGTTGCTTCCCGTCGACAGATGGAAAAAAAGGTTTCGGAAGCGTCGAATTGCCGCGCGTGTAAATGGTGAAATCGTTGAAACGCGCCAAATGACAGAGTTCGGCGTGAAAATCGTGATCGTGCATTCAAAAGAAACGACGAGAACTAATTGCAGCGAGTAAAACTTCACGATTTTTTCGCGTGCGGGTATAATAAAACTTGCCTCGCGGACGATTATCAGTTTGTTATTTTTTGGTGTACCATGTAAGTTCGGCAACCCCCGCGGGAAAGGTGTAAAAATCCCCGTTGATGTACAGCATGTCGTTATAGTTAAGAAAATACAGTGTATTGTTAACCCTATATCGGTAAAACTTCGGCAGCTGCGCGGAGTACAGGTGGCGATAAAACATAAACCCGGCAGCAATCACCTGCTTTCAGAAAATCTATATAATCTCGCTCGCTCGTTAAATCATCTTGCAGAGCGTACAGGAGCACAGAAAAAAGTGATCTCAGTGGGTTAGTATTTTGAGATCTTATTTTTCACAAACTCGCGATAAAATCAATGAGTTAATTTTGTATTTTTGTATTTATTGATTTCAAATATTTACAACATCATATTATACAGATTAACATTGTACAACATTGTATTTCGCACAGTTGTAGATACAGTTGTACATGGAGTCGGATATACTTAAAACTAGAATTTTGTAATATATATAATAAAACAATTTGATACATCAAAAATGCCGCGGAAGCTTAAATGTATCCAAAGAAGTTTTAATTAGATTAGTGACGAAAGACGAACTTCGCGCGCTTTTATCTTCTTTGTCATTTATTGCTATATTACTTAACATAAATAATTTGTTATAAAGATGAATTTTTCAATTTTTCTACAAAACACATACCACCGAAAAAAATATTAGTAAAACAGTTACACGTTTTCAAAATCATGATTTGTCATATCGAAAACTGCAATAATAGATAATCTTTTAGTTCTTTTCAACTATCGGATCAAATTATTATTAAACGTTTATCATACTATTTGAATAAATATTGCGGCATTACATTTCAATCTTATACATTCAAAAACTTGATTATCAATTAGTAATAGAATATAATTGAAACAGTTTCAGAACATAACTTCTTGTTTTAGCGAAATGATTTACTCGCTCGTAGTTTCATAAAAGTAGTGTTAAAATAATAACGTTGCAGACTACTTTTTTACTTCCATTATCTTTAAAATGATCCATGTCAACTATTATCAATTGAATTTTAATTACTAAAATTTCATCTCGAAACCATAATTTACACATTTATTTACCGCCACACAACTTGATCATAGGTTGGCCAATCAGATCACGAAAAAATGCTGCAACATGACACTCATCACTTAAATGTATATATATATATAATAAAAATAAAATAAATAAATAAAATAAATATAATAATAATAATAATAATAATAATGATAATAAATGAGGGGAAGGGGATTATAAAGGGATAGCGCATGTGATTTCAGTCGACAATTTGAATAAAAAGCGATTATCGTTGTCTAATGTAGAATTTTTTTAAATTTGTTTTCAGGTATCCAGATTCGAGGCTAGCAAAGTTATTCAACGGCAGTATTCCAATAGTGTTGGACTCGCTAAAACAGCACTACTTCATCGACAGGGACGGTGGAATGTTCCGACACATACTAAATTTCATGCGGAACTCGCGACTACTGATACCTGACAATTTCGCCGATCTTGATCTGTTACTGGAGGAAGCTCGATACTTCGACATTGCTCGTAAGTGCTTTTGTTGCTTTTGAATATCGAGTAAAAGACATTAGAAATGAGAAGATAGTTTTTTTCAAAATGAATATTACTATTTAGAAGTCTGCGTGAAAGTTTTTTATAGTAAAAAATACATTATATTGTTTTTAGTTGAAATTCTTTCTACTTGAACATTTTTATTCAAATGTAGACACAACTGCCTAAAATAAGAAAAGTTCAGTCCTATACTTCAATTAAAAATATTAAGAAATAGCTTTTTCAATTTCTTGAGATAAAATATTTTAATCTCTTTAGTTGATGGAAAATGTGTTTAACTATAATACCATTGCCACACGCTTAAACAGCAAAGCGCCTGCATTCTAATTTCATAAGATGAATGTCTTTGCAGCGATGATCCGACAATTAGAACAAATGAAGAAAGAGCGCATAAAGAACGGTGGCAGTCCATTATCGAGCACGCCAAGCCCACCACCAGATCAGCAGACGTCACTGAATCGACGCGACGCAACAGGAAGCAGCGCGAGTGGTATAAGCAACAATATCGGTCGCTCGACGCCAACCAATTCTCAACAGGACACCAAACTCCGAGCCGAGACTTACGAATGCGTTGCGCTGCACGTGAGTCCGGATCTCGGCGAACGCGTTATGCTGTCGGGTGGTCGGACGCTCCTCGATGAGGTTTTTCCGGAAACCACGCAGGCTGTGCTCGAAGCAAGATCCGGCGTCGCTTGGCACCAACAAGATGCACGCCATGTCATTAGATTTCCATTGAATGGTTACTGTAAATTGAATAGTGTTCAGGCCATCACGAGGTTACTAAATGCTGGTTTCAGGGTTGTTGCGAGTAACGGCGGTGGTGTCGAGGGCCAACAATTTTCCGAGTATTTGTTTGTTAGGCAATCTTCGGGCAACAATACCTGACGGAGCGAGGTCTTTAATCGGTATTGCAAACAACGAAAAATCGATGATGTGCTCAGGATTAGACGAAACAAGGACGAGTGAATAAATTATTTTCATTTTGTGATAGCTTTCTGATTTTTTCTCTACACAGAGCTTGTTGCAGTAACTGATTGTTTCAAAAGAAAAATTGAACAGCAAGACGAAAATATAAGAATTGAATTTAGGATGACAATATTATACACATCAATTTCACGTGTAGATTCGTCGTTCATCAAATGAATATAACGTCGTTTCAAACGAGGAGAACGAAATTGTAATATATTGATTGACTTTCGATTCGACTAAGTTTGATTTGATTGAAAGTCTGCGCTGGAATTCTCGAGGGAAAAACGGATAATATTATATATAGTACATTTCCAAACATCGCTTCACCTTCATACCCAGTGCGTATTTACCACTAGATATTATTTATTTTATTCTATTCTATTTTTTGCACTTTATATTATATTTTATTATATGAAAGCTTCAATATCATTCTTTCCTACGCCTTTCCTTCATAGTTGACAATGTTAATTTGTGTTAAGTGTTTTCTTTCGAGTTGATTTTGCGACTGTTTTACGTGATACTCGTCATTTTTACTTACTACAGACGTTATCATATGTACAATATGTCATGTAAATGAGGAATTAAATTAGCTTATAAATATAACACCATTTTTGTAATATTTGCTAACTTGATCTACATAAAGTATATATGTAAATTTAGCTTCATAGTTGTACGTGGTGCTCGGCGCAAATTTTTGTTAAAACTATCAAACATACGTTGGATGAAAAATTTGATTCGAACAATACGGTCAATAATTAATGAAGCTTGTGTATGAAATTACTGTATTATTATCAATGTATGAAGTTACTCTTTGGAAGCGCACTATATACTTATGTAAATATTCAATAATTAAGAGGTTTCTAAGTTTCGATCAAAAGAAAATTCAAAACAACGAAATAAATTATTCATTGTTATCTCCAAAATATAAAATAATAAAATCTTGATCTCATGCAGGCTTGCTCCGTAAAACATTACAACAGAGCATAGATATTAAATAACTTTATTGGTCTTTGTATTGAAAAAAATGCATTTGTTTTATACATATACTATAAAAAGAGGAAAAAATATAGCTTTAAGCGTAATTTTAATGATTAAGTGGAAAGGTATAAATAAGTATAATATAAACGACAAATCCTGAAAGATATACATTGTAATTATGATAAAGATTTATCGTAATAAAAGGAAATTTCGTTTATAGCTGTACATGTGCGAACGTCCTCTTTTTTTGTTTTTTGCCGTTTCTTCGCAAATTGCAGATGGATTTGCGATTTCTAATAAATATAGATAGAGTCAAAGATGACGTTGAGAAAAATAGTATCATAACGAATAACCCGCCGAACTTCTAAGTATTGGTCCAAAAGCTGTCCATTGGCTGCATTGCTAAAAACAATTCAAAATCCATTGCATCCACAAAACTCGAGAGAAAGCGAAAAGAAAAAGAAGAAAAGAGAAAGAAGAGAGAGACAGAGAGAATCCAAGCAGCCCTGAGGCTAGAACATTAGCACAAGCAGCGAGGGAATAAAGCTCGCAGGCGTTGCAGGAACGTCGTAGCCTGAGGGCCGGCAAATAGGTCGTCATGGCAACGCGGCGTCGGCGCCGCCGCCGCCGCTGAACTCAATATCCGCGTGCGCGCTTTCGTTCTCTCACTATGTGTGTGTATACTGGAACCCCTCAAGCCTTTTTGTACCATGCCCCAGGCTGTCATCTCGGGTGAACGCTGCTGATTATATTCCATTTCTGGTTATGACTCCTCGGGCTAAAAAAACATCGATCCGACAGCGCCCGGCTGTATATTTATATTTTTTTTCTGGCCAATATACAGTCGCACGCGAACATTTGCTAAAATTATTGTTATTATAGGCTCGCATCGCTCCCTTCAATATTATAAACGTTGCATGATCAATTGGCAAAAGTAACGCTCTTGTGGATAAAGCGAGCGTCAGTGTTGGCTTTTCGTGAGTTGATTCTGTATGCTTATAATGGAATGATTTTATTGAAAAGCGGTGTAACAATAAACCTTGTACACTATCCGGACTATTAATTCGCGAAGTCCAAAATTCAAATTATTTTTGAATATCGAAGTGCTTCTCTTTGCCGAGTTGCGGGGGCATAACTTGTCAAAAAAGCCCTTGACCTAACCTCAGTTAGTAGTCAAACGTAATTCGGATTTTGAACTTCGTGGATTGCGAATCAATGTTCGGTCAGGATAATTTTTTTTATAAGTCAGTAGACTAAAATATATTTCTTTTCAAAATATTTACGATAACTTAGATTGTAGAAGGTTCCAAAAAGAAATAAAAGCTGAAACTTTGAATCTCAAGAATTCAAAAATTGAAAACAGTTTGTTTGACCGCTATTTGTATTCGTTTTGTAATTCATGCGTAAGAAAACAAATAATAAATAATATAAATACATAAATCCGAATTAACATACAACTAAACATGTTCTAAGGTAAGTTCGAAGTTTTAAATATACACTAAATTAAGGGAGTATGGTGGCTAAGACTATTAAAAATGAGAATTGCTTGTAATTTGGACACAATGTGTATTATGGTTCACTTAAGCTATGGTTCAAGTTTGGTGACCCTTCAGAGCTTCAAACCCGAGAAATTAATGTTTAAAATTAACATGTGATCTTATGGGAAAACGCTGTTTTTTTTATTATAAAGATATTCAAAAATGAGAAAATTATGAAAAAATTCTGAGGGACGTAGAAAAAAATACTGAATCCATTGGTGCTTTCAAAACTATCAATCAGAGCCTGTAACAAAAGATATTTACTAATTTATATCGTAAATTTACGATTTTCGTCAGTGAATTGACGACGTGGCAACGTCGCTTGTACTCCATGTGCCTCGGTATAGGCGCGGATTTCGGAATGACGCTACGAACTTCTGATCAGCGAAGCTCACTTTTTTATTAAAAATTATTCTGTTCATGTTAATAAAAAATGCTGATGCTGTTACTGATGCTTTACTCTTTTCGATGTTTTCGCTCCGTACTTTTTTTATATTTTTTCCAATCTGTACTTGCTTGCATCGCTGTTGATAAACTTTTTCTGTCACTCTTTTTCCTTTCCAAAACCACTTGTTATTTTTCTCACTCATTTTTTCAGTCTGTATAACATCAGGTTACCTTTTATAGGTTAGCCCGCAAGCATAATAAATACACGCGGTAGCAGACGTACGTTGAGCGTTTAGAGCGGAGTATATGCGCGACGTTGCCAAACTTACGATTGGTACTAAGCGAGTCAATATAAAGTCGAGGCGTTCTCTCAACTAACTAACTACGTACCCACCATACTCCCTTAATTGACAATGATATGTATGAATGAGTTTTTCATAAAAACTTGATAATTATTTGATTAAAAACGATGGAGTAATGAGAATATAGTAGTTGCAAATAATACAAAATCGTATTTACCAACAATTAGCAACACTTGTCTTCTTGGAAAGAACTTTTCAAATTATCTATATCATTCAAAAGCAACTCTGAAGTGAACGCTGCAATGCCTATTTCTCCATTAATCGATCCGACACGCCAAATGCCCCCATGAGTGTATCACTAAGTCGTCATCATATATATTATTTTAGATTTTAATGTAATAGTAATATAAAGTTTATATTATTAATTGACACAGCAATTTAACACACACTTGCACGTGTCTACAAAGTTACTACTTTGCTACGAATAAGAAAACATTCACGGAACGAATGAACGCCTCGAACGTTATAGTTAATAAGTCGATTCAATGGGGGAACCGGAACACTGCGAACTTGCGCATTGCGCACAACATATGGCGACATTTTCCGAAAAAAAATCGATGTATCGAAAAACTTTTAATAAGATTTCAAATCATATGACCTTTTTTGTCATATTCGAAAAGTTCACCTAACAATCCAATAAAAACGAGATATTCTATTTCATAAAATTTTATTATCATAAAAACTTTGAATATCAAAAAAATATTACATGAAAAGTTAAAAAAAGAAAAATTTATATTATTTTTTACAAAGAAATAAAAATTTATAACATATATTCAATTAACATGATTATTTACTTTGTAAATTTGTTGTTTGTTTAGTAATTTTTTTTGCTCCATCGTCATGTGAGTCGCAAATTATGTAAAAATAGTAGGTAGTAATAAATCTGCTATACTAATATATTTGATTTTCTTAGATTAAATCATTCTACCATAAGCCTTTTAGTAGATTAAAAAAATTTTTTGTTTAAGTTTGCGTTTATAAAGCTATTGCTACAATTTATTAAATCATAAGTAAAGTTCAGAAGAATTGAAAAAACTGATTAGTCATTTTGTAAAGGCTGGAAAAGAAAAACAAAAATAAATAATTGAATCTTTTGTGTTATATATATTTGTTTTTTCTCTATAATACAAAGGATCATTATTCTTCTTTTCCCAAAAATAAATGTAAAATTATGTATGTACAAAAGATGATTTGTATGTGGAAAAGAAAAATTTGTTTTTTTTATCTATATATAACATTACAGTATTTCTTATAACTTGCACAAAATAATTTACAACAAAAAGGAATCTTAATTTATGTATTTACATAGTTTGGATACGCAACGAAAATATTTTTCGTCGACATTACATCTAGAAATGGATCGACGATAATCACTGTTAGATAGAAAAATGTCTAATTTTCAAAACTACAAATATTATTCTTTGACATTTTATCAACTCTGGTTTGTTTATAAATAGGTCAATCGTTGCAACGTCAACATAAAATAACTATACTATAATCTTGTTTTTCAAAAAGATGCCTGCTGAAAAAAATGTGCAAAAGGAAGCATAAATGTCTCATTCTAATTTTTTTTCAATATAGATGTCATTGAGTTTTGCAGTATTTACGTACAAGCTTTTCATTGTTAATCTTAAAAGTATTCTTTATCTCTTACTTTTTATAAATACATTTAATTGTGACAATAGTTTTGTTTTATAACTTCAAGTAATCTGCTAGTTAATAAAATGGTGCATTAACGAGTACACCACTGACGCTTTCTCATTTTTAATTTTTGCTAGTTTATTTTCATTTTATTTCTGTACATGTAAAAAAACTTTTCCTGTACAATATATTACAAAAATCGCTCAGGCTTATGCAAAGAGAATAGATTAGATCTTTTTTGCACATATCTTAATGAAATTGAAATAATCTTTACATTTGTTACAGAAGATTTTTTTCGTCAATCGTAGAGTATATTTTGAAGACTTACGGGATTTCCAATAACAAAACACATATTTTAATTTTACTATATAAAAAATAATTAAAGAATAATTTTATACATTCAGAATGTTCCACACTCAGATAAAACCTAGAAAAAAGAATTTTATCGCTTTACCCCTTGATTATTTTTTATCAAAATATGACTAAAGAAATATATTCCAAATAGAACTTTTTCAGATACATTGCAAAATAATTTAACTATCTGATTGTAGGCACCCGATTTTTATTAGCATCATAGTAAAGCTAATTTAATCTTCCAACGGATAAATCAGGTACACACTTTAAATTGATTTGCTTCTGACCAACTCTATCCATTATTTATCTCTCTTTGCTAAGCACGAGACTAGGTCTCCTCATATTTTGTTTGATTTATACCGATTATGCAATACGATCACAAGGATCAAAGTAGTCAAATGTGAAATAGAAATTTCATTCGAATTTTAAGTTGATTGAAAGATGGTATTGACTTGAAAATCAGTTTGCCAATTTACCGAAAAAATACACAGTGCACTTTTTGTTTTTGTTTTAAACTATAGTCATACATAAATATAACAACAATAACAGTCCCCTAGGCTATCACTTTTTTATATGTCGACAGAAACAATGATTTGTAACATACTGAATAGTAGCTGAATAAAATAATAATATACAAAAAATAGCTTATACTTTAGGATGACGCATATGGAACTTACTTTACAAATGTATAAAAATACATGGTAGTTTAACCGAGAATTTCGAAAACGTCTCGTATGATGTCCAAAAGTACATGTCGAATAACAAAAAGAAAATGACTTGTTCTCAAACATAAATTTTACAAAATAGACAAAAGAAAATGAACCTTTTACTGAACCGCCTACACGGTTTCTGAGGAGACATAACGCACCGTTATTATACTCAAGTAATGATGACTCGGAAAACACTCATCGTACAATTTTCACGCAGTCGTGTAATGAATGCCACTGATTAACCCTGGTTAAATCACTTCATCGAAATAAGGCCAGTTTTTACCAATTAAAAGAAAATTTTTTTTTCTTGGTTGATTATATTCTAAACATGCAAATTGAATTCACTACCGTGACTAAATTAAAAATTAATAATGCATCTACCGTCAGTCGATAGTCCGATCATTTGGTATATATCTGATATTAAAAACTGTCTTTCGTAGCGCACACGATACAGCCTACAATGTGTGTATTGAAATACTCCGCTGAATCATACATAAGTATCTCAAAGTCGTAACCATTCATTTCTAAATGAAATCTTCCAACCAGGGTAATACGTATATCTCAATTGTACAACCTCGCCACTCAAAACTATAACTGTACATTATAAGTAAAAAATATCAAAAAAAAAAAAAAAAAAAAAAAAAAAACATGAAGCAAATTCTTGCTACATTACGCTACACTCCACGAGAGTCCGAAAAATTTTCAGTCAATATATACATTAATGAGGGAAGCTGCGCATCGACGATCAATCGTATACAAGCGTTCATCGAAAAAATTGGCGCTTGACAGAAGAACAACAAATAAGACACACCACTCGTCTCCAATCACTTTAGATAAGACTTGTAGAGGGTCGTGCTCCGACAGGTTTCTTTCTCTTGTTCAAGGAGGAACAGCAGATCGCGGAAATTGACCCGTTTAAGCCTTGGTCGCAATGGCATTTGCCGTCCCAAACCCGAAGACGAAGTAAAACTACCAGTTCCACCTAAACTGTTAGTTACCGAGCCGCCAATGTCAAGTTTGGGTTTCTTTCGAGGCCCAATCGCCTGCAGTGCCGTTGCATTTGCCTCACGCGTTCGCGCCTCTTCCATTTCCACTCGTTGCATCTAAGATATAAAACATAACGTTTTTAAGATAACACTTTAAGCTCTCAGTTTATTTAAGCAACTAGCGAAATGATATCAACCTCTTTGGCTTTCGCTTTGAGCTTTGCCTGTTCCGGGTCTTCTGTTTTCGTGCGACTTTTCGCCGCTTTCAGAAGCACTTCTCTCTCCTGCTCCTCGTGCCTTTTACGCTCTACTTTATCTAATTCTTCTAAAAACTTTAACTGTGCTCTCACATCTTGTGTGACTTCGTATCGTGGATCAACCTTGAAAAAGTATATCACGTTAATCACGAATAACAGAGATTGAATTTCAGGTAAAACAATACTTACTTTAACAAAGTCTATCCTATGTTCGGCAATTATAGCTAATTTTTCTATCAAGTTTTTCAACCTTTCTTGAGCTGCATGTGAAATTAATGCGGCTACTTCTTGATTAGGTTCCTCTAAACCGTAACTTGTAACTAATAATAGTAATAAGTCAAATTAATGATACGATCTTTTAAAACTAATTAAACTTTTAATTTACCTATTTCATTTATCTTTTCTTGAAGAGGAGTCATGTGAAGAAACACCTCATCCTTGCAGGATCTTATTTGCGTCCCTACAAACTTTGTCGACCCAAGGATTCTTTGAGATTCTTCTGCAAGGTTAACTCCTCCCATTGCTGCTACATCATTTATGTCGTCGTCACCTCTAAGAAATGGAAAAGTTTACTTTATTATTCGTTTTTGTTTTTCCAACCATCTATTTAACAGGAAAATAACAGTACGTGTATCCAGCCGAAGAGAAGGTCTTTTTTTCTTTCTCCTTGGTGGCGGGTTTTGGCTGTATGGAAGGCACTACGGTTTTGGTGAGCGTGCTGCTCGTGGTGATGGATTTATTGTGTGGTGAAGATACGAGGGTTTTCACGGCGGTATTCAACTGCGTCGTTTTCGGTACAATTACCGGCCCTGAAGCCTGCCGAATTGTACTTGTAGCTGTACTGATGGTCGGGTGATGCTGTTGTATCGCGACAGTCGAAGCAACTGGTGCTTTTATTGAGTAAGTTTTCACTGGAGGTCTTACCATTGCCACGTTTTGTTGTACCTACAAAATAATCGTGTTAAAAAGGTTCCTCACTAACTGGAATAAATGGATTCAAACACTATTTTTACTATGAAATACTATGAAAAGAAATTAAAAAGTTATTTACCACTCTTTGCTGAACGACAGGTTGCGGTGGCCGCGGAACATTCGTGACAGTTGACATAGGTGCCATCACGCGAACTTGTGGAGTTGCCGTAGGTGTATTAGCTCCTGAGGAAGCAACAACTTGCGTGCCAGTAGCAGCTGGAGAAACGGCTACTGTCGGCCTAATTTGATTCTGTTAGAAAAAATCGGTTGCGTATAGTCAAATATTTTTTAGTCAAATTGATTATATACAATCTAATCAAAAGCAGATTTTTACTACAAAGAAAGAACTACAGCTCCAGTTGAAAGACAAGAGCGTAGACCGAAGTATTCACGGTTTAGACCCGAATTACCTTCAATACATCTACGGTACGAAGGATCACAGTATTGCCCTACAGGCTTTCCTATTTTATTAAAGAAGCGATATGGACGACTTTAACGATAGTATGAATTGGGATCTTGTTGAAAAAAATTATCTGGCTTCAGAAGAATGATTTTATAAAAAATGAATATGAATTAAAAATGTTGGATTTCGATCTTTAAATTTAATTAATAAGAATGTAAATAAATACTATCAATCAAATTCTTTATTGAAACAAACTATACCGATAAATTACTTTGAAATTTAGATCTAAAATAATTTTTATATAATTTTTAATTCTAGAAAATATTTTTATAGGTGTGATACTTTAAAAGTTCGAATTTTGAAGCGAAATTTTTCAGATATTTTAGTCATATAGGCACACTTCCAAGTCTATAAAGTAAAATATAATCAAATAATTGAAAGTAAACAAGCAAAAATTAAAAAAATTATTTGATTCAAGTACAATGCAAAAAATGAGAATTACTTGTGTGACAGTTGATACAACGGTCGCTATCGAGAATACAACGTTAGCAGGTGGTGGCCGTATCCCTTCGATAACTAACTCCTTCGTAACGAGCGACTGACGTAAAAGAGGTAAGCTCTTCTTGAGGAATCCAATCAAGCACGGTTGCGGTGATGCATTTAATAATGTCTCTAATCTAACACAGAACTCCTCTGGTTCAACTTTAACATCAATCAACTCTTGAATTAACGTCCGTACACTTCGTTCCACTTGTCTAGGTTCTCGACTAGACAACTCTAATAAGTTCGCTAAAAATCTACGGCACTTTTCTTTGGTATTATCTGTGGCTTGACGCTGTTATTGCACAAAAACAAACAAAAAAGACGATTCCGTTTAAAATCGTTTATCTTTGGTTATTTTACTGATAAAACCCAAATGCAATGATGCTACTTCATTCCAAGGGAACATAGCTATAAGCATTTGGGCTTATTTTAATAAAAAAGTCCATCATACTTTAAGCTGCGCGGATGCCTGGCTTGCTTGAGTAGGTGCTGCAGGTGTATTGGAAGCCGTGGTTGTTGCAGCGTTAATTGTTGATGTTACCGGAGTTGACGTTGTAGTAGTTACAGTTGGAGCTACAGTCTGTTGAATTATTAAAGTTATTATTAATACTATCTTTCATAAAATACTGGTATTATGAGAATGTTAATGAGAAAAAGTTTATTACAAAACAAATTTAAACAATAAAATTTAAATAATTTACCAAATGCAAATTATTTCAATATCCTAATCAAGTTTTAATTAAAACAATTATTACAGAAAATTAAATTTACGATAAGACTACATAGTCATTTTTATAGTTTGTGCATGCAGTTCAGCACGTGATATTTTTTTATTTTACATATTTATCAATTTTACTGTAGAATAATTTGATAAAATTTATTTCATTATTAAGTTTACGCACTTTTACCTTTCATAGACTCGTAGTGTTCAATTAAGGGTGGGATATGTGCATGTTACATGTGTAATTTTAAGTGGAAATTCATTTGATTAACGCAAAATTAATTACTGGATTAATTTATTAATTAATTTGAGGAATGTAATAAACAACTTTACATTATCAATTCATGTGCTTATGGATATGTTATCAAGTGAATTGTGATTAAATTGGATATATTTTAATAACTGTATTTCTATGTATACGAATGAAACTTATACTTTAATGTAATCTGTTTTACTGAATAGATAAAATATAAGAAAATTTGAAAGAAAATTCCATGCGAAAGCTATACTCTAGCTACAAAAACTTAAATAATTCAATTTCAGTGCTTTTGAAATAAATTTAAATAAAAACAAATTCAGAAAACAATTTTTTTCATGCACTTCTGCTTGTACTCATTACAATATTACAATCTAAAAGTATGCAGTAATTAAAAAACAGAAGCATAATAATGCATACTAAAAAATAAAATCTCAATAAAAATACACAATTAACAATAATTCACATTTTACCCTAAAATAAACACTTTTATTTTAGAGAAACAAGTTTTATAGCTAATTAAAATTGAGTAGATATAAATACTTATTAAATAATGATAAAATATGAAAAGATAATCCTACAAAACTTGGACATTCCAACGCAAATAATTATGCAGGCTATTGAAACATCTACAAAAAAAGAGTCTACGTCGAGTCTCACAGAAGGTATGAATGTGCGTCACCTGAATGGGTTTTCTTATTGTGGCGAGTGTTGGACCAGTGAACTGTGCGTTCAGCCTACTTACAGCTGGCAACGAAGCCAAACGATAGGTTGTGGTACCTCCAGCACCTGCTGTAGCAACCATAGTATTGGCTGCGATGCTATTTTGAGTTACCGTTCCAGCCGGAGTACCTTGTTGCGGGACTGGTCCTACCCTCAACAGTTGATACTGACCATTTTCTGTCTTCAATAGCAAGTGACCTCCTGGTCCGCTACCTTGCAAACCCTGTAGAGTCTGTAGCGTTATCTAAAAATATTAAGTATTTGTTTATAGTTTTGTTGACCTATTGGTTATAAAAAAAATTCTGTACCTTTTTTCAAACAAATATTAAAATATATAACTAAACCATTGAAGGACAAAATAACATAGATAATTTTTCTTTAATAATGTATAATTAACCTAACATTTGTGTAATTATGCATTTGAAGAATTTAAACAGAAATATGGTATACATAAAAATTCTCTGCTAATAGATATTAGAAATTTGAACTTGCACAAAAATCATGAATAAATCATAGGGTATAAATCCATGCTAGGTCATAATGGTTACAACTTAAGCATTTAACCTATCCTTTTGATTTCATTTCAAATTTTTAAATAATTTTACAATAGATTAATAAAATATATTTGATCATTTACCAGGTATTAATTTACAAAAATTATAACTTGTTTTGCTGAAAAATATAACAATCTCTATAATCAAAACAAAACTTGGTCTATATGTTAATTGCTTGTTTATCATTTAAAATAGCTATCTTCATAGTAATTAAATAATTGTTTGAAAGATACTGATTACATACAATTAACCATTTTCAAATACTTTATTCAAGTGGTTAGAAAGAGATTTAAAAAAATGAAGTGAAATTAATGCCAATGAAGGTTAATGATGAGAGATCTGATGATTTTAGTGTTGTTATGAACAAGTGATTAAATTAAAGCTTTTCCAAACACCCATAACCCAAGGCAACTATTAAAGGACTTTTTATTTCAGTCAATTTGTATAAATTATCACTTTGCTAATGAAAAACTCTTATGAATTAAGAAAGCTATACAACAAATTTTAAACTCTATTATTGACGACATACATCTGTGCAGTTAAATTATGACTATATGAGCTAGTTGACTGAATCAATTTTAATAATTATCTCTAGTAAAAAAATAAGGTATAAAGTTGAATTGTTACTCTACTGACTGAAATAAGAAAACAAACAATAATAGGATCTAGGATATAAAAGCAAGTTAAGTGTTAAGAATGGTGAAGCTTCAGATCCAGGACATACCCCAGGGGTCCCTGCTCGTCCAGTCATGACATGTGGGTTGATGACAACTCGAGAAGCAACTTGTTTACCCTGCTGCTGGCCAGCCACTGGTGTGGTACCTGGCCGCATGGCATTAACATTAAGTATCTGTACATTGCTGGGCACTATAGTGGATGTAACACCAGGCTTAGCCTGCTGCTGTGTGTTAGTGATATTGGCAGCCACTGTGACTGGGACTGACATAGGGACGGATACCATGCCACCAGGTGCCCCACTAGTCTTAATGACCAAAGCAGTCGGTTTATTCAGGTTTATCGTTGCCTGATTAGTGTTGCATTGCTGTTGTGCTGCTGCTGTAACTGTCTGCACATTAGCCACTGCATTAGAAGCGGTCTGCTGCTGGGGCTGTTGTTGTTGCTGCTGCTGGGGCTGTTGCTGCAAAACCGTCTGCGTGGTGACGACACCTAGGCTGCCGTTGGCCAATTGGGCCACATTTTGACCCGCGGGAAAGGTAATTTTGCTCGCGTTTGCGTTAACGACGTTAGCGGCGGTGATCACTTGGCCAGTGCCGGAATAAACGATCTTCAGGTGTTCCGCCTGAACCTTGGCTAATTGCGTGGCGCCAGCACCGGCGATGGCGACCTGATTTGTCGTTACTTGGTTAACGAAGTTGGCCTGCTGCTGCTGGGGCGCCGAAGTGACGACCACCACCGCGCTACTCGTCGGCGAGGGCTGAGGCGAACTGTTGGCAGTCATGCCGTGCGGACTTGCCGTAGCAGTGGCACGGGGACTAGTGTTGTCGTTGGTCTCGGTACTACTACCGCTGCCGCTGCTGTTCGTGCCATTGACGGCGGGTTTTGCCTCGGCAGTGCTAACCTCGTGGTTGCGAGCTTGGCCAGCGACGTTATTCGTGCTACTGCTTGTCACTAGTTGAGTCTCGAGGCTGCCGACGATCGCGTTCACCGCGGACTCGTCCACGTCCGTGCTGAGAGCCTCCTCAAGGAACTTCGCCGACGCCATTTTCCGCCGAGTTCCAACTGTAAACTGAGTCGCGCATGCGCTGGTCGAGCATGCCGCCGCAGCACGCCGCCGTCGCAGCCGCCACCGCTCTCTCACTAACGCCACTAGACGCCCCCATCCTACTGTACACCATACTATATACAAACTCAAATTTGTGGATGCTTATTTCTCTCTCTTTCCCTCTACACTATACTTTCGGCTGCGCCGTTCTTCTTACATACGCTGCCATCTTGCTATCTTCTATCCTTGTCGCAGTACCGAGTTGCTGCAGCATGTGACGTGGGAGCAAGAAAACCGCGCGCGCGCAGATTTACGATATCGCTGTCTCTCTTTTCAAGCGCATTGACTGGACGAAGAAGATGAAGAGATTGGATGATAATGACGAATGACGATGTGAAGAACTCAGTTGGCAACCTGAAAGTTTAGCGGAATACATTGTTTTTCATACGTATTTATGAGAAAATCAACGATGCATTACAAGCAAATATACACGTGGCGTATCGGACGTATGTGTGTTTATAACCTATATCTCTAATATACATATGCGTTCTGTAAATAACAGCGCGCGGTGTGGATGTTTACGATTCGCTGAAGCGCGGGCAGTGATTTTTACCCTCGTGCGAATTGACCTGACGGTCGTTTACTATATCTAGACTTGTTTCTGATGGTCATCCGCATTTGCTTGTTCTGTGCGGTCAATCTTTTTATTCATTAAAAGACATTCAAAAAATAATTATTTTGTGTCAAATTATTATGGGTCATTATAATTAGTTGTAATCATTTTTTGAAGAATAAAATGAAGATTAAGTTCGTGGACAAAACAACGTACATTAAAAAATTTTATATCAAGTAGCGGGTAGTGGATATGGAAGATTATTTAATATTATAGTAATTACACTATAATTATAAATTGAATAATAAAAATTTTGTTTTTAAATTGATTTATTCAAGTATTAAGAAAGAACCTTTTTGAATATTTTAAGTATTATTGTAACTATTTTTTAAAATACCTATATACATTTTTAACAATTTTTTGATACTTAATTAATAAATGATTATAAGACCTATATTATGCACGATATTTATAATTATATGTTTGACACAGTTTAATAAAATTATTCAAATATGTTTTACAAATCAATTCTATACTACTATTAAAATTTTTGTGTAGTCAACTATTAATATTATAAATAAAAATAACGGTTGAACAACCAAACGAACTCTATTTTATTTGAAAACTACACAGTTTCGTGCTTACTTACCTTCACGTTAACATATATAAGTTACAGAAGTATCGCTTCAAAAACACAAGCGTTCAGATACTTTGAGGGTTTGACTAATACTTGGATAAAAAAACTATTTGTGCGAACGGCTAGCACTAGCAAAAGAATGCTACCCCGACAATGTTGAGCTTAATAAAGCTGACATTTGCACGAAGGATGATCTGGTCGCGTGGCATTCGTCAAGCGCTTGAGAATCGATGTGGCCAATCAGATGCTAGGTATATAAGCTATGTCAACGTGTGTACATGGTATTTACCTGCGTTGATATACCTTTTTTGTATTTCTGATTCAAGCTTTATAAAAATCCGATTTTTTTATTTTTAGAATTGAAATCTTATTCTTTGAGTTTTTGTATAAACATTACATTTTACTTTCTTGACAGTAGCATTTCTTTCAGATGTGCAAAAAAAATCCAACAAGTCAGGATAAACAATTAATAAATTGCTCTTCATAACTATTTTTTTAGTAAAACGAACATAACAAGAAAGCTTACGATCTTTAAGTCTCTCTCCCTCTTTCTGTGTGTGTGTGTGTGTGTGCGCGCGCGCGTGTGTGTGTGTGTGTGTGCGTGCGTGTGTGTGATATTTTGAGAGAAGCCGTATTTTACATTATATATTCTCTGTTAATTAAATAAAATATTTGTTTAAAGTAAGTATCATTCGTATCCAAAATCTTTTAATACTTTTTACTGTTGTTTACTGTTTTGCTGTTTTGCTATTTGTTTATTGTTGAAGAATAAGATAGTATAATTGTAAATATACTTTTTGATTCATTCGTCTACGATAATTTATTGTTAATTTTATCTATGAAATTTATTCACACTATGTTTGTAAAGCATTTCGAAATTGCATTTTACAGAAATGTCATACTCGATAGTCTTTCACTTGTTTGTCACTATCAGAGAGCAAAATTCTCGTAAAAAATATTGATTGATAAGAGCACATCAGAGGCAAGCCAGAAATGTCAATAGCACTTCGCGCAAACAGATAGTGTGAGAGAATAATTTGCCTTTTCCACATTTCTTTTCATACAATTTTTAAAATTATTTTTCGCAAAATAATGATTACGATAACTAATAGAATATTAGGAAAATCAAGCCACTTTGCACTTCATTCGAGAAACCATAAGCATGATAATTCTTTCCTACATTTTTAATGAATCGGTTGATCGATTTAAAATAATTAATCGATAAAACACCCCTGAAAAATCCTTCATCACTACTTCAATCTCAATTTAATCTGTACTATATCACGTTTCAAGCGACCAATGATCCCAAGTCTTGATGGTGTTAAACAGTGCATCGCCAGAACTGTCAATGCTGCTGCACTGCCTGTGACCTAGTAATCTGTAGTTCTTATCTATTTTGCCAGCTTCAACGCCATATTCTAATAATTTGTTAACTGCCTCAAGTGCAACCTTAGTAGGATTATTTTGCCGGAAGTTACCAATAAAAGATATGCCGATACTATTAGTATTGAAATTACGAGAATGGCCACCCTCGATATCCCAACCACGACCCTCGTAAATAATTCCATCATTGCCTACTAAAAAGTTGTAACCGATATCAAGCCAACCGTTGACATCCATGTGAAAGTTCTGAATTCCGTGAACAATTTGTTTACATTTAGCTTCGTGAAAGCAAGCACTTGTGGCTGTATGACTGATGATCACATAACGCGGTGGCGCTGTTTTTAAAGCTACGCGAGATATTGGAGGTCGAGCACCCCAATTCTTTCTTGATACTACACTTAAGTTTTGTATTGTCCAGAATTCTGAAACATACAGACAAGAATTTTTTCTTGAGTTGAGATATTTTTCATTAAAAAGTTTTCTTTTCGACTTACACACAAACGCGCGCGTACGCATACACACACACACATATACTTTACTCGCTTTTTACATTTTTGACTCAGATAATTTTATAAAATTAAGACAATACGTAGTATACCATGAGTGTCAATATCGATGTCGTTATTCGCAGTTTTCTTGAAATCAAATTTTGTGAATATAACGACGTAAAGACTGCCAAAGCTGATTGTAAGTACGCAGAGGACGAGAACTTTTTCCCATATTGGCATGACATCTTGGCCTAAATGATTAACAAGCCATATTAATGGAAACGTAAATTTGAGTAATCCATCGCTTTTGAATTCAAGACAAAAAATGTGCATTCTATATAAAAAATAATAAGATCCTTTATTGCACAGATTTTGAAAGCGAACAAAATTATTTTTTATTGCATGAAATATTGAAATATATTATTTATATTTTAATAATTTCAGCGATGTTGCATATGGAGATTTTCAATGAACTTCAAGCTTTTCTTCGCAAAACAAGAAGATTTATAAGCATGGTTTTCATCATTTATTGTGTTTGAATTATTATATATTTGAAGTATTAGATTTTTAAATAACTAGTTCAATAAAATTTCGATAATAGTCTACAGTTTCCACATTGAAATTATGATAACTCTTGTATTCACGAACGAAATACGTTTGATAAAGAAAATAATCACCTTTTTCTGAGCAAAACATCACTGAAAATAAAAGTTAAACGTTAAACGTAACTCTTCCTTGAAAATAAAATATAATACTGCTTCTTTTCGTAGAAACTCAATCTTTGATAATACGTAATACGTTCTGCTCAGCTCTTGATAAGTGACTGCTGGTATAAAGATATATAAAAGACGAGCTCCCCGATTACCATACAAGGAAGAGCGTTATCAGTCGGTGCACACGAACTCGTATTTGAAACTTGTTGCTTCATAATTTCATAGCAGAAACGTCAAATATATTTAAAATCAACGCGTATATTTTTTAAATTATTATTTTAATTAATGCATTCAAAAAATACAGAGTAAATCGTACATTCATTTATTTTTTCATTGTAGTTTCTATAACTATCGTAATTAATAAAATAAATTGTACTGTTAGAAATAATATCGAGGAGGGTCGAACAACTCAGGTTACATAAAATTATGCATTTACATCTATCAGGAAAAGACAATGCAAGCTCTTTATTCATTAGATTTATTATGAAATTAGCATAGTAATGTATGCATCGTTTCGAGTTTGAAAATACCATTAAAATAGTTTTCAGAAGCTTACGTTATTTCAAAACATATAACTAGAATAAAATAATTTGTCATATTTACCAGGTTTTTGAATAGATAATTATTTTTAATAATGTCATATAAAATTTGAACAAGATTGCCTGTAGCCATATTGTATAAACTCTTTGTGATTATCATGTCGTAAGTTAACAAACTATTCTTGTATGTATGAAGCATACTTCTGCATATACGAACATTTACAAAATTACATAAATAAATACAAAACCATGATATTTTATGGTTATTTTCTAAAACTTAATAAAAAAACACGAATAACAAAGATCATAATAATCGGTATAAAAATTTAAAGTTTAATTCTATTTGAAATTGCGACTATAACTTTGAAAATATGTAGATTTCATCAGTCAGAAAATATGCAGTTTCATCATAGGAACAAGTTTTTCATGTATTTTGCAGTGTTAACACTTAACTAAAGTCTGGATTTTTAGTAGAAAAAAACAAAATATGTGTTTTATTTATTTGCTGGAAACCATGAAAATACGCATTTTTTTCAACGTTATTAAAGTTGTTGAGGGCAAATAAAGGATATCAAAGACGTATACAGTAATTTGGTGATTAGAATAATAAAATCGCACAACTAAGGGCATGCGCTTGAAAAAATGTAATTAATTACTTTACAATTAATACACTTTTTTTGGTGCAATTGTCCATGTACCATGCGATGTTATTGAGGTTTTTTCTCCAATAAAAATTAATTCTAGGTATTTTCCCAAATTTCTCATTAAAAAACGCAATCGTTGATTTTTTATTATAAAATTTATTCATCAATAATAATGTTTTTAACAATAGGTATGATCGATAGTTCTAAACAATAGGAACCTATATTATAATATACGATATTTATTGACTTAATTTACTATCTATGATCTATAAGTAATTTATTATTTTTATAAAGAACATACAAATAAATTTGAAACAGCGTTATATCATACAAGCAGCTTATTCTCATATTTCTAACGATAGTTATCCTAATATTTCGTATATTTATTTCACATTAAGCATAATTATTTTGTATTGATAACATGTACTAATAAAATTTAACCTATAACTTTTAATGCTCCTACAATCCATTTTATTTAAATATTTATTATAGTTTTAATAAATCATTTTGTTTTCGCAGATACATGTAAATCTCATAATACTACGTTATGCATAAAAGTAAATTCATTTTTCCACACAAAAATTTGAAAATTGTATGAATTTGTGGGTAAGTACACGATTATTTTATGACTTTCAATTTCTAAAATCGCAACTTATCCGTTAGATTTGTTAGTACGTTCAGCTAAATCAAAACGTCCATATTTTTATTATATTCATGACAGCACTTAATTTGATATACGTTACGAAAATATCACCATAATTATTGAAAATATATACGAAAATTATGTAAATGTATGTGTTACATCTTTTTGAAACGTTTTTAAACAAAAAAAATTATTAGAAATTTAATAATTCTGTGGGATTTCAGACCAATGATCCCACTTTTGTATAATTTTGAATAAAACTTGACCAGGACTATTAGTATTACGAAATTGTTTAAGACCTAATAATATATAATTTTTATGAATTTTGCCTTTTTCAATGCCATATTGTATAAGTTTTTGGAGATTTTCAAGTTGAGAGTCGACAGGACGTATTTCGCTAAAATTTCCAATAAGAGCTATACTGATGCAATTGTTATCTTTGTAATTATAATAATTATGTGGTTGAACACCCCAGCCGCGATGTTCGTATATTTGATTGTTACCAATTAAAAAATTGTAACCTAGATCATTAAATCGGCTTTTATAACTTTCCGACATTAATGTATGTTCTAATATTTGATTATAACATTGGTCCTGAGTATAGCAGGTGTCGGTGTCTGTATGGCTAATGATTATATAGGATGCTGGTTGAGTTATTAGGACTTGTTTCACAGCTGGATGTGAAATCCATTTTTGACGTGGTATGACTGTAACTATTTCCACAGATCTCTGATCTGAAACAACCAAGATAATTTTAATATTAGATTAATACTTTTAGTATTAGATTATTATATCTATCTGATTAATTTTATTATTTAAATTGAAAATAATATGCATATAAAATAATAAGACAGAGTATATTATAAATACAAAATAATTATTGTTAGAAATAAATGTTAATGAACTATGCCTACCATAGAAAGATTGGGTTATTAATTTTTTTTCAAAATCAAGTTTTGACAATGTAACGTACAGGCTGACGAAACAGATAATCAAAACAAAACACACTCCTACTTTTTTCCATGTTGGCAAAGAATATTTACCTAAAAGATAATAAATAAATTAGCAAATGAATAAACGAATAAATTACAAATAAATTGAAGAATGAAATTAATAATTAGTGATTACCTAAGTGAGCGAAATACAGATAACATATTTCTTATTAGCCGAAAAAATTAAACTTATTTGTTATTCATGATGATTATTGCAACTGAAAAACAAGCTTACCGGTACTTGTAAGAAGAGCTGTATCAGTTTCAAACATATTGTTAAAATTTTAAATAACCAAATCAATTAAAGCGCATAATTTTTGGTAGGTTGAACTTGAAAAATGAAGTTGTACTTCAAAGAAAATAACTCTGTATAGGAAAGTTGAAATGCTGGGACCAACCGTGTTCTCGCCGAGGAGTTTGATAAGATACTGTTGTGAAAAACACCGAGTAAACGAAGTGACGCGATTAAGAGAAGAGACAATGCGGTTATAAATAGAATTTCATGATACGCACTATAGCTTCTCAAAGGTACACTCTATATAAACTTTGCAAATTTATAACATCGCTTACCCCTTGGTCTCTCTCCCTGTTTTTTCGGTCCAATTCCCTACACTGGCACAATTTGACCCTTCGCACTTTTTCATCGCCGTATCATTTGATAACGATTCATCTGACTTGAAAAAGCTCTCAGACATAGTATAAGTAATGCAGAATTCAAAAAATAATTTTGAATTTAATTACTAATAAAAATTTTTTTTAATAAATGTGTTTTAGTAAAACAAAATATGAGTCAAATTTGCCCATAGTAGGGACCAAAGGTTAATTGTGTAATATATATTACATACTTAAGTACATATATGTATATACATGGATGCACGTATTAATATTCAGTGTATACGAAAAACTGTCATCGAAAGCTTGAACAATTGAAGGTCATCGTTGTAACATTCTAAAGATCGGAGATCATTTGTTCGCAGTGATGCTTATAATAAATACAAAATCTGCATTCAACGCGTCATACGAATGATATCAGTTCCTCTTCCTCTTAAGCGATTATTATCCTTGGCGAGTCAGGGTCTCTAGTTGTACGGAGCATCAGCAAATCACACTGCTATTGAACCAGACGCGCAAAAATAATAATATTAATAGGAATCTAGTTCAAAACGATAAAAACAGGACTTATATAGGATTAAATTGCATAATGTTCAAGTGAGCTTTTCGTAAGATAATTCGAGTTTTATCCAGTAAAGATGAATCAAGAGCATACTGCAATGAATTTTCCAGTTAGCGCGTTGCTTTCATCGCTTCGTGGCACGTGCCGTCGACATGTCGCACGATAATTTTCTTCTTGATTCATCTATTAGCGCGCCTGTTATAGCGATTATGTTTGTGATACCTATTCAGATTGATTCGTCCGTGTACAACTTGCGATCTACGATTGTGAACAAAGTTCTAAACATAATAATAGAAAATAAAATATTTTTTTTAATAAAAAACCGCAAAAATACGTAATTTACCATCCATATAGTGTCTATTTTTCTCTCAGTTGACACTGTGGAAAGTAACAAGTAAATGTCAACAGACACTTTTTAATAAATGGGAAAGTACACATGAAGCCAAATACGAATCGTAGATAACAGTTGTATTTGAGAATATCATTCTTTATCTAAGATATCAAAGTCCAAAACATCTAGTAGTTGACGGGCAATATAAAAAAAAAATAGCTCGACATTTCAAACCGAATTTCTTATTTGCTATCTTTCACATCAACTCGTATAATCGACTTTTTACTGTCGATATAAAATGTACACAGGTGTACAGCTAAAACATTACAGAATATATTGCATTGAACACCAATTATTATGTAGAAGATAATAATAAAACATCACTTTGGTTTGATTAAAGCAAAAAATTTTATTTTCATTTTTTGTATACACATATCGCACTTCAAAAATAAACGTTCTCTTTCAGCCAGTCTTTACATAAATCGATAACGAAGGTAATAAAAAAATAATTGACTAGAAAGTAAGAAAATAATACAGATGCTAAATTGAAGAATATATAGAGCTGTTCTAAATTGTTCGCTAAATATAATGCAAGTAAAGATTTTCTTGTTTGGACTTAATAATAAATTACATGCGATTAAATAAATTGTTATAATGCCATCACTGACAAGACTTAGGCAATAAAATAGCACAGCCAGTTCAAAAAACAAAGATATACGCTTTAAGATTTTTTTTTGTTTCCCTATCAGTTGAAAGCTTTGCGTAAAATTAGGCTAACAAAACAAGTCTACCAAACGTAAGGTATTACGAGTATATCACACATTATTGGTCCAATGATCCCAGGACTTTATAATGTTAAATAATTTGTCACCAGGACTCGAAGTATGAGGCTGTACCTGTCTCTGCCCAATAAGTTTGTAATTCTGGGTAAGTTTGTTATTTTTTACGCCTATGTCCAATAATTTCTTAACGGACTCGACTTGCTCTTTGGTGGGATTTTTGAAAATGAAATCGCCGACGAAAGCAATGCCGATACTTCGATTATTATAATTATGAGTATGAGCACCAGCCATGTCCCAGCCACGACCCTCGTAAATATTGCCGTCACCGCCAACGAGGAAGTTGTAACCGACATCTGCCCAGCCCTTGGCCTCGATATGGAAGGTCTGAATGACTCGCACGTTCATCTTACACTTGGCCTCATTGTAGCATGATTGCGTCGCCGTATGTCCGATTATCGCGTATGGGGCTGGCTGCACTTTCATCGGACGCGGTGGCTCTCTTGCTGGCTGAGCTCCCCATTCCGAACGCGATATTATTCGAATGCTGTCCTTGGACTTTGTCGTGAAGTTGTTTGCCGCTGAAAATTGAAAATACTAACTTTTAATTTTTATTTTGTCCAAAAATTATCATTAATTTCCTTTTATCGCTCATGTTCATTTAGTTGTCTTTAGGCCTATCTGCCGAAATGATGGAAGCAAGGTTACGTTTCAGTATTCAAAAGCTATTGATGCAGGATTATTAGGTTCAATTGCCGTCTATTTTGAAAGCGATAATTCAAACATGTACACTTCATGATCAAACTAATAGGAACTAAATTGACATATGTATCAGATTTATATCAAAGTAGCGATAAAGACAAATATTTGTAAACTTACCTATTATGTCTTCTCCAGCTTTAACATAGATAAAGTCAATTGACAACAGACCAATAATGAAAAAACACCGGCTAGGTAAAAGCTTCATTCTATCGAATTTTAAATATGGACACAAACAAAAAATAATTCGAATATCTAGTCAAAATCCGATTATCAAAGGTGAATATCTGAGTTGGAAAATATTCTGAAGAGCTTGACTACAATGATTATAATGCTGGAGCGAGCAAGCTCAAATGGTTGACGAACGACTGACTCCTGAAGCGTCCGCGCACGCTACTATTTTTAATAGTTCGACAGGGGAGCTCGTCCGCGTAACCTCTACTTAAACTTTACAATATATTAATAGTTCTATAAATACAGCACTACCTACGCTACGATTGCGAGTATATATTCGTGCAAATACTACGTTGTATGGAGAAATGTTATCAACTTATAAAAATATTTGAACATAATTTTGTAAATATAACGACTTGTTAACCTTTTTATATTTTATGTTGTAAATAAGTACTTGAAATACTATACCACTGAAAAAAAACATTAATTATTATTAATTTTATTATACCTATGCACAATAAAATAATAATTTAAAATTATATAATGAATTGTATTCTAATATTTAAAAATAAAACCGATATTAGTATATTCAAATTAATTAGTTTAATAAGTATAATTGTTAAAAAAAAATAGTGAATAGTACTATATTTTTTTATTTTTGTTTACATATTTTCACTGCTATACAAAAATATAACATACTGGTACTTCAGTAAATAATTTTTTCGTGAAAGATATCAACATATGCTATTCTAATACTTTTTTTATTCACGAAGATGAATTTATAGACGGTAATCCTATTGATTATACTATGGATATCAATATTAAAAGAAATTGTAATCCTTATAACTATTCAGCATACACTACACACGCACATAGATTTTTCTTACACAGATTTTTTACACATTTTTTACACCAGTTGCACTGGTTATAGCACTTATTTGTTTCTCGAGTAAACCAAATCAACGATTACGCCAGCACTACAGAAAGTTGAAGCTTACAAAACAACAAAGAAAAACAGTGATTACTTATTTATCCATAAATTGACACTTGTTACGTAAAAATAAATTCACCATTGATGTAAAAATTAATCTGATGTTTACAAGAAAATACAAGGTTTTATATAACATTCGTTTCTAGCAAATAATTATCAGAATATACGGAGGGATTGGTCAACGACAATCATTTAACGCGCTACATAAATAAACTTTTACGGTGTTTGCGACCAATGACTCCAAGTTTTAATGATATTGTACAGTAAATCTCCTGGGCTAACTGTAGATATTAATTGTCTTTGGCCTAACAGCTTATAGTTGTCACTAATCTTTTTATTTTGCAAACCATAGTCCAAAAAACTTTTAGCAGCCTCGAGTTGTGCATCAGTTGGTTGTTCCTTGTTAAAGTTTCCGATGAAACTTAGCCCAATACTCTTGCTATTGTAATTTTTTGTATGAGCTCCCTGAACATCCCAGCCTCGGCCTTCGTAAATATTTCCATCACCACCGACGAGAAAATTATAGCCAATATCATCCCATCCATTTTGGCCCATGTGATAATCTTGAATTGAATGGACGATGGATTTGCATCGAGCTAAAGTATTACACTGACCCGTTGCTGTGTGGCTTACTATAACGTAAGGAGATGGCAGAACGTGTAATGGTGATGCAGGCTTTGCAGGAGTACGAGAAGACCACTCTGATCGCGTTACAAGTGGAAATGATACTGGATAGTAGCGAGGAAGAAAATTCGTTTTGATAAGACGATGACTTTCTAAGAAGATTATTTGAAACGCTCTACAAGGCAAAGCGGAATATTTTATCGTAAAAGGCAAAACTCTCAATCGTTAATATTCTTTAAATAATTCATTAATTATGCGATCAAAAATATATCGTAAACATTGTCAAGGTACTCTGAACAAAGTTAAAATGTGATTATATAATACGTATTATTTGAGAAATATTTACAATTGAGAGCTTTGTGGAGCGGGTAAAATATGCCGCTTTTCTCTATAGAAACATACCGTTTAAACGTGTTCCATTGGTTGGTATCAGCAAACTTCCAATGATCAAAAGACCAATAAGTAGCAAGTTTTTTAATGTCGAAGCCATGATATTTCCTATGACATTAATTAACATATATTTTCTTTGAACAGAAATTCTATTTTTAATATTGCAATATTTTCTATTCACCTACGTAATAACTCTGATGATTTAATGACGTTTCTCGATATTGTTGAACCTTATATAGGAAAAATATGTTCTATATTTATTGATATTAGATCTCAGAGATTGTCGGGTAAGTCCCAAAAAATATGTTTACATATAGTCAGAAAATAAATGTTGATAGATTAGCAATATTATTATCAATGTTTTGTCAGATAGAATATGAGACCTGATAAGATTCAAGTGTCCATGTCAGTGCTTATTAATTTGATTCACTAGTAGTATCAAAATATACGCATAAACAAAGATAATACAATGTGTGAATTTTCATTTTGATAGTAACAAAGAAAAGATCGTCCTCGTTTTACAAAGTTGTGTAGATCATAGTGTTCAAATCAACAAGTTTCAACCTTATCAATAAGAAATTACGCTGAGACAGTTTAATAAAAAACATAGTCACTGCTATTAAAGGGTGGATAAAAGGCGATGTACTCATTTATACAATACAAACACATTTGAACTATAATATTTATTGTCTTTTATCAGGCGTACAATAATGGAATAGATATGCATAATATTGTGGAGTTTTATGTTTACAAGTTTACAAAAGAAAATGTACGTAGTTGTCAAATTAAATTAAGAATTTTTATGGATTTTCGGACCAGTGCTCCCAGGACTGAATGATTTCATAAAGTTTGTTACCAGGACTCCTAGTGTTGGAAACCTGTCTTGATCCCAATAACTTATAACCCTTTGCCAATTTATTCTGTTTAAAACCAAACTCCAAAAATCTTTTAGCAGCATCGATTTGTACTTGGCTCGGACTCTTGTAGGTGAAATCGCCGATAAAAGCAATGCCTAAACTTTTCTTATTATAAGCTTTGGTATGTGCTCCTTCGATATCCCAACCACGACCTTCGTAAACATTACCATCGCCGCCGACGAGGAAATTATAACCAATGTCGTTCCAGCCATATTGCTTAGTGTGAATTTCCTGGATATTACGTACATGAAAAACGCATATATCTTTGGTCGTACAGATTCCCGAAGCTGTATGGGTAATGATCACGTAGTTGGGTGGTAATGTTTCCAGTTCTGTTGGCGGATGCTTAGGACGAATAGCACCCCATTCTCGACGGTTTACGATTACTACATCACCTGGGCAAATAAATGTTGATTATCTTACTGATCATATCGTCATATATTTAGGATTGTTTTTTTTCTACGGAATGTTGCAATTTGAAATTACACTTGTGTAACAGACAATATTTGCTTATATTTCGCGTCAGTTTAGTTGGGAATTTAATTATTTTTATAAGTATTCAATAATATTTAGTTTTTTACAATTTATTATTTAATACATTAATTAAATATTTCTACATCATCATAAAAGCAATGAAAAAATCAAAAGAACTTCACAAATTTGATTGTCATATTTACAACTACGTAGACTTATTCCATAGCTAACAGAGTAATCTATCACTTCAAAATAATATTATTAAAATGAATTACGCTTGCTTGAAAGTTTATGAAATGATTTTATTGGCTCCAGGAATATACGTGTCAAATGCTCATCACACTTATCAGTTCTTATCCACGGTCAATGCAGTCAAAGATGCAAATAATTTACATTGCTACAATCGCTTATTACAAAATAATGGCTTATACATTTTACTACAAATTAATTTTATATTGAGTAATAGATCAGCAGTAATATCACGATTAGAAAGTTAAATTCATCCAAAATATTTTGTAGAATATAGAACATTTTCATAAATTTTGAATGTAACGGTTAATTATAATACAATATATTATTTACTATATATCAGCTTACCTTCGTTATCAGGCACAGCTCCTAAACAAATCGAAAAGGTAGTAAAGATGCAGAATAATGCCGACTTCATATCTAAAAATTTTATAATTAATGTAATGTAAATTGATCTTTAAAATATAATTAAATCATTAATTTCGATTGGTAAATATTTCACAAATCACGATATTTGTTCTAAATAAAATCTTACTGGAACAACGTAGCTCTTGTAGTCTCAATTAATGTTTCTTTGTTGAGCGTCGAATTGTCACTAAGACTTACGAGCAGCTTCTTAATGATTTAACTTTCGTTATATTAATACAATTACCAAGCAACCTTGTAACCTTCACTTTATCTGAAGTGATATGTCCGAAAAATGCGCACTAATGAAATGAAAATAGATTAATCATTGAGTTAAATGTATTGTTATTTTATTAAAAATGCATTATTAAAATATAATCTACTAAGTTGTACAATCTACTATCTATTTAAACTATGTTCAAGTCACTGAAACATAGTTTCAGTGAGATTATTAACGAAAGGTCACAATAACTGTCGAGATAATCAAAAATTAACTGCATCTAATATGCAAAAATAAAAATATAATATCAGCATGTTGTAATCTGTCAAATGTTTGTATATTTTGTCGAAAGTGCAATATAGATCTTGTTATTTCAGAAATAGTTTATGTAATAGCATATATTTTCAAAGCCTCAAATAAAGCATGAATTCAGTCATTAAAATAAAAAAAATTTATTAAATAACTACCATTGTAATACTTCTCATATTTGATTTTCCTATATAATAAAAGTGATGGCTTGCGAAGTAAAGTCATTTTATTCCTGATTTGATTAGCTGAATGTAATCACGCTGGTCACTATTATGACCAAATTGGCACTAAGTAACAGACCGAGGCCTTTTTCATCGATTAATACTTAACTAATTAAATGAATGAAAACAAATTATAACTACTGAATGTATGAAAAAAATAAGTATAATAATTTATAGATATTGACAAGACAATACAACCCAACCCACATTTTCTCAACGGCTTAACCTTAAATAAATACAAGAAAGTAATCTTAATGCACTCCAATTATATTCATTTATATTATATATAAAAAAATTTTGAAATTTGATTTACAAATAGAACAAACTCTCTAAATGCTTATGGATGAATAATTGAAAAAAGCAGTTGAAAAGCAGTTAAAATAACATATGTGTTGATATTGATATTTTTTTAAGATTTACGATGTATATAATATAAATAAATAAATAAAATTTTATATATATATATATATATATATATATATATATATATATATGTAAATCAAAAATAATATAAATATAATAATAGGAAGAAATGAGCAGAGAAGTAAATAGGAGGAAATAGGAGAATAGGAGAATAGGATTGTGTTTAGTTACAGTTCTATTGTGACACAATTAGATGCTAACACACAAGTATATATTGCTTTCAGTAAATGGATTCAAAACTATCGTTGAAATGAAAGGTGTCCATCAATTGTAAATAGTACCGTTAATGGCGGAGTTTGTACATTTAAAGATAAAAAAGTGTGTGTATTAATAACTTTTTATGGTCTAATTCTATACTATTGGCATTATTCATATAACAAATAACTGTTGTTGATAAGTTAACAGAACTACGTAATTTAAACAAATACCTATAATGACCGACATTTTATCGAATTACTCATAGTATATTAAGACGATTATGTTATGATCATCAAATTAATTTGTTCCGCGAGATGTTATTTACCGATAGGTATTGAGAAGACGTAGTGACTGCTGGTGTTGTAGCTGTGATTGTTATTTTCACGTCATCGGCGTAATTTGTATTTCCATCATTATTGCATTTACCTGAAATCAGTGTTACAAAAGTCAACTTTAAGTGTTGTTGTTTAAGCTTTTAATTATTTATAACGTAACACAGTAGTATAGTTGATTGAAATTTCAAAATAAACAAAACGCCACTCAGAGTTATATAGTTTTATTACGAATGCACTATATTTACATAATGTTATAATACAAATATACAAAATATAGACAATTTTTCATTTTTAGTGTATGATCACGTATGTAAATAATATCTTTTATGTCAAATTTTTTTTAATACTTTATACTGGATTTTTTTCTTCGTGCAATTGCACATTGTAAGTTTTGCAAGTTTATGTGGGAATTTTATTGATTGAAAAAATTGATCAAAATTTCACTTAAAACGTGAAGCAGTAAGGCTATATTTTATACAAACTAAAACATATAATATATACAGAGATAATACTTGTAAGATTTTATAGAAAACATCTTTTTCAGTATATAATAATAATGTGTATTATTGTAGTTTTCAATAAAATACATATTATTTCATTACAAAAAAAAGTTATAGTTAAATAAATTTGTTTACTTGTTTTTGTATTTAATAGTCACGTGTTCATATAGTGGTTACTTTCGAGTCCATTGTTTTGAGATAATTACTATTTTATAAAATAAAAAAGTAATTAATTAGACTCTTAGACAATGAAAATATGAAGCTTCCTGTTCAGAAATGAAGATCAACTATGTGGCCTAATTTGTTAATTATATTCTCAAATGATTTCCCGGAATTTTTGACAAAAAAAATAATTACACATTTAATCCACATATTATTAACAATACCATTCAATTAATTATCAGGTTAATATCAATGTTATCATCACAACATTATTATTATGGCGTGGCTGACCAGTGAGGCCAAGTTTTGATGATATCGTACAACACTTGACCAGGACTTTCAGTCTTAATGCACTGTCTGTGCCCCAGTAACTTATAATCCTCAGCAAGTTTTTTGTTCTGCAGGGCATATTCAATGAGCTTTTTAGCAGCATACATCTGTCGATCAGTTGGTTCTTTTTTCGTAAAAGTACCAATAAAAGATATACCAATACTTTTCTTATTGTAATTGAAGGTATGAGCGCCCTCAACGTCCCAACCTCGACCCTCGTAAATAGAACCGTCACCACCAACGAGGAAGTTGTAACTGATGTCATCCCAACCTTTCGATTCGATATGGAAAGTTTGTATATAGCGAACTGTGTAAACGCATGAACCTCTGTCATAACATGGCTCTGTTGCAGTATGGCTGATTATTACATATGGTGGCGGATATTCTGTCAACTTGTCAGGTGACACTTGCGGAGGTTGAGCAACCCATTGACGTCTCGTCACATACGGCACTCCTAGGATATATGAATTACCTGAAATAATGTTATTTAATCAGCTTGCTTGTTGTTTGGTTATAAAAATTTTAATAAACACAAACCGACGCGAACACGAGAAAATCTGATTGAATTTTAGTAGAAAAAGTACTAGTAAGTTGATTTATAAGAATTGTAAATTTTCTGACTTTGAAAACAGTTACATTTCGTAAATCATTTGTTTGAAGTCATTTCAAATTTACTTTTGAAAAAAATGAGTATTGTAAATTTCATTGCACTGTGGATCCATGATCATGGCAATAAAATTTTGCAAATGTTATTATACAATGCGAAGTGGCACGCTTACATAAATACGAAATGAAAATATGATGTACATTGCTTATTATTGAAACACTAATAGGACAACAAATTATCATCAAATATAAAATACAATTATTTTATAATATCTCACATGAAATTCGCAACTTATACGATAAAAATTCATATTACACAATGAATATAAAGAATCTTTTCATATCAAGTATATTATAATATTTTTTTATTTCTAAAGCTTTTATCCGATTATAGGTTGTTGATATACATGTTTTTTGATACCACATAATCATCGCAACATATACTTGCTAAATTACATTCTACTAAAAACTTCTATAGATATAAGTTTCATAAACGTAATTTGCTAGGCAAATGTATACTACATAACTATGGTTTTATTATTTTACTCAACTTAACGAAAGATAACTAATGCATTGATTTTGTATTTCTATTAAAAATTTAATAATTTCCATAAATTTTTAAGTAGATAACGTGTTTTTTTTAATTTTATCGCCGGTTATTTTTCAAATAAATAAATATTCAAGTCTTTACTAACACTTTCACTGACACTGTTGATTTCAGTTTTTGTTGAATACATTTTTGAACTTCCCTTTATGATGCGTACATTGAGTTTCTAATTAATTCAGGCTAATTAATATGTACGTTATTCTAGTATTGACTATTTGACGGCAATATAAATCTACGAACATATAAGTTTACGGTTATTTATTTAATACTTCGAAATTTAATTAATAAAAAACGAAATTGTTACATTATATTTTATAGCTAGATGTATAAAGGACGAAAAAACTCAAAAACTAAATATTATGATTACAGTGCTTTTTACATAAAATTCTTCTATACATATATATCAAATCACTCATCAAATTCAAATAAAATTCATAAATTCTAATCATTTTCTAATAATGTTTTAATAATTAATGGTAATATTTTTATCACGGTAAAAGTCAATAAACAATCCCTTTTAAATATCTGTTTTTAAATCATGCATTTAACCAGGTACTATTTGAAAATCTCCTTAACAATTGTTTTCAAATTCAAGCACATGTTGGCGACCAATGATCCCAGCTCATTATAATATTGTACAAAATTTCAGCAGAATTATCTGACGAATTAGTGCACTTATTTTGTCCAACTAAAATATAATTTTTGCTAATGTATTGTTCTTTGACACCTAAACCGATAAGTTGCTTTCCTTTCTGAATTTGAGCTGGTGTCGGTCTCTCGTACTCATATATGCCAATGAATCCGATGCCGATACTTTTGTTGTCGTAGTTTTCTGTATGATCACCCTGAACATCCCAGCCACGGCAATAATATACCAAACCATCTCCACCTACCAACCAGTTGTAACCAATGTCAGTCTTTTTTTCCATGTCACGCGCTTGCAGTTCTCTAACCACTTGTGAACACTGAGACTGCGTGAAGCACTTAACAGTTTTAACAGGAATGATTATGAGTAGTTCTGGTGGTAAAACCGCCAAAGGTTTTGCATCTTCGCTTGCTGATTGTGCAAGCCATTCACGTCTTGGTACTATGCACACATCATCAAACGTTGGAACTAAAATTTGTGAAAATAAAATGAAGTTTCTTTCACATTGATCTAACTTGTATCTTATCATTCGTTACATAACAGTTTTAGCAATAACATATATATTTTTTAATATGCTATAAGTCGCATCTTTTTTAGACTTGTGCATAATTGTCAGTGGAAAAATCAACAATAATTTTGTCAATGTATTTTTATTTGATTTCTACTAATTATAGCATCATTTATGATTTTCACATTTAATTTCTGTGTTGTAATATTTGTAATCTTCGTTCCTCTGAATAAGTGTACAAAATTCAATGTGAATGAATCAACACATTTTTACAAAACAAAAAATTTTTCTATAGGTTCTTTTTTCAGCGCCAATGAAAACCATGTTCTATTTATCGTGCAAATTTCAATTCTTCGACAATATATCATGCACTTTAATGATTAATCCGAGTTGAATTATTTAAAATGGTAAAAGACTGTTTTCATTTTTGAAACAATTTAACAACTTTTTTGTCATAATATTTTCATTGTTAATACCCCATGGGAAATTGAAAAAATGAAATCGAAAATTGTTCTCACTGACAAAGAAAAAATGATGTTACTTGAAGCATAGATGTTACCAAAACCGTAAGGGTTAGTGTTAAACGAAAAAGTACCGTTTGTAATTGAGGTATCGTTCGGCGGACTCGGAACATATGTTTGCTTTTTCGTACCTGGCATCGTCAAGTAAACAATGACGCTGATTGTCACTATTACTACCAATACTGCTCCAAAAGTAATAAAGAGGCGTTTCTTTGTACACCAGCTCTTAACTGAAAATATATTTTGTATTAGCATTTGTTACGTAATAATTTTACAAATGAAATCAATATTTTGCTATGTGTGTATTTCTGCTACTTGGCGTTGCTTTTATTAGATTAATAATTTAGTCGATGACTGTTGAAAAATTTCGAATTTAATAATACGAATATAAACGTTTACGTACAGCACATGTAAGTAGAACTATACTTAAAGGCTTTCCAATCGAAATATTCCATTTTTAATTCTTAACTTCTTTTAATTTCTACAATTCTACCTTTGTGAAATATTTAACCTGTTGCACACTGATGTTTCCCGAACTAATCTCCTATGAACTAATCTAATTTAACGACTTATAAAATCCTCAGCAAGCCTTAAAAAAAAATATATCTTTGCACTTAAATACAATTTGATATATTTCATTGATAAAGTAATAGATTCTAAGGGGACATATCTTTGTCGGCCAATTTAAATGATGAAATCTGCATTTCGTGTACTTCACACGAAACCACTTTAATTAATGAAGAGCCAGTACCTTATGTGATATCAGAACTATTTCTTGCAAATTACTATAATATTGGATTTGTAATATTATCATAAAAACTGCTTGTTATTCGAGACCAAGGATTATTAACAGAATTATTAAACTACTATTTAAAATTCAGTCTTATCTACACTCGACATTTTGTCCCGTGCTTAGAGTATTCGCTGATTAATTTAAGATCAATAGTACTGTAAAATGTCGTATGACACGTGTGACTTAAGTGGCCCATTATTATGCGGCGTAATTATCAGCCTCGCTTACGTTAGGGTGCTAATATCACACCGTGCAATAATGGGCTACTTCAATCACACGTATCATAATATACTATTTCCTAAACATTTAAGAACTCGTGGTAAATTTCACATAAACACAAAGGTTTACCTTTCTCTTGAGGAAACGGATACAATGGGTGCGAGGACACATTAGATAGTCGTGATCTAACAGCAGCTTCGGTATCCTTATCAATGGTAATCTTTTGGGTGGGCACTGCGTTGATATTTCCCTCATTGGTTCTCTCACCATCAGTTAAATTATTGTAAAACGTCTGGTGAATCACTACATTGCCCTCATACACATTTTTATTGGTATTGCTGATGTTGACTCTATTCGAACCAGTGATTTGATTGTTAACGCTGGGATGTAACACCTCGGGTAGACTGTTAACCGCCCAATGCTGCTTGTTCTCATCCTCCTCGTCGTCACTCGACGGATACGTAAAGCTATCTTCGTCGTCATCATCGTAGTTGGTATCTTCTGCGATCTGTTGTTGTTTTTCCGGTTGTCGGTGAACCAGCGCAGACTCCTTGATCGTTTTGTCATCAGTATTGGTGCTGCTGCCGTTGTTGCTCGACTGCCATGAAGCGATGTTGTTACTCAGACAGACGTGCTCGTTATTTTTTGTCGACTCATCGCTTTGTGGCTGGCGATGCAAGTGCTGCGCGAGTATCATTACTAGATGATGATATTATCATGACGCTTGGCACCAAAACGTGTCTTCATCGATCCATACGTTTTCAATGCCGACTCGAGACTGCCAGTCAAGCCTTCGTAGGATTTTCTTCCTTCTTTTTCTTGGTTTCTCTCTGCGCTCGCTTCGTGCATTCGATAACGATGAGAAAAAGCAGCGAGGCTTATAAGTATTTGTTATTATTGTTCCTCGCGACTGGAGGTATCAAAGGCGACTGATGCCATTACCCACTATTAGGAAAAACTCGCGCGTCTCTCACTGTTTCGCTTGTTGCGAGCGCGCGCAACTTCCTTATCTTCTCACGCATTAACGCACACATCGGACGATTCTCTTTTCCCCGTTGCCATGACTGCCAATCTCCATTTCTGTCTTTTTTTCTTCTCTTTCCCGCTCCGTCTGTGTCTGTGTCTCTCCGTCCTCCAAAACTTTGAGGAAAGTGCGTTCGCGTAGAATGCGGTTTTTTAATCCAACTGGTTTGAGTTTTACTATTGACGAACGCTTTTGAAAGCCCATGTATTTTTCATGCGGATTTATTTTTTAAACGCCACATCTTTGATCATTTATAATAGAGATTTTAAGCACTTTGTCGAACTAATGACCATGCGAGCTTCGTAATGATTCATTTTAAATCGTTGCTCATTGTACCTATCGATAACACAACATACGTTTCAATTTTCACCATTGTTATGTACGCGGGAGATATTTACCTCAGTGTGTTCTGCACACGTACATTCACCGACTACATATACCGGCAGTAGATAGCCTTTATATGTGGAGTCGCTCCAAGGTAAAAAGAAGAACGTTGCTCGCAACTTAACAACACACACACACTGTACATGTACGAACGTCTACACAGTTATCCTTGGTTATATACTTCTTGTCTGTCGTTGATTCTTACATTGCAAAATGCAAATTGAATGGTGCACGTGACTTCATGAATATTTTACGTTACGAAGAATTGTGCTTGTGTCGTAAATATATCAATTACATTTGTACATCTACGCGTATCCCTTCCAGCGATAGTTTTTTCTTTTTTTAAGGATTCGTTCCAAGTAATACATGGTTAATCTCATTAATCTTTTAATTTTGTCAAATGAATCTCAAAACATTTTTTTCAGTATTTAGGAAACACAGTAATACTAGGCCTTTATATTAAACTGTGTTTCCTAATTACTAAAATCATAAAATACTTTAATAAAAAAGTACATCCAGGAACATCATATCTTTTTGTGAATTTTAATCGAATCTCTAATTTGTACCCAATACAGCCACGCCACTGCGTTTTCAGAATATAATGATACTGCTAAATGAAAATGTTATTAGTGTCAAAATACTTCGGAATGAGGAAAGCCGTTTCGTGTTTTCATTAAATTCGGATTTTCCTGTCATTTAATTAAGAGTTTCATGAGTTTTATCAACGTGAAAATTGGGGTGGATTTCCCTCTTATTGTGCATGGTTCCACATCAATCAGCGTAAAAAACAATTAAGTTATGTTTACCTTTAGTTACCATTCTTGCAAGAACGTAAATTAAATAGATGAAAGTATTAAAAAAATTTCAAAAAAGAAACAAACAAACAATAAGTTATATCTGTTTTCCAATAGAATATGTTAATTGTTAGTTTATTCTAAGTCAACATTTATTCATGAATTAAACGCTGTTTTTTAGCGCGTTATAACAAAATTTATTGCTTTTATTTAATTGATTTTTATATGTATTTTCAAGTGTTTCAAGTAGTGCGTATGCTAAAGATTCAATAACCTAATTTTGATTTCTATAAAAAGTTTTTTAGATCAAAATTGAATCATAATAAGCTGTATGTAATATAAAAACTAACGTACGTGAGATTATTAAATCGATTTCCATGTAATTAAAAATGGGTTATAGTAGGTAAAAAGATGATAAAAAATGTAAAATTCATAACTATTTGCAAAAACGTAGCCTTGATAAATCCACCTTATTTAAGTAGAAAAATTGCTTTACAACACTGACAAATATTATATTTTCTTTTTTTTTCTCGACAAAACTTCTAAATATTTTTTTTTACAGAATTTCTAAAAGTTAGTTTACATACACTTACTCTTACAACTTCAAGAGTTTATGCTTATAAATGTTATTTAGAGTGAAATAGAGCGAAAATTTTTATAAATATACACTATTTAGCATAATACGAAGGAATAATAATCTAAAAAATTAAGAGTAGAAAATTTTAAGCAATTTTGTTTTTTTTGTAGTACGGAAAATTTTTCTAACTAAAAATTTTCGACAAAAAGAAAATTTCAACGAAAAATGAATTGAATTAATAAAGTGAGATAATCAAAAGCGATCTAATAAACTTGAACTTTATAGTGTAAATAAATTTATCGAAATCATAAAGCTTATAAATTAATAATTGTTATTTTTTTCAACAAGGTAGATAGAACTACCAATAAGTGTTTGTCATAAGAATTTTTTTAAGCGATATACATATCTTTCTTAGAAAGAAATGTAGTTTAAAATGGTTGCTCACAATGTTATCTTATCAATAACAAATTCTATGTAATTACCCGTCTTAAAAATTCAGTCAAACATTCACAAATCTTCTTTCAGTCTTGTAATAGCATTTACTGTAAAATGCGTGATACTATAAGTTTTTTCGCACATGGGAATATTACTTTTAAGTTCGCTTTTACTTATATAGCTTGAGCTTTAAGCTTTTCTAAAATAACTTTCATTTACAGATATGATAAAGTGCATCTGTTTTGCAATACTTTGTCAGTCAAAGTTATCGTTGTTCAAATCATTTTGCAATATCTCCTTTGTCATATTGTATATATAAAATTCATTCGTCATGCATAGTATTTATTAAAGTAGATTTCTACTGAAATTTTCAATTTGTATTCGCTATTTTTTAGTTATAAGATTTAAAGCTCTGGATATCAGATTCTGATATTCAAATCTTGAATAGCCTATTCAATCAAACGAAAATAATGAGATTTATTAATCGTCATTATCCTATATTTAAAAAACGTGAACCGTTTTGAATAGCAAATGGTCCAAGTTTTCTCTTATGCATCAGCAAAACCTTTATTACAGCTATCAAACTTTACAATATTTTTTTTATCTACTGCACAATTGAGCTACAAACAAGCCATCGAGTATGAAACTTACTAAATTCAAAAACAGCTCAATGTACTAATTAAAAGAATTCTTTTAATGATTAAAAACTTAAGGTGGATCACAACGTTCTTGATTTTTTATAAAAAAATACAAAGTTTAATAATCCACAAATAAAAATATCAAAATATTAAAATCAGGAGTAAAAATCTATCTTAACGCTTATTTATATAGTATATTTGAAAATAAATATTACATAAAAATAATAATAACAATTAATACTCATACACAAGAGATGGACAGATAATTATAAATAAAAATCAAATTGGATAATATGAAATTATTAAGTTTAAAATATTTTTTGTGCCAAATGTAATTTCAAATTTTTAAATGTAAAGTAGTACTCATCCCTCACTTTTGGTTTTCCACAATTCGTATTAATTTCATCAGAAACATGTATGTACATAGGAACTTTGTAACATAGGAACTAATGTAATAATTTTTATAATTTAAATTGCACGGAAAAACAATATTAAAGAACGTAAAAGTTTTGATTGAACTTAATAATCTATTGTAAAATATTATCTTACGTAATGCAAGATAACATTTGTTAGACGTAATAGACATAATGAAAAATTCGATGTAAAGTCTATATTACAATGGAATGCAAGCTGGCGACCAATTGTCCCACTTTTTGATAATTTCATACAGTTTTTCGCCAGGACTTTCCGATGGTGTCTGGAGACATTGTTTTTGTCCAACTAAGATGTAATCCTTGCTAATGTTGTTCTGTTCGACGCCTTGTTTGATGAGTTTTTTACCCATTTCAATTTGATCTTTTGATGGCTCCTCCTGTTTAAAGGTGCCAAAGAAGCCAACGCCTATACTTTTGTTGTCATAATTTTTCGTATGATCACCTTCAACATCCCAGCCACGACATTGGTAGACACAACCGTCTCCACCAACTAGCCAGTTGTAAACAATGTCGGTCTTATTCAACTCCATATTATATTTTTGAATTTCTCGAACGATATTGGAGCAGTGAGCTTTCGTGAAACAATTCACTGTTCTAGTATGGATGATTATGACATATTTTGCTGGTAAAACTGCTAAAGGTTTAGCCTTTTCTTTTGCTGATTGTGCGCCCCAGTTTTCTCTTGATACTATGCATACAGCACAAGATCCTAAAATTTTAGAAATCGTTTGTACTTCTTTAATTTTAATCTATCTTTTAACTTATGTTGTACTCAATTAACAGCCTCAGAAATTACGTTGTTGTCAACTTTAAATATATTAAAAGGCTTTTTTTTTTGTTCCTATATCCGTTGCTGTACAATAATTTAACTTTACATTAAATATATTTTATTTCATTTTATAAATAATTAGAAATGTTATTTTGGATCTCATTTTATTTCTAGTTTATCTTCTTAGTCTTTATTTTTCTGAATGGACACGCGGATACTCTATTTTAACGAAACTCTATATCACGCATATTATCACGTTTATGCAAAATAAAAGGAAAATATATAATTTTCTCTTAGTTGTTTTATTTGTACATTACTTATGGTAATGTAGGTAATAGAAAATTGTTTTCAAAATGGTGAATTAAAATTTATATCTTAACAATACTTATATGAATACAGTTGCAGTACTTTGTGAAAACTTTTTCTACTTTGTGAAAACGGCACATTAATTTGTAGTCCACTGACAAAGAAATTAAACTATAGGCCCCAAAATATATACGATAATCTTATTAGTGTTATATGTGATTGAAGAAAAGTAATCACTGTAATGATCAAAGTATCATTCGGAAAACTTGGCATATTATACTGAATTTTTCGTACCTGGAATGAAGAAGTAAACAATAATGCCGATAAATGTTAATCCTGCCAGTACTGCCCAACAAATTATTATATGACGCTGTTTAGTATACCATTTTGTATCTGAAAAAATACTCAATATTAATGTTTTTATAAACAAATGTAATAACTCAAGATAACATTGATGCTTCACCAATTCACTTGGATTGAATTTCATACGACCTTTATCTTGGGTACACAATGGTTGCAAGGGCGGGACGGACAATTTTGGTTCAACATTAGTATCAGGATTGTTATCGATAGTATTCTTTTCTGTCGATGGAGCCGTGTCAATTCTATCAAGATTGCCTAAAGGTGCCAACGGTGATGTGGTGTAAAATTTCTTATTTATAATTACTGAGGGAGCTTGGATCACAGTCTTATGATTGTTCGTAATTGTGGTTTTTTTAGAGTTAGAAACTTTATTTTCGATATTATATTGCGATCTCTCGGCTACCCAATTCTGTTTGTTCTCATCGTCATGATTATCACTGGAGGAACTATCTTCGTAATCGTCACTATCAACTTCGACGATTCCTTGATTAGCCGGTTGACAGTGGATCACAGCTGTCTCCTCTATCGTGTTATTGTTAGTCATTGAATATGCTGTAATATTATCACTGAGACAAATCGCCTCGCCTTCACTCGACTCGTCACTTTGAGGATGGTGACGCCGATGTTGTTCGATCGTCATTACCGAGTGATAATATCATGACGCTGTACTAAACCGCACAAGCATGTCAAGATGGAAGACGCGCAAAATGATGGTAGATGAAAAAAGGCAAAGCAGCACACCTATATAATCGTCGAGCTCCGCGACTGACTGGAGGGCCACAAACGACTGATTCTGATATCGTTTCTCCTCCATATTTCTTGATAATCTGACGTCTCACCATCCCCTCTACCGTATCGTTCAATTCAGTTTTTGTATTTTCTGCTTACGTGAGGATTGCGTGCGTCTATGTATAAACTGCAGTTGTGATGTTGTTACTTGCTAATTACCGATAGTTTCAATGTCGATTCACTTACTTAAATTGAATCAAAATATATGTCCGGTTAGGCGCTTTTTATATGCACTTAACAGATATTTCAAGTTAAACGTATAAAATACGGCTGACATTAATCACGATTCGTAATGAATCGTGTTTTATCGTCAAGTGTAATCGACAGAACACTATGTAACTATACATTTTTAAAACATGAACACTGAATAAGTCTTTAATTTTGAAATAGGTAAAGAAAACAGAATGTATTCTATATTTAGATTTTTTCTTTTCCATTTCTCTTCTTTCTCTTTCTTAAAAATTTCTTCGCGACATCCATAGTTTGCATATCCAATCATTTTATTTATCTTTTCAGGTTAAGAAATAGTATCTGATTATTTACTTAGAGTACACACATATACACACGTATGCAATTGTAACTTTATAATCTGCAGTTTACAATCTATATTAAGAGAAGTTCCATTAAAATAACTAAAAATAATTATTCATAAACATAAAATTCCCAACTATTTTCTACTTCCCAATCTTTCTACTTTATAATTTTATTATATAAATTATTCTGCATTTTTCACCAACTCAATGTTAATTGTTTTTGAACTTTCAATTTCTCACGTGTCATTATTTTTCGATGTTGAACACTATATATTATAAACACTTCCAATAAATGATATATCATTACTGTTATCATCGCAGAATTGGTCCGTATATGATAAATCATGAATTCGGAATATGCGAAACTGTTTTACTAATATACATTTTTCTCTGCGATATGGGTTTTATAAAAGAAATTGAAAAACTTACCTTTAAAAAAGTAAATTGTTAAATATGTTAATCAATAGGACAAGAAATGAAAAAGAAAACAAGAGCACGAGAAACGCGTTAGACAATCGATGTATCTACCATATATCGTCATATGGAATAACGTCATTAATCCATTATTACCTAAGCAAAATCCAAGCCAGATAGCATCAAACTAACCATTGGATCATTGTCAAAACGGAAAAAAAATTTACCCGTGTTTTTTGTTTTTGCGATTCTATTTGTTTATACGATTTATTTAATTTGTTTATGTAAACAAATTTTGCGATTGCAAAAAACTGATCATGCCATTCGATTCTACAAGAAAAAAAACATCGAGAATTTCTATACCTCTTTTTTGTCAGATTCTATTTTGTTAATGTATTATCGTTAGAAAACAAAATACATATTCAGCTTTATTCGAAAATAAATATTTTATTCTAACCCATTGCACGAGAGATTTGGGGATTTTTTTGTGTGAGGAGTAGTTTAGTAGTTAGTTTCATGCTGTCTACCGTAGATTCGGCTTGGGGTAAAACAAAGTACATCTCCCGTCGAGATGTTATTTTTTATAATTATAATACACTAACAAAATAGAATCTGATAGAAAAATGGTATAGAGGTGTTTTTTCTTGTAGAATCGATTGGCATGATCAGTTTTTTGAAATCGCAAAATTATTTTTAATTTGTTTAAACAATTTCGTCTAAACAATTGGAATCGAAAAAAGAAAAAACACGAATAAATTTTTTTCCGTTTCGACAGTCATTCAATATTTAGTTATTTTAGTGCTATCTGGCTTGGATTTTGCTTGGATAATAATGGGTTAATAATATATCGTGAGTCGTTTTTTTGAATTTGCATATTTCCTAAGAACGATATTCACAGCTTCCTCATGAAATAACGAAAAAACGTGTCACCTCTGATATTTTAAAAAGCGCAACAAAAATCTCCGACGTGACAGTGTGTGTATACACTGTATACGGTATCTATGTGAATCAGAATCATCGTAGCGCTATCATCGCTTTTACAGCTGTTTCGCTACAGTTTGTGCTATGTGGCGCCCAGCGGCGTCTCTTTTTTGGCGCGTGCAGTGTTTACCATCCTTGGTAGTAGCTCTGCAGTCTACACGTGCTTTACATTGAGAAGTGCGAAAAATATTGCCAAGTCTGGAAATGAGCAGCTCGATCAGTTGAGATCTCTCTCTATCTCCCTTTTCCTTCTCCTCCTTCGATGTGGATGCGGATTTGTCATCGTTAGCGTAGCTGCAACAGTCATGATTTGCAATCCGAGGTGAAATAGCTAATATGTAGGCAAGTTTTCTGGTGCAATACGCTATGGTTTTATAGATTTTTTCTTTTGAATAAAGTACCAATATTAATTGTTATTTATTACAGTCTAAGTTAGAAACAAGTAAGCAGTACGAAATAGTATTGAGAATTGAATTCATCCAATTTTCTTTTAATGAAGGTAAGTTGACAGATGACTGACAATTGTTAAAAAATACATTGGATTCTGATCATTTAATTTCTAGATCTACATGAGGTTGTTTCAAGCTTTTGAAAAAAATTTATTAGTACTGGAGGAATGCTTACCATCCAATTTGGTCAATGTGGAAATCAGTTGGGACACTCGTTATTCAAACAATTATCTGTAGATTTAGATGCTAAGGACACAGGAATTACAAAACAAGCAAATAGTATTTATACAGAGCAAAGTTTTGAAAAATGGTTCACAAGTATAAACAAAGATGGAAAGCATTTAGCAAGAGCAATATTAGTTGACACTGAGCACAAAGTTATAAATAAAGTCTGTAACCATTCTCAGAGCCGTTGGACTTATCCTCACAAAAATTTGATATATCAAGCTAGTGGAGGATCAGCTAACAATTGGGCATATGGCTCAATGATCAAGGGTCCAGAATTACAGGAGGAAATTTTAGAAGTCACAAGAAGAGAAATTGAAAAGACTGATTCCTTCGATGGCATATTAATGTTGTTGAGTTCAGCAGGTGGCACAGGCTCTGGAGTTGGAAGTTTCACAGCTGATCTTTTACGAAATGAATTTCCTAACAAAAGTATTATTAGTTCAATTGTGTTGCCATTTAGCACGGGTGAAGTTGGAGTGCAAAATTATAATACTTTGCTGTCATTAGCCAGATTTTGTGAAACTATTGACTTGAATCTTTTATTTCAAAATGAACAGATTCATCAGATTTGTACTAGTGTCTTAAAGAACAATGATGCCAAATTGATTGACATTAATGATATCATATCGAAAAAGTTATGTGCTACATTTCAACCTGTAAATAATTCATGGTGTACTGCAAATTTTTTATCCTCAACTGTGGCTTGTCATCCGAATTACAAGCTTGCAACAATTAAAAGTACACCTTATATATCACCCTCAATAAGTCAGTATGAAACATCTTACAATTGGAAAATTTACATGCAGCATTTAAAGCAAACTTTGAGAGTTTCTAATAAAATGGATCCTGAAGTTAAAGCACCATCTTATTCTTCAAATGCAAAATCCTCTCAGGCTCACTACAAATCTGTATCAAATGTTGTAATATCTCGAGGCAAAGTTAATGAAATTGATAAAATTGTATGTGATGACTTACACAGTAAAGAGCTTTATGTTGATTGGATTTCTTCTTCAGATAGATTGACTCATTTACATCAAGAAAGAAGACTCCTTAATCAAGAGAAATTTTTAGCACTTGTTACGAACAACTCTCAAATACATCAAACACTGGATAATATTGTGGACAAGGCATGGAAAACTTACACCCATTCTGCATTCTTGCATCAATATAAAAAATTTGGATTAGAGGAAGATGACTTTTTAGAAGCTTTTGCAAAGATTGAAAATGTAATTAAAGATTACAAAAATCTTTGAGCTTCCAGAAAAAAAAAGTTCAAACAAATTAACCATTAGACAGTACGAGATCAAATCAGTGCCATTTTGAATATTAATATATTTTTATAGCGATGTATTTTTCAACTTGACGCGTAGATGAGAGATCTTTGAAAAGAAAGAAGAAAATCATGGACGACTTTGCCAATATATATTTATAATTGTCTAGTCAATTTGAAAATTGTCGATATAGAAGAATCTGACGTTAACCCATTGACTTGCCAACTCTTATGGATAGATGGCTCTCATCTGCTATTTTTTATAAAAAAACATACTTTAATGCAATGTATAAAAGTGATCAATCAGATTTATTTATCGAGAATAAAATGTATGTGATTTAATTGTGATTCAATGCACTAATTTTATCCGTCTTACTATTTATTATCCATCAAATAATAATTCATTCAAGAGGGAGTTATAATAATATAACGAAAAGTCAAAGCCGGTTTTTCAGCTACTTTATTAAGTAATAAATTATGATTACGTTTATGTGACATTAATGATATTCTTCTTTAAATTAGAATTTGAATGAGTAAGATTAATTGTTTATTGTATTAGATAACAAAGAATTTCCGTGTAACTATATATTATAATTTGTCAGAAGCATCCAAGACGTTAATCGTAGAAGATTCCTATCAATGTCCAAAGCACTGTATCATCGAATCAAAAAATTGAACGTCTGACTTTAGATGATTGATTAGTAAAATTTTTAGAAAAGCACTGTTTTGAATCTAACATGATAAAAACGAATGAAAGCTCCTTTCGCAAGCTCTGCACAAAACACGAGCCTTCATATACAAGTGATTCCTCCCTTCTGCTTTCTCTAGAATGCGGCCAAGAATTCCACAAGCACTTTCTCTTCCCTTCCCACGTACGTACTACACAGTTCGAAGAACCGTTATGTGTAGGGGGATGCCAAATTTGCGCAGTCGACATCCTGGCTCTCCGCGTTAGAAATTCCAAGAAAACTCGGCGCGTGAACCTTATAACTCTCCCCTTTAGCTGGCTTAACGCCAATTACGTAAGAATGAGGAGAACTTTTCTTCGATAGGGGTGTAAAAAGCTCTTAAGAATAAGTAGGGTCGCCTGCTTCGATCGCTTATTTTCATCCCTTAGCCAAATGATGGATGCGGTTCGTTTTTTAAATTGCCGCGGTCGACTGCGTCCTATACTTCAATTGGATAGGAGGCGAACTTTTGGTTGGATAATACAGTATTTCTGAGACTCATGATATTTCATAACTTGTTAAATTTGCAACTTCAATAATTGTCGATTAATAGATGCGTTATGGAATATATTCTGTAGCTCGATGTGTAGCATATTTCTTATAAAAGTTAGGATTGTACTTGACGAAATAAGAAAATCCAACTAACTAGTTGCTCGTCGGGACATTATCCGCTCAGTTAACACGAATACCCTTCAATTGTAAGGCTATTAGATCTTCGGAACACTGTCGGGTCTCAAAAGCGAGCTACGCCTGAATGTTTGTATAGTGCCGAGCATGAACAATGAACGAAGAAGCCTGCAAGATAAGCGCGCGTACGCCTTCATAAATCACTGCGATAGACACTTGAAGAGAAGAAAAGATGCCTATGAAGTGAACAAAATAAGATCCGAGAAACGTTAATTTTACTGTACACCGCTCAAGCTGATAACATAGAAATGGAGAAAGAGAGACGAAATGTTTGCTTATCATGGGGGTTTGACTACCTGACGAGAGAATTTTCAAATACCAGGAAATAACATGTTTATCGATTGGATTTCATTTTGCTGCCTGGGTTCGTACAAAATTACTGAATCACATGTAGAAAGGAATAATTTTCAGTCTAATAGTAATAGAACGAAAGTTCGGGCTTTAGCCTGCAGTTCCTAAAAAATCCAAGACTACATGTTCAATGTAAATCAGTATATTTTAATTTAATACTTATTCACAGACTAATTAACTTTGCAGAATTGTTGAACAATGTAAATCAGATGATTATTCAACTAATTTAATTCATCGTGAGTTGTTAAATTACTATGGAATGTTTCTCGCCGTGACGTCATGCCACGTCGTTATCGTTGACGATCGACCGTAAGGTGGTCTCTTTCTCTCTTCGCCCTCTTCTATAGCCTTAAGAAAAATGTATATATATACAGACGAAGCCGAGTTTCTACGCTATCGTGAATTATTATGTCGCTATTGTACTCCAGTTTTGCAGTGTCATTTTCACTGATGTTGCAGGGCTTATGTAGGTGCTTTTACTCTCGCGAGGGTTGCCTCAGTTTGTTATTCTTTTCTGTATCTTTAGTATGGGGCGGAGGGTGAACAAGCTTTATAGTCATACTTTATACTTTGTTTTATAATTTGATTGCTTTAAAAGAAGCAGCTAAACTTGAGTGACAAGTTGGTTTTCTCGTTATTAAATGGTTTTTAATAAATATTTAAAAACAGCTATATATGACTTTATTGCTTATATTTTTTGTTACCTTTTTCATAACTAGACGAATATAAGTTAGATGAGTCAATAACTCGGTTAATATTTATTATATTCAATTATTTTGTATGATTTTATAACAATCATATGTGCTGTGCTCTTCGTACCTAATCGAATCTACATTCCTGGAAATTTTTCTGCTATACAACTAAGCTTTTTTAATGCGCGAATTAGTAATAAAAAATTAGTTAATTAGTATAAGACTACTTCATCAAAATTTATTCCAGCAACTGTTACTAAAGTCAAAAAGTTACGTAGCTTCTATTCGATTATATTTTGTACATATACAAAGCCCGACAAATAAAATAACAACTCAATATCTTATTACGTTGTGATTTCGATCAAAGGAGAGAGAGAAAAGCTGTGGAACAAAACTTTTCTACGCAGTCTTCTCTCTTTCACAAAGTAAGTATACCGAAAGTCCTGCGTCGTTTCCTCCGAGACAGTAAGAGAAATGATTCTGCGAATTTAGGGAAAACTCCCTTTTATTGCATCGTTGGCGTGTATATATACATATATACATACACACACCATATATATATATCTTCATTCGTACTATCGAAGTTTAGTTCTATTATCCTTATCTGCCGCTTCACTTTATTTTTTGCTGAACATTGATCTTTCATTTCAAGATACCATTCACGAACTGTCTTTCCTACACGCGTGTCGATAAATTTAACATTTAAAGTGTTTTGTAATCGACTATATCTGTACATCTGAGATTTTAATTAATCTTCTCTTTTGTAACATGCATTCTCGTGATCTTTTTCCAACTACTGTATCGTCTAAATTTCGTCTGTCGGTTCGTTTAGTTGTGTGAAGACGCGATCATCAAAAATGCCGCGTTTAAAATACACTAATGTAGTTGCGGATGTGTCTATACCTACATTAGCATAAGGAATATCTTGGCGCTCTTTGACATACACCGCGACCGATCCTAATATACCTGATGTTATGTTTAGGAAACTTTAGTTTTCTAACTCTACCTTTGTTTCTTTATAATATGACAAGTATTAAAATCTAACTAACTTTTCTTCGTTGCTCAAAACATTGTGCACAAATTTTCATGACTATAATTTAATATTTTTTTGCATTAAACATATTTTTATCGCACAAACATTGTGGAAAATTATTTTTGAAAAGACTACATATCTGAAAATCTCTTGCTCTTTCAAAAATAACTCTGACAAAATCGTTGCCAGCGTTTTTACTGTTAGTATTAAAAAAATAACATTAAAAGAATATTAGGAATACCCATTGAATTAAAGTATAGGCTTGCATCAATATCTGAGCATTAATTTTTTCCAATTCACCCTCAAAATCAACATTCACGCCCTTTTAAAAACACTCCGCGAACCCTTTTAGTTCTATCGATATGATAAAACATCAAATATTTCTTTTGCCTTGTAAACAAAACTAAATTAAAAAAAATAGAATCTCGAAACTACAATGTTACGATAAAATAAAATTGTATTAATAATTTTTCAAATAAAAAAACGCATAATAAAACACATACTATTTAATTGCAAAAGCTGAATCCTCCATGCTGTAAACAATTCAAGTAATGACAAGATAACTGAAATATTTGACATGATTTGTAAAGATACACCGCGGTGATAAATTTTAGGGGAGTAAATTAACTTACTTCGCTTTATTTGACGAGTGTAATAGGGTTTACAGGAACTGAAACCTGTTTGACGCCTAAAAAAAAATAAAAACCACACGAAGAGGATACACGTGCAAAAGATGAAAGGAAACAAATCATCCTTTCTTCTTTATCTTACCATTCAAGACAAAGCCCCGTAATTTATAATACCCTCATTTCTTTTTTCTTGTAATAAAATAATTTTCTGAACGTTTCCTTTTTTGATCGAATAAGAAACTTTGGAATTCTCATATATTGTAAATTATAATATAATAAATGATGTAATAGTTTCTTGCTTAGTTAAAAAAGTAAATATCATATAATAAACTGATATCGCATTTGTATTAAATCCCTCTTCCAGTATCTTCGACAATTAACCATCAATTACCATACAACGCATAAATAAGATTTCATCTTGTCCTTCCAAAAAACACAAATCTCGTCCATTAAAAAAGAAAGCCATTGCATACAAATGGCAGCTCCAAAACCGGCCCCAAAACCATGTACTCCAATCGTATCTGCAGTTTCATCCCTGATCCCGAAAAAGCTTGCAAACAAACGAAAAAAGAAGTTCACGAATCACAAACGTAAAAGGATCCCCTCTTTGATCAACACAGACAAACCCCTCGCAGTAGCAGGCGCGCCCACGCGCAGCCGGTTCTGAGCACACACATGGATAAGAGACAACACGCACAGGCAAAAAGCGAAGCTCGCGCCTCTAACTCGAAGTTCCACGCAAACGTAGCCAGTGTTGCTGTAGCCACTCGCTCGTGCGCGCGCGCCATTTTGTGCTGTCTCTCTCTCTCTCTCTCCTCTCGTCGACGACCTGTGTGTGTTTCAACTATATACATCCTTCTCTATCTTCTGTATGCACGGGCAATCACTTCGGTGCTGTGGTATATCTTCTCTCAGTGCAACTCGAAGTGTTTTTTTTTTAATTTATGAAGAGTGAAGTGTTGAATGGCGTCGTGCAAGAGCTTTCGAACAAGGACCCTGTTAGGGTCGTGAAATCCTGTGTGTAACGCTCACGCGAGGAAGGACCCAACACATCTCCATCACACACAGGTATATATAAAACGAGTAAGAGCAAGCGAGAAAAAAAAGAGTATAGTAAAGAACGGATCGATATTCCGCATGCGTTGCTCCTTCGACGTCATAGTAAGGGGAAAAATGTATATGCGAGACTGTTGTTTTTTTAATATTTATTATACTTTGCGTTGTTTATTGTTTATTGTTAAGTTCGCTTGGTGTTTCTTTTGGAGTTTTAGAGCGTGCGGATGTAATGATTACGACACTGCTGTTCAGAGAGAGAAAGAGAGAGGAAAGTCTTGGGATTATTTGAAAGTTAACTGCTGCGCACAGTGTTGTTCACAAGTTCTAGAAAATTGGTTAAAAAAATGCAATATACTTATAATTAAAATAACCTCGAAAAGGAATCGTTGGATTATTGACGATGAGGAATTTAAAAGATAAATCGCGTTTATTGCTTATCTGGCCGAGTTGCTTTTAACGCGATTTTTATAATGTTAAATAATAAAAAAACGGAAACTGTCATGATGAAAATACTCATTCACAGTACCAACAAACAACAAAACACTACCCAAATTACAGTTATAGTCGAACACTGAAAAGCCGTGGGCCTACAGTTTCGATTACGACACAATAGCCTTCTGAGCAAAGAAAATTCAAAGTTATTTCACGCAAGTTATAGAGAGATTTGAGAACTGTACTATATGGAAAAAAATCCATATCTCCGATTTGGTTAAACCTTTTGTTAGACACTAATTATAAATTATACATAGCATTTTGCGTCTTCGCGCGCGAGATAAATCTTATTATATTTACACATGTGAATGTTTTCACTTGAAAGGCACACAATTTATGGTGCTAATTAAATGGAATGCTTTTTAAGGAAAAGTACACTGGTTCACTTGTTACGAAACGAAATACAACAAAAAAATTCGGTATTTCCACGCAACAGAAGAAATAAGAAGATATAGCATCTTCTTTTTTTTCTATGCGCGTCCAGTATTTACAATCGGCAAATATCGTCATTGTCTTAGCTAAAATCCACAGTTTTACGTGCTTTTTGAAAATGCTTATCGGCAAGTGAAAGTCAGCGATTTCGTGTGAAAAATTTTATTATTTAAGATGCTTTGCCGTGAACTGGTTTTTTTGGTGTTACACGCGCGTTCTTATGTTAATGCAACCGGCAATTATTTCTTGGTTTATATGTTGCTCTCTAAAAGAAACTATACATTAGGTTGTAAAGTGCACGGAAAGTTTCTTTACGGTTGGTATAATCAATCGAATGCACGGCGAACTGGTTTATTATTAGAGATTCATCATCGTTATAAAACACTTGTTTTTCACGTTGATATCGCGTAGCCCAGGTGTTGAAAAATTCCTAAAAATCTATGACTTCTAACACCTACAATTCTCAAATATCCTCTCCGTAAAACTTTCAAAGCATTCTTCTTCAAACTCGTATAATCTCCCTCCGCCTCGAACGAAAAACCCAGGCATTAATTTTCTTCTTAGTAAGCCCATAACTTTCCATCTCTATCTCCTTGCAGATAAAATAATTCGTGCCGCAAGGCAGGTAGTGTAACACAATAGGGCTCCCTCGGTTTTCGATGATCTCCCTTCTTCCTTGAACGGAACAGGTGCCGCCGCCACCGCCGCCGCGTTGCGTTACGCCTCGTTGGGTCCTGCGTTGCTTGGAACTCTTTTGTATTTTCTTTTCATTTGCGTCTCAAGTGTTTCTTTCTTGTTTTTAATTGAAAGGAGATGCATTTCTTTTGTACCTAATTTGAGTTTTCAATTGTTGAAAATATGCATTCTTAATTAGCATTGCTCTTGCGACTAAAGGTCGACGAAATTATCGACGATAACAAGCATATCTGCGATTGTTTGTGCAAAAGACCAATCGTCAAAGTAAGAGGCGTTTCAGCAATGTCAACATCAATACAAACATCGCAATGAATTTGCAAATAACTGCAAACACAAAAGAAGATGAAAGCAAGGAGCAGATGTTGACTTGACAAAACATTAAACACATTCCCATCGTGTATCAATCGCGTAACAAAATCTGCATCGTCACCCGAAAAATCATCTCGAGCTTCATCCCAACGCATTAGAATAACAAAGAGATATAGCGCAGATGGTAGTGGCCGGCCTGCTTTCCTCAATGCTCTCGTCGCAGCCTGCGCTCGAGCGTTTTCAAGGTGCGCGAGTAGATGTCATTGACCTTTCGTAAGAGACTTCCCTTCTTGGCAGCTTGTGCAGCACGCGGCAGGTTGCGAAACTCTCTCTCTCTCTCTCTCTCTCTCTCTCTCTCTCTTAGAAGCTTGATTCTGCTGTTAGGAGCGGTCGAGTTCTGTACGTGCGAATGCGTTGTGTGCGTGAGACGCCGGTCGATCCTAGTGACTTCGATGCTTGTGCAGGCGCGAGATTCGACTACGTTTACTGGGCGTCGAGGTAAGTAGAGATGTTCTTCAAGGCTGCTCGTTTGCGCCCTTGAAATGTACTCTTCCTTTTGAATTTTCGGATTTTTAGCACTTAACTGGTCATTTCAGTTCTACAGTATCAGATTGTTTGGATAATTCAGAAAATCTAATTGATATGCCTTTCTTCTCGTGTACAAATGCATTATCAATGACTGGTTTACATTCTTTTCTTTGATATCTGAAAGATGTATAGTGTCATAAATTATCGATCGTCAATTTAAAAATCTACTTTCCCGCTTGTTTGCTAATGTCATTTGTTAAAAAATGCTGCGAAATCATCAGCGCAAAGCTAAGATTTTCGAGTATCCGCATCACTTGAGAGAATGGTATAACAAATTATAAGCATCTACCTTGCAGATTTCATTATTTTAATTGGTTTTTTTATTATCTCAATTGCGCATACTTGGAAATTACATTTTTTTTAAATCAATATTGAATGAGAATAACAAATTCATGTAAAAATGTCGGTAACTAAAGGACAATGCAAAGACTTCCTTTCCTGTTTTTCCCTTGTCAATCAACTACATAATAATTCAAAATGTCTCGTCAAGAAAGTTTATACGTATTTTCGATATACCGGTGTACACTCGAGAAAACCAAAGCAGCACCTATTCTCGCGAAAAAAAAAATCAGCGAAACCTGCAAACGCGACAAAAAAATACGACTTTGGCGCAGGCACCAAGTGTATATATCATTGCGTGCAGCCTCGACGACGCCAGGAAGTCGGCAACACGGGAGAGAGAGAGAATAAGGTGACGCGCCCGAGAGGGACTCCCTCGTTTAAATCGATCCACTTTGTTTTACCTTGCGCACACGGGAACACATTAGGATAATAATAGCTGCTACCGCCTACGATTGTGGATTTATATTTAGGAGAGTACAAGTACTTGTAATTACTTAATGCAATTAATTTTTTCGATGTTTGTTTTTTTTTTTTCGGGTGGGGATTCGGATACGTCGACGGTCATGGCACGTAAAATTAAAAATGACATTGTGTCGCGAGGTAATAATCCTGTATATGGTTCATATATTTGCACAGGATTGACCTATCATTCTGCAATTAATTTTTGCACAATTCTGGTTGCAATTGAGTGATCGCACGGACTAAGAGCTCGAAAGGCATGAACTCTTCATTCAATCTACAATCGTTAAACATTATTCTATAGTATCTACTTGTTCATCGCTCAAAGTAGCAATTCATCCTAACGATTAACAAATCTACTCGAAATAGATGATATTGCTCGTGACTTGGTTACATTCGATTCTAACAGAACCCCCAAAGCCTAATCCAATTTTACTCTTCAGTAATTTCCCTCTTTGAAAAAACGATAATGAAATTAAAAGTTTCGCCTCCATCCCCGAGACGCGTCGCGTCGCGCGCAAAAAGCATTCGCACGCGAATTATGGTTCAGGGAACGCGCCAGATTTATATACACGATTGCGTTACGACAGAGGGTGGCAAGCGACTGAACATAATTTACGTAGGCTCTCGCACTCCTGTGCGTAATCTTCTGTCGCGCTCAATATTCTAAGACAGTTCATGAAGCTTCGTTTTGCGCTTTCACGCCGTTGCGAGTGCAACTGATACACACGTCACGCCAAGTGTTCACGATGCTGTGCGCCTACTTGGCTCGTCGTCCAGAAAAGCAGTAAGAAAATCTGCTGCAAATCAATAACCACGACGACGAAATCACGTCGGATTAACGTGACTCGTCTACGCTGCGTTTAAACATCGATCGCTGGCCCCTATTTTACGTTCAACGGTCAAGCTATCGTGTCTAACGTACGTATGTTGATATAGATAATTATCTTGAATTACATCGATTGCAGCGTAACGAAATTCAAGAAATTTCCCCTAAGAAAGAAAATGGTTACGCTTTAGATCGTAATCGCGTGAAATTTGGCAGCTTGCCCGTTGGAGTTCAAGGTTGTATTATGTCAATCGTCAATTCGCATTTTTTTTTCGCCTGTGCGGAATTTCCAATCGCAATTGCAAACCACGCGTTCCGGTAATTCGTTGCACAACAGAACGCGCGACAAATGAAACAACAAGAGAACCTACACATTGCGAGAGAGATAACAACATATAACTGCTTGATGTGCGCATATAAAAATATAGATAAGAGTCGAGCGATTGAATCGAGGACACGCGACGACGATCCCCCGTACGCATTTGAAAGCCGAGTGTGCCTATGTACGTGCGTGCGTATACACACATATACACCCTCGCAAGGAGAAACGCCAAGCTCCGCCGATCAATAAATATACGCGTCGTGTGCTCGAGGGTCGCCCTATTCCTTTGCGCTCTCTCGCTCTCTCTGTATGCCGTCTCTCGCCCTTCCATCACGAGCTTGCGCGCGAGCGGCCGGGAGATTGCCTTTCATTTATTGCCTTCGAGCTTTATCCCGATTACAAGTTTTGCCTTTGCCATGGGTCGACATCGCCAGGCTAGAAATTCCAATGGCTTTTGATTCATGGACAATATCCGCGTGTTCCAATTCAAAATCCAATATTTTATTTTTCACTTGGTTTGTCCGAACAAAATACCACTCTTCCCGAAGTAAGCAACGAAAACAGTGTATCAAAAATCTAAGAATAATCGATCTTGATTCGGACAAATACTTTTACAATTAAACTGGTTCATATGCCAGAATGATGCAACCGCGCGTGACGATAACAGCATTGCAAAAGCGCATTATGACTATGCAATAATTGTTTATCCGTGAACTTCTTGCGCGTATGTATACCCGCGCACTGCGAGCGTGTGTGCTACACGAGATTGTACGAGAAAACGTGGATGTAATCAATCTTTTTTTTCGTTTCAATTCGAATTAGAAAATATACCGATTGAATTGTTTATTTTCAAGGTAAAGTGGATATATCGTCTCGAAGGTAACTTCGAAGCATAGTCAATGTTGAGTTGCATCAGTCGTCCAAAAATTATTGGATAGGAATGCAGAAAGAAATAAGCGTGCAGATGACGACGTCGCAAGAAGAGCCTGTCAACTGAAAGTGGTCGAAAAACTTGTGCATTTCACGAGGTGATTGAGCGAGCGACACGCGTAGTCGGTGTGCAACGAGAAGTATGAAACTGCTGTACCGCGGGTGTATTATAATTAGATTGCCCTTCGACAATGACAATGTACTTTGGCTTCTTCTTTAACCCTATACACTTTATGTATACGCATACGAGACCGTGAACTGCCGTTCATTACCGAGACTGCCTTGTTTCTATTGGTGCAAGCTTGTACTGGCAATGATATTTTATTGCGTTTTTAATGTTATGACTGAGTCTTCATTTAAGAAAATACAAAACTAATATTCAGCTTATGCCACAATTGTACATAGAGATTAGATTTTTCGCGAGATAGGTTTGCCTTACAAAATGAGGTATACGTTATTCAACATATTCCTTGGATTTGTTAACGTTAATATCTGTCGGAACACTCGGCAATTAATTTCTACCAATTAATCTCATAATGCATGTTCTATTCGCACATCTGCAGTAGTTTCAATCCACCGGTATCACAATTATGTTATACAAATACCCAGATAAAACCAACATAAAATCTCGTTACTCAGCATTAGAAAAGAGCTGGATTCTATCCCCTCCCCTCTCTCAGGCTATGTATCACAAGGAACAATCGGAAAAGTGGAAACTTACTCGCATCAAAAATATCTTTGGCAGAATTTCCCACACACGGACACAGATGCCGTCCCCTATTATCGATCCCCACGCTCGTCAAAAGAGCGTATTTGTGTAGGTGCGTCGAAGCTCGCACGTTCGAGTGTACACTCGTTGTCGCGCGTGTCTATAATTCGTGCCAAAGGGGTGTGATACCAAGGGGATCGTCAAGATTGTCTCTCACAGAACTGTCGCTGTAGATTTATCACTGCGACGTCGACAATCGACGTCCGATCTGTCGCTGCGATTTGCTCGCCTGAGTAGTTCTCGCTCGACACGAATCGCACAGCCCAACGTCGCGTAAAAATATCTCTGCGAAGGCGTACACATAAAATGATCAATTGCTGTTACGAACCTTGTTACCCTATCACTGTTACAAAGCGCGATCGCAGTCGGCAAATACTCGATGTGTCGTAAACCAAAAACTCAAACTCTTTGCAAGCTCGCATGATCTTCCGAAGAAAAGGAAAAAAAAAAACGTTAACGTGCTCGTCGTCGACCTACCGCGCGTGCACCCACACCCATACACTGCGAGAATCATCCCTCGCGCGCAGTCATTCATGCGTTAGCAGACACTTCTCTTCTTTTTTCCGAAAAACTAGCCCCGCCGCCCGAAGCCCATCCATGCGCCAGGAAAGAAGCCATAAAAATGCAATTCATACACGATAATTTCCGCACCCTAAAACTCACGTGCAATGCTCATCCCGCTCTATTACTCGCAACGCGGAACAGAGAAGAGAGAGAGAGAGAGAGAGGAAGAAAAAAGGGTGTCCGCTCTCTTGGACGAACGAGCAGCTCGCATCGCACCCTTCGTCAGACCGCTCTGCCGCATGTGCGTACATGCGCCGCTTCAGGTTATGTCTGCGACGAAAATTATTGTTTACGATCGCGTGTTCAGTTTTACTTTCGGTGAGGATCTGTTATGGCTTTACGCCGCTATCTGACCGCTCTGCGCGCGCGTACATGCCATCCGCAAAAGGGATCTTCACCGATTTTTAGTGTGAAGTTTCATGGGATTCTTATTGTAATGCGCGAAGAACTCGAGTTTCGCTTGCTAAACTTTACTTCTAAATTGCATTTCAGAGATTGAGTTTTGCGTTGGAGAAACCAGAGAACGAGGCGTAACGCCAAAGAAAATATAAATAATTTTCGAAATTATCTTGCTTTTTACGATGCAGTTTCATTCAAAGTGCGCAGAGGAGTTACCTCGCGACAACTTTTATAGAATCGTCGAAGATAAAATACATTGTTACCTTGACATATTTTTCACTGTAATTTCAAAAGAAAGTCACGAACGCGCGCGCGTAATATACGTAATCGCAAACCCAAGAGATTCCTTTCATTTTTTCATCGTCAGGCCGCGCAACGTACGTGATTAATTTTACACATGACGTCCGAAAATCCAGACACTGGCGGGACAATGGAAATCAGCTCGAGTTTCAAGAGAAAATCATTGCGAGAACGGGAAATTCGCCTCCGCTTCAAGCAGCGCGGTCATCATTTCCAACTGAACGACTGTCGTATATATATATATATAGCCGTTTCCGTGCTGTCATTGTTTTTTTTCGTACGCTGCTGTCTCCCTCCCTCTTTCTCTCTGACCATATAACAAAATCAAACAAAAGCTTCATCCCGATTGGACTAAGCGTGTACATATTAATCGGCTTTGCGATTCTTATCTCGTACGCCGAAGTTGTCGAGGCCGCCGTGCACAACTACGATTGTTGAATATTTTCTTTCGAGGCTTCAAAGCTTTGCCGATGTGTTTTCACATTTCGTCAAGTCTGCACTGACAAATGAATACGCGAACTCAGCCGAGTGCGAGTAGCACCCTTAAACCAACGATTCGCGTGCTCGCAACAACCTACAATTCACTTAATCACAGGGCGAGTTCGCCTGTCCCTCGCCACCACCAAATATAGTCACCACACCAATCGTCGTCAGTCTTACATCTTAGGCCAACTGCCGAAAAAGAGACTTCGGAATAATTGCAATACCAGAGGAGGGGTATGGATCCTCAAGTGAGTCAGAAGTATATCATGGCCAAGCCGAAATTTCGCGTGTTTATTATTATGACTGGTAGCATGCAACAACAGCTGAGAGATATTGTATTCGTACAGTTTGACGAGTGTGACAGTTATATACCTACGTAGTAATAGGTCGCTTATCTTATCGCTTGCTGCTACGCACAGGTGTTAAAAAAAAGATCCACGTAACCTAATTTCATTTTCACGATAGCGCCTTATCGTTATTGTCGCTGAATGGATGCGAGATTCGGACGTGCGACCATTCCCTTTTCCCCACGGACGTTGGGATCGGCGCCTCGAGGTGCACGAGATCCGAAAAAAAAAAAGAAATGGGTACAGTGGGTCCTTACACCGTAAGACGCCGTTGGTCGCATACCATACCGCTGAGTGTATGACGCGTAGGTTACCTGAGCATTCCATTGGTTTCCTTTTCTCCCTTGCCGTACGCGTGAGAAGCGCGCGCGCACGCACCGAATTCATGAGAGAACTCGACAACGTGTCGCAACTCATTTTTTTCCCTCTCTGGCTCCGAATATCACCTGAATTTTCATTGCGCCTTTCCGAGCCTCCGGCTGGCGTGACTGTCACGCCATAAAAATACGATATCTCGAGCGAGCCACTGCTCACATACTACGCCCGGCAGGCATATCATTCAGACGTTGCAGCAGCGCAAAAATAACGGCTAATTAGTCTTGTGTTTTTCATGCCCCGAAGAAAGAAAGCTTGCCGTTTTTTTCTTCTCTTCTCTCTTCCACGTTGACACACTTTCCTACGGCGCGCTTGCGTTTGTTGCGTAATGTCAACGTGTGATATTGCTTTTCCATTTTGTTGGGGAAAACGACGGCGGACTCTGTGGTCGGTGCGCGCGAACATTCCTTCGAGTTGGTCGTCCCGAAATATCAGACGTTAGAAAGAAAGTACTCGATAATTTATTAGATGCAAGTAAGGAAATCATGCGCGAAACAGATCGTGCGTTTTATCTGCAATCGCGCACTGCGTATCATCCTCGACATTTCCGGCGCGCGAAACGTACCACTGCTTTCTTTATTACTTGCATGACACTGAAACGCCTCGCGTGCCAAAAATAAAACGCAGTCCAGCGCGCTCGTGCTTTCCAGTCTGCGCATCGCGGAGAAAGATTAATTGCGTTTGTTCGCCGTGCAACAGCACCAATTTATTCTGTAAACGCTAAAGTTTTGACATTAATCCGCATTGTAGTGCGAATCGCGTTGATCGAGTGCTCGATTAAGCAACGACCGCGCAACTCGATTTCACTTTGAAGGTGCAACTGGCAAAGGAGAATGTCACGACTTGGAATCGCAAAAACAAGCGACCGATTAATCCACAAAGATCTAGGAGTTCGTTTATCTTGCAAACGCTGTTCGCTTTTCCAGAAATGCTGCCTCAGAAATACATTATCCCGCATGAAGTACCATGTATTCAATCCTTTAACGAAGACTTATTCTCGTTGCAGGATCGTGCGTGTGACACGCAACGATGCGCACCCCGGCAGAAACGGAAACGATGCAGGCGCCTGGCGGCGGTGACGACGAGGAGCTGCCCGCTGCCACGGCCATAGGCTCCCAGCCGGAAATCATTGTTAACAGGTGAGACTCGGAGGCAATCTAAATAGAAGTATGTTTTCTACTTATGTAAGATATTCTAAAAGACGATTACGTATGTGCACTTGACCTTTGCGATGGTTACGTATTTGTCGATCGTCATGTGTGTGCGTCAGGTTGATTGGCCTTATTTTGTTTATTGGGGGGAGGTGGTATCTATTGGTTGCAGATGAACGAAAAAAGTAGGAGATTTCGTGAACAAGTGAGTGAACTGTCTTGCTACTTTGTGTATATCTTTGAACGGAAAAAAAGACAAACTTCAGTCTTTTCTGTGCGTGTGTGGACTACCTTTGCTTTTCTTCTCAAATTAATCGCATAGATTAATTATTAAGAAAAGTGAAAACTAACATTCGAGAATAAAATACGAAAGCAAATGGTAGCGTTGTTGTCCTTGAATCCCTTCCCTACAAGCGCTCTCACTCGTTCTCTCGAGACTGACCAGCTGAGTGGCAGAAGTAGGGATAAAATGCGAGAGGGGCGAGGATGGTCCTGTTTTATTATATTCTTTCCTTTTGCTGAGAAAGGCGGGAAACGAAGGTGCAAAACTTTTGTCTGGCCTCGACTTCTTTTTATAATTTGTTGCTCTCGCTGGTAAATGTTTGAATACATTCGAAAGCACTGGTCTACATAACAATAACAACTATAACAATAGTATTAACTTACACTTATTAAATTACCTCAGTTAACTTTTCCGAGTATAATGGTCAATGTTTCTTTTTACATTGAATTTTGGAAAACGTTTGTTTAAAAATAGTTACAGTTGACCCGAAATTTGACAGCAAGTCGCAAAAGTATACGGAGACACAGAATACTCGGTAATTCAAAAGGAGATGCACGCTAGGTATACATTCTCGAAATAGAAAGCCTTAGAGGAAGCTTATAAAACTGACTCGTTCGTCGTATACAGAAAAAACCTGCAATAGCACAAAAAAAGGAACGAAATTTCAATGCGTGAGGATTCAGGGTCTGACGCGTTATACACCTGTCGCACGTGTGTGCGTTGGGACCGTCATGGTCTCTCCGTCTCCCTGCCTCTTTTTTCTTTTACCTCGCTTACTCCTCGTCTCTCTCCTCGCGCCGTGTCTGCATTACAACGGGCACGATGCCGAGTAAAAGCGAAAGAAAAAAAATTACGGATAATAGAAGATTGTTGTCTTTGTGTTTAATTACTATGTCCGGAACGGATAATAATCACAATCTGTAAGATAAGATAAAATCGTTAACTCATATGACAATGTTGAACGAAAGTGAAGAAAACAATATGATGAAACAACTCGTCAAAAATATTGTTATGGTTCATCGGTCAGTTCACAACGCAAAAATAATTACATGTATATCATTATCGAGTATGTGTGCAAAAGTCGAGAAACCCCACACGTGACGTTTGATAACTTCTTTCGCTCTTTCCCTGTGTGTCTCTTCCATGCGAAGTTCTCCTATCGGCACGTAATGCATGTAAAAACACGCAGCTCAATGTCCCCCGGATGCGTCTGAAAATCTCTTGTACGCACACGTGCGCGCGCGATTTCCGCGCGTGGCGAAGTGTCTTTTTTTTCACTCTCTTCTAATTGCTGTTGCTTTCGGAGAACGTTTATGGGGCCATGTGGCATTGACATTGCACATGCGTAATTCGAAAATGTTATCGCTGTACAGATAATTCTATATCATTAACGCAACAAACATTTTTACACATTTTTAGTATCATCACTGATCCAAACAAAACTAAATGTATAATTGACTTGCAAGTAAAAAAAAACATTTTCCGTAAATAACTGTTTTTAAGTAAATTTTTCAATGTATAAATAAAAGCATTTCAAAGTAGTATAAAATTGCACTTACGATTGTAAACGAAAAGTTGGTTGAATAACCCAACAAACGGTAAAAAACAGGGACGAAGGAGAATAGACCTCGGCAAACAAAACATTCTCGAAGTCAGCGATTATATTTCATAGTCTATATACCTGTGTTAGTGGTAACACTGGTAACCACGCGATAGATAACAAAGTAGAGAAAAAGAGAACGTAAGCATCGAAAAAGGTATCTTCAGAAGGCATCGCATGTGTCCATCGCATATGTGAGTAGGTGAACAAGTCGAATGATCGCCTAGCAGAAACTAGAAAGAGACAGTTACGTGAGATTATCGTCAAGTGCGCGCATCTCGAAATATATTCTGCTTTTTCAGCTTGCTCGATGTTACTTTATAAAACGATTGTCATTCAAAGAAAAGTAATACTTGATTTTTCGTGTAATATATTATTGATATCGAAGGTCGAAATGTACAATCGCATTGCTCTGAAATGTCATGTAACTTCAATCTTGTCTCTTTGCTAACCTTGAAATCAAGTGCGTAGTGACTGATCTTTTTTCTTTTTCAACTCCGTATGTCTCGGCATACATAAGTGCAGCATCTTGCCAAATAAATAAACATAAAAATTATCAGTTCCTTGCTCGCCAAACAAGTCCATACACTTGCTAAAACCCAACGATGTTTACTTGCGAGATGTACTACGATCAAACATAACCTCAAACGTACTTTCCCAGCTACCATAAAGAGAAACCTTCGTTTATTGCTTTTTCCAAATAAAGCATCTCTTTTCTTCATCGACATAACGCAAACAAATAACATACATACACACACATATTACGCGCTCTTCGCACACATTTTTAGTATCAGTCTCTCTTCGGCAGCTTCAAACTGCACCACCTATACTGCAGTTGTGTATAAATATATACACAACATCGTAGGCGAAGAGAGGGAAAAGAAAAAAATAACGGAGTATGCGAGAAAAAAAAACTTGTACATCTCGATAGTTTAGTCGCAAGCGAGATTTAACGACGACCGTCGAAACTGGCCTCGTCGTTATCTCGGTGTCTAAGTTGTTTCCTCTGCCCATATGTTAAACATGGTAGAATGGTGCTTGCGCGTCTATTCACCAGGAAGCTCGAGCCTCCACAGGAGCAGGCTCCCACCGCCATTGTCGCCAATAGGTGAGACTCCAATTTGCTTGTCTGCTTTTAACAGCTTCTTTCAGCTGTCAAACGTTGTATTTGAAGAGTATTTTTATTTAATTATGATAATGCCTAGAATTTAACTGGTTAGATTGGAGATTATGTGCTGAATAGAGCTGAAGCGATGATGAGTGAGATAAATAAAATTATCTATCGGATGATACTGATGTAAGAAGTTGGTATGCAAGTGAAATAAATTTTAAATAATAATAAACTTTTTATATCTATACTCTAGTATGCAGCTTGCAAAGTATAAAAATAAAAACAATTTTATTCTAAGCTATTATGCCATAGATAAAACTCTGATTGGTTTATTACCAATAGATTAATGTCCACTATTATATATATTCGTTAATGATCTGCAAGTTCAAGTTGCCTATGGAAACTTTCCTCAAAATAAACATAACACTTCAAACTTTACATAATAAATACTTTATAATTGGTTTTGATGAAAAACAAAAATTCTAATTTCAGTATGATGTGTATCCAAGAGGAGTTAGGACATCTCAATACAAAAGGAGTGGAACCAGTACTTAATGGGGTGCATAGGATGCAGATGCCAAATTGCAGTAACATTAATTCAGAAGGCAATACAGATTCCAGTGAATCAACAACCAAAGCAACAGTAGCTCCAGAGTCCGTTAGATCACTTGCATGGATTGCTGGATGTATGCAACCACTCTTCAGTTTGATCAATAAAGTGACATTTAGTGAGAAAATCAAAGGAAGTCAAAGTAAGTGTTATCTCAATTTCAAAATTTTGCAGTTTTGATGATGTTTAATTATATGAATATTGTATTTTAGCTGATGAATGGGAAATACCTTTTGAGTCAATTAGTGAACTCCAGTGGCTAGGATCTGGTGCTCAAGGAGCAGTTTTCAGTGGGAAATTGAAAAAAGACATTGTAGCTGTTAAAAAAGTAAGAGAACCTCGTGAGACTGATATTAAGCATCTTCGCAAACTTAATCATCCAAATATTGTGCAATTCAAGTGAGCAGAGAAGCCCTTTACAAAAATAAATGTATATGTAAATAGTTCATAGTAATAACATATTATGGATTGACTATTTTTAGAGGAGTTTGTACACAAGCTCCATGTTATTGCATAATAATGGAATACTGCCCATCAGGACCACTATATGATTTACTAAGAGCAGGAGAATCAGTTCCACCTCCTCGGTTGTGGTCCTGGTCAAAACAAATCGCAGCTGGAATGAAATACCTACATGACCACAAAATAATCCATAGAGATCTGAAAAGTCCAAAGTACATACTCACATTACATTCGGTATAATGAATATCAATAATTCATTTTTGTATATGCATTGTGTATATTATCGTTTTAGTGTTTTGATTGGACGTGAGGAAGTTGTGAAAATAAGTGATTTCGGTACCAGTCGCGAATGGAATGAAAAAAGTACGAAAATGACGTTTGCTGGCACAGTTGCGTGGATGGCTCCTGAGATAATCAGGAATGAACCATGTTCAGAAAAAGTAGACATTTGGTAAGTAAATACTTGAAAATGAATTTTTTTTAACAGCATCGTTGCATCTCAAATAAATTCTTAAATCCTTGAATTTTTCACAATAGGTCATATGGAGTGGTTTTATGGGAGCTTTTAAGTGGAGAAGTACCCTACAAAGATGTAGACTCGTCAGCAATAATGTACGGTGTTGGCAATAACTCTCTCCATTTACCTATTCCAAAAACGTGTCCGGAAGGTTATAGAATACTAGTCGAACAATGTTGGGCCGCTAAACCACGGAATAGACCATCGTTCAAACAAATTGAAGCACATTTACAAATCGCCGCGGTAGAGCTTGAAAGCATCACGCAGAACGAATACTTCAAAGCGCAGGTAATGAGAATAAGAATACGTCGTTGTGCCGGTTAAAAATAAATATTGTATAAGAGAGATTAAACGTATTAACTGTCAATACTATATATAGCAAACGTGGAAAGAGGAAATTAGGCAGCATATGAAGCAAATACAGAGTGACAACTCGAGTAGTCCTCGCTTCGAGGCAGATTTGATACGTAAACGCGAGGACGAATTACGACATGCTCAAGACATTAGAGAACACTATGAACGTAAACTAGAACGAACTAACAATCTTTACATGGAGCTGAGCGCTGTTCTATTACAGTTAGAGCAGCGCGAAAGGGATGTGTTAAAGTAAGTTTTTCTATTGAGATCGATTATATCAACAATTAATTGCGAAAATAGTTTTTGACTAAATATTCATGGAAATTTATGTAGAATTTTGGGATTATAAGATCTGATTTCGTGTACACTTTAATTAACATATTTACGTTAATTATCCAGTATTTAAATAGACATAATATAATACTTAAAAAATGAGAATTACTTTGGAGCCTATTAGGAATTCAATTATTGATACTTAGAAATAATTTAATCCACAACAATTAATATTTTTCGACACTCCGTGCAGAAAGTGCGTTTTTCCCGCGCGCTCGGCCAAAATCGTACGTTGAAAATCGCACTTTCCACACGTCGTATAAAAAAATACGGTACGGCACATGTTCGGGAAAGAGTTTCTCGTCTCGTGTACCATTCCAACCTTGCTTCGCTCGGGCGTAAACGCTGCACGAAACTGGAATCTACTTTCCCGCACTTGTATCGTAATGTACTATTCCAGAAGAGAACAACAGACTGGATACAAAACCTGCAAAAAAAGGGTAGTTTACGGCCCTTTACTGAAATACCAGGAACGAAAGAAAAATCAATCACGGAACCCTATGATACAGTTCTCCTCATCTAGTCCAGCCTCACCACCTTCACCAATTTCTCCACAAAGCCCTGTAAAAGCCACAATGTGCACGCAATTGAACGACTCGAATAAACCCGAAACAACAATCGTGCCCAGCAGTAGTAATTTCAAGCAACGCAAATACCGACATCGACGAGTTGGTTCAGGTTGTGGTATTACGTCTAGTCCCAGATCAAGTCCGCAGCGAGAGCGAAAGGTTCGTATCAACTTTATTTCAAAGAGGCCTTTTACAACTGGATATTTAATCAGCTATTGTGTTTCATTTTCAAAATAAATTACAGCAATGCTTTCAAAGCTTTTCCTTTTTATTCAGGAATGAAAATTAATAGCAGCATTCGTTAATTTTATAGGTATTTTTATTAGCCCTTGTAGCATATGTAATTTAAATTGAATTCGGTACTTTTAGTCTGCGGAATTATCAGCAAATCGATTAGTGGACAATCAGACGCAAACTGAACTGCCCGTCTCTACGGACACAGACTCGACGATAAAAAACGAATCGCAACCTGAAATCCAACGACGTTCATTGAACCATGAAAGGTATATCTTTGAAGTGTCGTCGAATCGTCTGTATCCCAAATCTTCATTAGATAGTCAAAACAACGGTAATACTACCGATATGGCAATACAGCAGTACCATAATCGCCTACACTCAAGTCCTTGCTCGAGTCCAGAGCCTCTTAATGAAAATCGATTGAATGGAAATAGCGAAAGACTTCGAGATTGTAGTGATGACGATCACCTTGAGACCCTTGGAAGGAAAGTTAACGAGATCCTGAACGCTAATAGATTGATGTCACCTATTGATAATGGCAACTGTTGTAGTGTTGTATCTCATGGGTAAGTTCCTGTTTTCATCAGTTCTCGTTGTACAAGAATCAAAATATTTTCAAGATAAACATTATAAGGTAACATTATCTAGGAGGAATAAAGATGATGCACAAAAGTTGTCTAGTCAATTGAAGGAAAAAAGTACTGACCGCCCGGAAGGCAATGACGTGATTGATGTTATATGCAATGAAGACGGTGACGCTGGCGAGGACGAAAGCTGGTCTGACGAAGATGAACCGGATGTACCAAATTACACGTATAACTATTCGCTTAGAAGGAGAAGGTGAGACGTGCCATTCTATTTCATAAGAATGTTTAAATAATGAATACAGAGTCGATATAAATTTGTAAAAAGTAATCTTACAAATTTGGTCGTTTAATATGTACTACTTATTCTTTGCATTCATTTGAATAAAAAAAATATTTCCTTGCAGTCTTGCAAGGCGACCCATTGGTCCAGGTAGACACCGTCGTTCGAAGCCAAGCTTAACGACAGCGGTAATCAAACGAGTCTTGGCATCAGATGAAGAAAATAGCTCAGAATACTCACACCAACCGTCCAGTAAGTCGTCGACCTTAGAAAGCAATCCGGAAATTCAGCGCACCTTCCGCCGAGTTGGCTCGCTCGACTCTACACCTAAATACACACCACGTAAACGTACTTTATCAGCCTGTTACGTTCGTAAAAGCACCGATGACACTAGTGATGGATCATCATCATCTGAAACAGACGAGGCGAGCGAAACTACGATCACTTCCCAATTAGCTAATGTCACGTTGAAAGGCGAGAGCAGAGTATAAACGCTGTTATTGATGAATGATGCTTGGTTGACGAATTCTATTGAGCGCGCAACCGAGTTTCAAATTTGTTGATTATGATTTTGTTATTTAAATAGCCTGTTGAAATTATTAAAGCTAATTTTTTATGAAGTAATTTCTATTTTCCTCGTATCGAATCTCAATGAAATGAAAACTGTATATTTTAAAAGTATATGCAAATCATTTACAGTATCTTCGGAAAAGAAACACATCAAAAGTTTATGCAAAACTCACATTTGTATAATTTGCGTAATTAGAATTAAAAGTTATTATATGGTTATTCATTTAATTTTATTAGTATAATTAAAAATTGTACTTAAATTATTGATAAGATTTATAACTTTTTATTCTTTCAGCTATGTTCTACTAATTTTTTATATGCTAGCGTTGTTGTATGAGATTTTTATAACATATATATTACTTAATTGATATTCCATGGAATTCATCAACCAAATTTCATGTCAAGTTTGCGTATTTCAGGTTCAATAATTTAATCAGCATTTAGGTTGACACGTTACTTAGACACATAATATAAGAATTTTGTAAATAAATTTACGTGATTGTCTGAACATTTCATGATCAGTTCTAATGGTATTTACGAACCAAATTGTAAGTTACTTTAATGTATCTTCGTGGTTCAGTAGTTAAAGAAAAACAAAAATATATGTGCGAGACTACGTTTGATATTAATGCGATTTATATTTATACTTACACATCACTTTGTTAATAAACCTATTTGTTTTCTTTGAGGGTAGTATCGTAAAGTTGCAAGTGATAACGTTGTAGATTAGGAACGAACTTTCGTACTCTCATAACGAAAACTCCCAGACGTTCATGTGTAAAGTAGATTTATATATACATACTATTAGTTATGCCATTTGAAAGATAATTATATCATTTTTTCAGTTTCGTTATTTAAAGTGATACTAAGTTATGCGGTTTTTGTAAAAATCCATGATAATTTTGTATATAATTAGCAAGCATCATGTTTAATCCTTTTTTTACTGACGCAAATTTGTACAGAGCTTTGTGAGTTGTACAGTTCCTCTTAGTAACTATGCTAGATGGATAGAGCTATCGTACACACGTTGTAATTTCCACAAGGTATCCACTGTGTGGATAATATTATATAATCTATAATTTTCTATGATATACGTGCATGCTTAGATTGTAAAATAAAATTCTAAAAGTAAATTAAAAATGAAATCGGTATAATACAAAATTTACATAGAATTCGTATATAACAATGATTTATTATTGACTATTTTCGATGTCAAACTAATAAAGTATTAAACAAATGAATACGTCCAATGCATTGTGAAATTATCTCGAGAATAGAAAATATTTGACGATTTATAAAAGAGAATAAATAATCAACTTTTCTTTCTTCTATACCACATGTCTGTAACCGGTGACATACCACGTTAATAATTTAATGCAAATATAAAATTGAATTATCTATCATAAAGCCTATAGAACTAGTAAATAAATTAAACAATTCGTTTGTGCATCAACGTAGATAAAGAAAAATATATATTAATGCAAGGCGCATAAGCATATTAGATGTAATGTAAATTAAACATTTTTCAATATAAAAAAATTTAAAAAAGGCAGCTATTTTTCAGTGCACTTGTATCAAGTCGTACAGTTACGCACGTATATACACATTTGGATTATTTTCCAAAGGAATCAATTATTATTCTTCATTGGAATCATTTCTATGAAAACGGCATTAAAAAGTATTGCTGAAGCAGAGATTCTGAAATTGTAAAGTTTATGCGATATGATAATGATAATGATAATGATAATGATATTAATCATAATAACAATAATAATAATAATCATAATAATAACAACACTAATAATAACAACAGTAATAATAATAATAAAAGTTAAGTGATTGATATACATATGTGCCTTGCGGCAAATTGTAATATGTTAGATTGTGTCTTTACGGCGAAAAATAAGAAGAAAATTCGTTAGTATACTTCTAAATAAAGATGCTGTACTGGGCAATCTGATGTTTATGAAATATACAACCTTAATCTTTCTTTAATGCTCATTTTCAAGCATGTATCAGCGTTCGATCCTATGTCAAAATTTATCCATGTCGTTATCAAAATTATCGCATTTATAACTGAAATCATTTATTTAAAATACGAGAATATTTTTATATCAATATCTGCTCGAAAGTAAACTCAGATTGCCTTAATGACAATGATATATATTTTGTATATATAGACAATACAGTCATAAACTGATTGAATTTACTTGGCTGAATGTGAAAATAAATGTACTCGGACGAAAATTAACCTGATGTTTGGTTTCTTTACAAGAGCCATTTTTTCGTATTATGTCCGTTATAAGGAATGCTAATTAATGGTGTTAATTCTACTATGCACTCGGCGACTCTTAAACCGACTGGTTTTGTAGTTATTGTAGAACATCTTTATAAGTTTTGTGTTAATTATACTATAACTTATTAATCTACAATAAAATCTTCAATTAGATTTATTAATTCATAATTTTATCTCTTCATTCTATCTTCATATTCACATAAGTTCTTTTATTTCTTCACTATGTATATTTACATTACATATTTGAATTGTACATATATTTAATCTTGAAAATACGTTTTAAAAAATCTAAGTACCACCATCACCATCGTTATTTAATGTAGGATTGTGAAATTATTTACATTTAATCTAGGATTGTAAAATTTATTATCAAAGTGCACAACTACAAAGTTTACAATTTTCTCTCATTATTGGGCGTCATCAATGACGCCAGTCGTTCTCCGCACCATGCAATTTGATATACGTGTTAAAATGTGATATTCAAGATAATCCGAGAACAACAAAGAGATTGATTTTTTTATTAAATCTAAGTTACACTTCAGCATTCAAACATTCAACGATTCTTCAATATCATATAGTTAATTTTTTTGTTAATAAAATGTTACTTGATTACTTAGCGAAATTTTTCAAAGTCCTCTAATATGTCGATTGTTGAAATCGATTTGCAACAGACCAAAATGTGAACTGAAATTTGTAGTTTTGTCAACTCATTACATTAATACAATAAAAAATGATAGAGTGCTTGTAAATTATTGATAAATTAAATACAATTTGCATTTTATTTTACACAAGTTGAAAAAATGATCTTATTTTCATAAATTTCTCGTGCCGCTTACTATCCTTAATTTCACATATATGGTCGTAAATCTCGTATTGCAGAGCCAGTTTGTATGGTCGTAAATCTCGTATTGCAGAGCCAGTTTTCTGTGAATAAAAGATTGAGGGAAACCAAAGAGGTTTAGTCACACGTGATTCATTTACGGTCACTCAAGTATTGATTGAGTATAACGCTCGGTAATAAACTTCTCACTGCAGGCAGCCGTATTCGGGTTTTTATATTTGCATTGCACTATATACGGCTTGTAAAATAAAAGTTTCAAAATGAAAAAATGTTGTGATTAAAAAGCGATATCAAGATGATTCTTTTTTCATTGTGCAGTTTTTTTGATGTACTTTGAGGGAAAATTATTCCTGAATCATATATATCAGTGTTAAGCTGTTCAAAAACACGAGAAAAACGAACTTTTTTCGAGAAATTTTACTAATTTTTATAAAAAAATATTTACTTGATTTTATTCTTTTTTAGGAACTAATCAATATTTTAATGCACTCAAAACTTGCTAAAATGAAGCACATATGCAAAGATGAATGCAAAGAGTAATTCTGATGCATTTTATACATCTGTAAATTGCTTTTGGTTTTTAACTCATGTTTTTTTTCTAAAAAAACTGAAACTCCATTTTCAAAGCTGAATATTTCGACCGGAAATGGGTCTAGAACGATCGTAAAAAAAGAAAAATGTAGGCTTTTCCTTCCATTTTATTATTTTTATATTGACTTTTCACTTTCCTTCATTCCGGGAAAAAAAGCCAATCGAAATAGTAAAATTTTTTGAACAATGTTCGTTTTTTCCGCATTTTTTAGCGGGTTAACACTAATATGTATAATTCGGAAATAATTTTCCCTCAAAGTACATAAAAAAAGCTGCAAAAGGAAGAAAGAATCATCTCGATATTTCTTTTCTATCGCGACATTTATGATTTTGAAACTTTTATTTTACAAACCGTATATAGTGGGTCGTACATAACCCAATAACCTAACCGGTTGTTCTCGGTATCTAAAAACCGTCATACAACCGTACCAGCAATGAAATAGTATATTTCAAAACTAGTGCGAGAATAGTATATCACGATACAAGTGCGCGAAAGTAGATTCTTGTCTTGTGTGTCGTTTACACCCGAGCGAAACGAGGGTGAAAAGGTACACGAGACGAGAAACTCTTTTCCGAACATGTGCCGTAAAAAAATATTTTTCGATACTCCCTGCGGAGTATCAAAATACGGAGCAAAAAATACGGTACGGCACATGTTCGGGAAAGAGTTTCTCGCTTCGCTCGGGCGTAAATGCCACACGAGACCAGAATCTATTTTCCCGCACTTGTATCGTAATGTACTATTTCGATACAACGTGTGCGACGCGGGATTTTAAGCACGCTCTCTTTTCCGAGCATGCGTAAAATCGACCTTAAGCATCAACAGTACAACACATGAATTTACACTGGCTATGGCTACGCTCCCTGACTCTGTTCTCATGCTATTCCACGCTGAAAATATTTTCTTGGTTGTAATACACTCGATACGCTGCTGACGCATATATAACTTGACCTTTGTAGAGGCACGTACGATTCGAATATTAATTATACAACAAAAAAGAAAGAAAGAAAAATATAACAAAACTTTATTATGAGTCTGAGTTAATGGTGACACAAAAATAATCCTGTTCACAGTCGCATGGGCTACAACTTCAAAAATTTTAGGCACTTATCCCGATGCAAAATTTCACAAAGAAATTTAGCAAAGTCATCCGGAACAACTTACTTATAGTCATATTAGAATATCGTATTAATTTATTGCACTCCAGACTTAAGGAAAGTTCAAATATTTTATTAGTTATTTTAGAGATTTTATATGGAATATAGCTGTACTACGCGAGTGTGGACAGGTCTCAGCGATGAGGCTGACGACGCGAACGAATCTTACAAGCCAAAACAAATTGAAAGCTCAGGAGTAGAAGCCTTGCATATTAGGACTAGAGACCGAATTTTTCTCGTCGTTTATGTATAGTTTATTTATTCTATATTATTAGCGATTTGTATTTACGCAATTACTTATAGTTCATTTTGACCAAAGCATATTCGTCTATAATAAATTTCCTTTTATACGTGTAAGGAGTTTAGGTCAGTATTTATTCAGAAGCACGGTCGTTAACAGAAAACCGCAACAATAAAAATAACACAATGATGGTTTATGAAAATAAATAGAATTAGAAACATGTTATTAACAAACGAAATTATCAAACAAGAGACGTTTCATTTTACATATAAAATGTTGAATCACTTTTCTTCGTAAATATCATAATTCGAATACAGTCTGTACTGTTATCGGAAAATATGAGCAGATATTAAATATTCGCTTCCTGTCTGCTTTACATTTGTTATCAGCAGTACAGAACAAACGGCTTATACATTCTAACTTTCAAGTACGTTTTTTTGCTCAGCGGTTGTCAAAAAGGGCTCCGCGCAACCGAAAAAGCGTTTCATCGGTTCAATTCGCTCGCATTTTACAGTTATAGATGAATTAAAGTGAAAAAATTTGAAAATACTCCTGTTAGCGTAAACTTTCTATAAGCTTTTTCTAAAAATCGATAAATACTTTTTTTTTGTTAGTAAAAAATAATAATGTCGAAAGTTATAAAAAATGAGTTATTTGAATCATCGAAAGTCTGTTACAAATTTTTGAGAATTGAACTTTTTCCAATATTACTTACTAAATTACTTTTATGATTACTTCTAATCAATATTAAGACTTAAAATTGTATACACGCATTCTTGAGATGTGACAAATAACGTAATATTGGAAAAAGTTCAATTCTCAAAAATACCATTCCACCCTCGCTTCGCTCGGGCGTAAACGCTACACGAGACTAGAATCTACTTTCCCGCACTTGTATCGTAATGTATTATTACTAACAAAAAAAAGTACTTATCGATTTTTGGAAAAGGCTAATAGAAAGTTTACGCTAACAGAAGTATTTTCAAATTTTTTCACTTTAATTCATCTATAACTGTAAAATGCAAGCGAATTGAACCGATGAAACGCTTTTTCTGTTGCGCGGAGCCCTCTTTAACAACCGCTGAGCAAGAGAACCTCCTTAAAACTTTTCAAACAGGAGAGGGGGGCATATAAGCTGCACGCTGACCGTCATACTTCACATTTAATAAACTGGCACCAGTAGCGCTAGTACATTCAAACGAGTATTGTCTAAACTTTCCGGAAGATTAAAACGCGTTAAAAAAATTAGAAAAGAAAGTGCATTGTATAGTGAAAATGGAAATATTACCGTGGTGGTTGCTCCTTTTTTTCACTTTAGCGTTTATCATTTACCGCGCATACATAAATGGTTATCTTTTGACAACTTTGTATGGAATACCTTTTATTGGTATTAAATACCCATACATTTATGGAAATTGCAAGGAGCAATTAGCTCTGGAAATATCTAAGCTATACAAAAAATATCCACAGCCCTTAATCGGGTTTCGCTTATTTTTCAACAGCTTAGCAGTGATAATATCTGATTTACAACTCGTGGAGTTGGTATTAGTGAAAAATTTTAGCAGCTTCCAGAACCGAGGCTTATTTCACAACGAGAAAATTGATCCATTATCAGGAATTTTAGGCACTGTTGATTACGAGCAATGGAAGCCGATGCGACGGAAACTAAAGCCTGCATTCAAATCATCGACGATGAAGGAAATTTTTCCGCAACTAAAAAATATGTGTGACAGCTTTGTTGAACATGTAAATAAAATAACGTACAATGGCGAGCAAGTTATCGACATTGTTGATACATTTTCCCGATTTACTACTGATGCCATTGAAGCAATTGCCTTTGGCAAGGATTGCAGAGAATCGGCTGAACGTCTGCGCGAAATGATTGCAAAGGCTAAACAACCTTATTTAAAGTTTACTTTGAACCGAATCGCCATCGCCTTTCCCAATGTGGCACGGTGGCTTAGAATAAGAAAACATCCTAAGGAAGTTTCAGATTTTTTTGTGAATTTTGTATCACGAATTGTAGAATATCGAAAGACAAATGATGTACAAACAAACGATTTTATGCAAACACTAATTGATGCGGACTTAGAAATTGCCCAAATCGCCGCCATAGCGTTCGACTTTCTGTCAGCAGGCTATGCTGACTCTTCATCGACACTTGCATATTATCTATACGAACTAGCTATGAATAAATCTATTCAAGATAAAGCACGTGCTGAGATACGAAGTATTTTAGATAAGAATGTCCTAAGTTATGACGTGTTGCAGAAGCTGACTTATTGCAACCAAATAATGAAAGGTAATGTCTGCTAACGATGAACATTCATTCGGTCAGTTTCGATACATTTTTCATAATCATTCAGAAACGGAAAGGAAGTATCCCGTGGCTGGGATAGGGATGAGAGTGGCGACTAAGCCATTCAATGTGCCCGACACTAATATTACCATTCCACGCGGAATGAGGGTATTTATACCTATTTATGCCATACACCATGACGAAAGGTACTATCCTGATCCCGAAGTCTTCGATCCGGATCGATTCACGGACGAATCGAGAGCTCAACGTCCGAGATATTCATTTCTGCCTTTTGGAGAGGGTAAACATTACCTTTTCTCTGTTTTTTCATTAGTTTCAATCATGTTTCATTTTTATTTTTATTTTTATTCATTCTCAGGCTCCAGGCAGTGTATTGGATACAAATTCGCCGAAATGCTGATTGGGATTGGAATTGTATCGCTATTACAAAATTTCGAATTTTCTATCTGTGAGCAAACTCAAATTCCGATAGAATTCAATGAATATAAAAATACGCTACACCCGAAAAATGGTGTCATATTGAAAATTCGGCGTATTTAAGTATCATCCTTATTATTCTATTCTATATATCAATTTTCATGTGGCTTTAAAAAGTTATACACTTTTTAAAAGTTCATAAGTCGCAACCACGCTTATTATTCTTTTGCCAAAATTTTACTTTTTTACGTCACATAAGTCTCGTCATTGCTTTTCTTTTACTTATATATATTTGTATATTTATATGTGTCGCAGGTGAAATATAATGAAGTATAACAATGTTTATGAGGCCTGCAATGGCTCGGTCGGTAGGGCGACGGACTCGCACCCGGTAGGCCCGGGTTCGATTCCCAGTACCTGCTGATTGATACAAGCACCACTGAAAAAAGTTTCATGTGCTTTGTTCTCAAACACATGCAAGACTCCATCGCTGATTAGCACTGATGGAGCATAAAAATAGAGCGACGTTAAATAAAAAAAAAAAAATAACAATGTTTACGATAGTAAGCAAGTTTATAGTTTCAAAAATGAGTAAGTGCTTTTCATCGAATGAATGGGGGTAGTGAGCTGTTAAACATCTGTCGAATATCGAACTGCTTCGAACGAATATCATAGTAATCTGGAAAAGCGTTGAAAGTCAAGACATATACGAAATGTGAGTGTGAGGCCCAGAATAACGATAAGGGTGAGACTGCGTGCAGCCAGTTCTTGTGCCTATCAAGTTAGATAACATCAAGTGAAATTACCATTTTTCCAATATCCCACATACATTACATGTACAAAAAAATAATTATTGTAAATCTGTTATTTGTTAACCTATTATAAAATGGAATTTTATATGCCGAATAATTTTTTGGATCGTAAGATATAAAAATGCAACTTTCAGTTCCGAACATTAATATTTTATGCTGGTTTTATCGACATTATAAAAAAGTTTTGTACTATCACTACCCAACTAGTAAAATTACAATAACTTTTCAACGTTTAGTGTAGTGATTTTACTATCTTGAAACTTGTAAAGTTACTAGTGCTAATAAATGTACTCTAACCACTTCTGTAAATGCACTATCTATTTTACTACTTTCAAACTGGGACAAAACTCCATTTCGTCCACTCAGACTAGTAATTTTATAAAAGTATTTTTTACAGTGTAGCTTAAAATTTGGAAAAATTCTACATTTTCCTTAAAACGTCTCTACTGTGATAAAATGTATACTTCATAAGTAAACAGAATATCTTACTTACATACAGAGTAGATACACGATAAACAATTCAGATAAACATTTTTTTGTAATTATAAAATTAAAGTGTTTAAGGACGTAATAATAACCATATTTAATATAAATTAGAATTTTTATATGTTTATTAGACAGCATTAAAATGTAATCAAACATAAACTGCTTCTTATAGTTTATTACATATATAGGCAGAAAAAATTATTGATTTCTTTTTTTTATATTTTACAACTCGATTGATTCATTCAATGGGCGTATAACGTATTGTGCCAGAGACAAAAAGACAAGCAGCCGTTGTTAATACACATGTTATTGCAATTTTTCTTTTCGAACGTTGCCAATGCTGCGCTCGATAAACAATACTTTACTTATTTGTATTTCTTTTCCAACAGTTCTAAATAAATGTTCACATTTCATCTGAGGAAATGTAAATAATAACGTGTATATAAAACATTCATTCGCACAGCCTCGTGATTGATGAGTTATAACAAAATGCTTAAGCCCATCGCATTTAGGTGACATAGGTACGTTTCTTATAGATCGATTTAAATAAGATTGAGAAATCATTTTTTCAACACCTTTTTTCAAAACATATATATATATATATATATATATATATACATACATAGAATTTGAATAGTTAAGAGACATCAGAAAACGTCTCGTAGTATTTATCTTTTTAAAAACTCTGTTAACTTCCATAGAAGTCAATGCAATAACTTTTGATAAATCTGAAATATTTAATGTTCAGACAGAATTTTAGCGCAAATGGTTTTTCTTATTTACTCACAACATTTAAACGCCAACGTGAATAAAAAGTACAAATTAATGCTTAATTCTTATAATTAAGGTAAAAATGCTTAATATTAAATGATAGTGGGATTGAACAATGTTCTAATGGGTATCAAAAACAAGTATTTAAAAAACAAGAAAAACATGAAACTGACCATGATAGTAAGGCTGTTTCGAAAATAGAGATTCAGTTTTTCTAATAAAAGACAAAACAGTTAAAGCATCTTACTGTTATCTTTTTTTAGAAATTAAAAAAACTTCTAGAGTGTTCATGTTCTTGGGTCAATGCGCAATTTGAATTGTCTACTCAAAAAGCTCTTGGGACAAATAGAGTTTCTACAAAGACTATAAAATTTCACCAATAAAATGAATTATGCAGAAATTCCGTCGTTGATTTATAAAGTGACGATGCACTTTGCCTTAAGCCTGTGAATAAAGATAGTACACCATTTTTTTCCTCCTCTTCATCTTCTTCATCCTCTGGCAAGTACTCTGGTAACTCATAGTCTTCAATATCATCATTAACCTATAAAAAGAAAGTTTTTGATGTGAGAAAATTAGATATAACAAAATAACAAAACATAAAATGTACATGTAACTTACTAATTGTACTAAAAATTCTTGATTATATTTATTTCTTGTAACTAATCTTGCCTCCATATTAGGATTATTATCACTTATAGCTTCTGCAATTTGTTTGGCTGTGACATTTGCTAATGTTCTCATAGTAACACGTTGATGCTCCACATCAACAACAAGAGAAATCAATCCTTCAATCCTAATTAGGGTATATTCTAATTCTGTTCTTGTTTCCTGTTTAAATGCAAATCAATGTATTACAAAATGTTAGCATCACTAAATGAGAGAAAGAGAGCTATGTAGATTATTTAATAACCACAAAACATACAGGCAATAAGCCCTGAACATGCAGAGTAATGACATGAGTTTTCAGTTTTTTTGGCTCAATGACCCTCCTGCAACGGCTGCGTAAATTATAAATAGGTGGTTTCATGCGCTCAATGTCATCTTTGATTTGTTGAGCACGCTTGGCCAGTTTTGGATCATTGTAAGTATATTTGTTAATCACTGCATCAAGAGCCTCTCTAACACCAAAAGTCGAAGTTATGTGAGAGTAATTTTCAACATTTTTGACAAAAGTTTCAAGAATATCTAGTGCCAGGTTCACGATTTCTGTGTCAGGATATTCCAAAACGACAGCCACGTAGGATAACACTGTCTTGTCCTGAAAATCGAGGATAAGTTTGAGAAAAAGTTTTAGAACGACACATTAACAGAAAATCTGTAACTATTATTGATGTGGTTATATATGTACCTTCAATATCGTATCGTGGTTAGAGACGTCGGTCGACAGCTTTTTGTAGGTCTCAAGAGTCGGCCTCAATTTCGTCTGATCCAAAGCTTCTTCGTCCATAATTTAGCGATGTATTATCGACATTTAATTGATCTTTTTTCTCAACTCTTTTTGTTAGGACTACCACCAGAACAACTTGCATACATGTATAAACATAAACTTTGCGCAGTTTTATCTCTAGTGTATAATATGTTGTGTATATGTGTATATGGATTATGAATGCAGAAACTAAAATGTTTGGAAAGTGGAAACTGAAAACTAATCATACGGACATGGAACGTGTGCGTTCCACCCGTTCCACGATTTTAGAGATGTTATTACTTTAGTCGCAGAATTTAAAAAAGAAAGAATGTTAAAAAATTTCAGACTATATTTTCGACAGTTTCATACATTAAAATGCCTTTTTATTGAAAATTATGCAATTCTTAATTTATGTTAACTTCAGGATAAATGAATACATATAATGGCTTATCGATATAGTATAACTTTTACAAGTGCTAGATGAAAGCTCTAGATTTCATTTATAGCAATAATTGAAGATGACAACAGTACTTAATATAATTACGAATTTTCGAATACAAAAGGAAGAAGATAGCATTAGGTACATATTATTATAATAATAATTATTATTATAATAATAATTATTATTACACAGTAATTTGCATGAAAATCCATAATGAAATATGAGCTTTTTAACAACTAATTTTATATAACGTTGTTATAATTGAAATCGTATTATTAATACTATTAATATTTTTCATATTTTATAATAACTTGTATCGACGCCCGTGATAAATTAATTGAAGACGATAAGAAAAACCACTCAAAAGCCGACTTTCTTTGTATCCTATTCATCATATTTCTCTAAATAGCTAATATTAAATTCTCCGATGTAGGGCAAAAAATTTGAAATCTAGAGTTCCAGTGAAATATATATTTTTAAATTATAGTCTTATTTTACTTAGATTACGGAATAGATTTTATAGGTATTATTACCATCCCGATTGATTATTCATTGTAACTTCTGCTTCAATATTTTTTATCTTGGATCCGTTTCGCCTTCAATTGAACTAATAACGCAAGCATTAAACTACTCATCAATTATCCAAATAAATACCAATTTAAATTTAAAAATTTTTAGTATAATTAAAACAGAATTTTTCTTTAAATCAGTTTTCACATGTGAACGTTATGATAAAGTAACTAAATAATGATAGTCGTTTTATCACGATGTGACAAAGTTCACGATGCTACTAAATTCTCTTCTTTTTTTTATATTATATAAACATAGATGACTGTCAACAATCATACAATCAATGTTTAATTAAATACGAAACCGCGTGCGGTTACATGGTTTTGCGGCCTAGACGAAAACTTGCCAGGTAAAGGTGATTATTTACAATCAAAATTGTATGAAAAATATCATTTCCAGGTTTGCAGTCGGGAAACGAAATTCCGAACTAAATAATAAAAAAAAACAACTTTAATGAGAGATGAGTCGATCTCTCATTAAAGTTGTTTTTGAGAAAAGAAGTGTTGAGAAAAGCAAATCAATAAACTATAGTAATATAATGGTAGGTATATTATAGGTTTTCTCAAAAATACGCAAGTTTAGTTGAGTTTAGTAATCAAATAGGTCACTCGATGGCACTACCGCGCAGATTTCTCTAGTTACATTTTTGTTTATATCCATGTGTGTCAGTAAATATAACCTAAAACATCGAAATCAATATTCTAACGACGGTATTTATTATTTATTTTTTAAATTAATATAATGGCTAAAGTAATTAAAAAAAAGCAAATATCGTCTAGGGAAGAACTAGAACATTTGGATAAGAATGTGGGTATTTGATTGCAATGTGACAAGGAATCCTGGTCTATTTGAAATTTAATTATTGTTGATTAATATTTGTAGGAATTGATTGCTAAAATTTTACAAGTAGAAGCTCATAACTTTCAATTAAAACAGATTATCGAAAAAAAAAATGGAACTATGGATAATAAAAATTACACCAAAAGCTCAAAGAAAAAATTTGATTTTACAAAGTAAGTTTTTCTTCTAAGATAAATTATAAATTAGGAAAAAAATTTTGTAAAAATTGTAATTTTTATTCCAGATGCCATAAGAGACATATTCTTTTGAAATTTTATTACTTAGGATGGGATTATCATGGATTTGCTGTACAGGAAAATACAACAAATACAATAGAATATCATTTATTTGCAGCTTTAACGAAAAGCTGTTTGATAGAAAGTAGACAAACAGCAAATTATCATCGTTGTGGTAGAACAGATAAGGGAGTAAGTGCATTTTCACAAGTTATTTCTCTAGATATTAGGAGCCGATTTGAGCCAGATAAACAAGATAATTTGTCAGCTGAAATAGCATATTGTAAAATTTTAAATAGACTGCTTCCAAAAAATATTCGTTGTATATCTTGGTCACCTGTTAGACCTAACATTTCAGCTAGATTTGATTGTAAATCCAGAACCTATAAGTACTTTTTTCCTAGAGGGGGTTTAAATATTGAATCAATGAATAAAGCTGTTAAGCTAACTATTGGCAGACATGATTTTCGTAATCTTTGTAAAATGGATGTGGCAAATGGGGTTGTTAGTTTTAATAGAACTATAGTTGATGCTGGAATAACTTGTATATTGAAAGAGCCCAATGACAAAAATTCAGGTAGTTAAAAATTTAATGTTTTTATTTTGATAGCTTAATGTAAAAATGGATAAGTTTGAAAAGGATTTTCTTGACAAAATTTTAGGGTATGATATGTGTCAACTAACAATCAAAAGTAATGCTTTTTTATGGCATCAGATTCGTTGCATCATGGGAATCTTATTTCTAATAGGAAGAGAACAAGAAAAGCCAGAAATTATGAATGACTTGCTGGATGTTCAAAATCATCCTAAAAAACCTCAATACAACTTAGCTCATTACATACCATTGAATCTTTTCTATTGTGAATATGATGATGCTAACTGGTATGTGGATAAAGAAGAAATTCTCAAAGTTGTTGAAGATTTACAAGAAGAATGGACTGATGTTAATGTGAAGTACATACAAATTAATTAATATTCTTTCTTCTTTTTTGTAATAGATGTGTTACAAAATTATGATTTTGCCATAATGTTTTTCAGGAGTACTATGATTAAAAATATGCTGCAAGATTTGCAAGAGTTGACAGATGAGAAAAATACAAATATTAAATACCAAAGTAATTGTCTTCTCCAAGGAGTTGAATCTAAAGTATATAAGCCACTATTAGAGCGTGAAACATGTGGTAAGTAGAATAACTTTTGATTGCATGAATTTCTTATAAATAAAGCTACTAGTTATTGAACATAATTGATCATATTTTTCAAAACTTGATTTCAATTTTTCTTTTTTTATATAAAAAAATTACTGTCTGTCCACGAATGTCCCAAATTAAATGTTTTATTAATGAAAAAATCCCAAAAAAAAGGTACAAACATTCAAAGTCACAATATATTTATTTTATTAAACAAATAATTGATAAATATTTTTTTATTAAATAAATAATTGTCACATATATTTTTATTTGATTGATTAATTACTATTCAGTATTTGAATAAATTATCACAAAATATAATTTTTTAATTTCAATATAATCACATGCCAACTAACAGCTTGACTTATTAATGATTCCATGCTGTCGTATCCTTAGTAAAAAGTTTTATAAAGAAATATGATTGTAAGAACCGGATATAGATAAAAAATGCAGAAAATTATACTTTTTTCTATGAATTTTTTATGAGGAAATGACGTCAATCTCTTATTGTAAAACAATTTTTCATTTGCTATCGTAATTTACATTTTCAGAAAACATATTTTATATTTTCAAATAATTTTTCATGAGGTATTATTTTTATCATTTCAATATTAATTCAAAAGCCGAATGCATTCAGTTTGCGAAGCATACACGAATACGTTCTACTTAGGACTATCGAAAAGAAAACTTTGATACACTCATGCATAGTTCAGATTTTTTGTTCAATGTCTGTTTATTTCGTGCGTCTATCCACAAGATATCATTAGCAATAATCACATGTAAATGTTTGTCCGTCTCAAGCATTACCTCAGAGATCAATACGAAACAAGAAAGAAAACAAAGCTCGGCGATTAATCATAAATGTGAATTTTTATTACAGAAAGCCTCGAAGATCGGATCGAACATTACGCAAAAAAGAGAAGGCTAGAAAAAAGCAGCTGATAATCGGAAAGTTTCCTCTCTGCATTCGCATGTGAAAGGTCGTCTACAGACGCTTTCGCCACACGCTGCATAGGTGTGCGGCGATGGAAATTGCGAAAAGCTCGCAGCTAATCAGTGCCAGACACTGCCTGTACAAAGTTCAAGAGCTTAAGTATAACGTCTCTGCGTTTTTTACAACGCGATCTGACTTTCTCCTACGTTTTATATAACTAATTAGTCTTTTCATTGGACGATTTGTTATTTCTGCGTGAGTGTGGGCAGTTTTTGCCGTTTGTTGTTCTTAATGAAGATAATAAGTTTGCATTATACACGAGAATGCAAAAAGATTGTGTAACAAAAGATTTTATTATTGTCCGAACATTTTTACGAAAAGTTATCTATTGACTATTTAAGTAATATTTGTTTTATATATTCCATATTTTTGTATGTATTTAATTGAATATTATTTGAACTAGTGCAATTCATTAATTACTATTCAAAACAGTCAAGTCAATTTCGTCCCAATGAAATTACGTTCAATAAAAATACATATGATAACAATAAATATACATAAATGCACATTATTTGCAAGTAATTTAAAAACCGATGAAAGGTTCTTTATCGCTCAATAAAACTTTTAATACTAGAATAAAAGTATAAGTAAATATCACCACTGATTTCGAAGAAGTTGAAATATGGTTTTATCAGTTATAAACCAGCGGTCAAGTACTTCCTTATTCAGCTGTTTACACATTGAAAAATTAACTCCATTCTGATGACAAGTACTCGTTTCTTACAGATATGCATTAGTTAATTGAAAATAAGTAAATGAAAATCTGTCCTTCGGTAATCATAGTGTGTTTGTTTTTGCCTATACAAACCTAAGCAAGAAAAATATACTGTTGATAAGAAGTTGAAAACGTGCCGCGAATTGATTACGTGAAGTCATTAACGGCAAATATCGTTCTTCAGGTAATTCATAAATTATTCTTATTTGAAAAGCAACTTTGGAAAGTTTATTCGTAATAGCTGCTACTGTTGCGTGCAATATCGATATTTGTGAATAGTTTTAATAAAACATTATGCGACCGTGCTTTGGTTAATTTATTTGGTATTTGGTTAATAATTTATTTGAAAGAAACAAATGTTAAAGAAAGTTACTAGGGCCAAGCAATTTAGTTTGCATGTAATTTTTTTACTTTAGAAACCTAATACAGAACCTTGCCTCAAAAATGTGAGTGAAAAGGGGAAAGATTAAAAAAATTATTTTGCATCTAATAATAAAGTTATCGACGGCACCGAATGATTTATAGAATATAATGGAACTTTCATAAGTGCATAAGAATAACAAGAGTTCTTACGGCGTAAGTTCTGGTCTTGATATGAATTTGGTATGTATACACCACGACAGGAAAGTTTTCAAGAGAGAATCCTTTTTGTTCTCATGTCTCTGATGCAGAGTTTTCGAGAAAGTAATCTGGTCCTGTTAATCAACATGAGCAACTATTTGACATCAACGGTGCTCGTAGAATTGTAAAACTGTTAGTAAATTCTACTAAACATTTCAACCAATAAATATCGCACCCACTATCAGCGCATGGCAACGTTTCGACTTCGAGAAAATGAAGTATTCAGTTTAGAGTAACTTTCCAAAATCGACTTGAAGAAACACGACGACACGTTTGCTGGTCAGGCAGACATATGACGTATTTGGCAACTCGTTGATCGACTTACATAGTACGTGAATAAAAGGCGGATTTTTATCCTCGAGCGAGAAACGCGTGACGCAATACGAAAATTCCCTTAGCTTACGAGAATATATCAACTTCATACCTGGCATGCAGTAAGAATCTAAATAAAAAATTCGATCAATTTTTTTCGTCATCTATCCTCGAAATAAAACTGAAACTTTTTGTAACAATTACTCGTGCAAACTTTGTACCTATCGACATTCACATCATAACTATTATCAGCTTTATCTAAACGAGTTTAAGAAGCCAAATCCCAGTTAAGATTCTATGCAAGTCACAATTATTCATGTACGTATATGTCATACTTTTCGAATAACTTACTATATGTCATACTTATCAAAAACTTGAAAATTCTCAAACGAATCTGACTAACCCTTTATCGTACCTAAAGATATCCGAGGAAATTGGATCATATCCGCAGCGCTGAAAGATATTGAAACGCGCGAGTGAAGAGCACAAACTCACGTGTACGCGCTCATGCTTTTACGACGTACTCGCAGCACAGGGACTCATACCAATGTTACTCTCTCCTTGAACTTTGAGCGTGTATCTTTCTTGTGCCGTTTGTGTCAACCGCGATTAAACGCTTCGAATCTCCAACTAATTCAATTATCATTGTTACGAGCTTTATTGTTTGTACAATGTAAATGATGCTTGTTCGTTCTTTCACTGCACCACTACTTTTTTTACGGTATTTGTGCAGATACTGGTTTTAGGAAATGTTCGTTTATGGTCACCTCCGCGCGTTCATGTGCTTTTATCCTGAATTTCATTTAATTTCGATTATCATGATCATTTTTATGTAAACACTTACATTAGCATTAGTCTAAAATAATTTAATTTGTTAGTTATTTATATTTTTAATAATTATTAATACTTGTCAAATGCCATAAACTAATACAATATTTTATAATAAATATATAATCTTTATTGTAAACTCCACCTTGATACTTTTCTCTATCTATGCGTCAAATAAAAAAGAATCATTTCGAGAAGTGATTTAATTCTTTCCTACGACTTTTCAGTCTTCTCTACTTACGCCATCAAATTCTGAGTGATTATAAACGTACAAAATGAAATTATTAAAATTGTTAATGCCATCTATCAATCATCCATTCAGTAAGCTTACATCATACCCCAAGTAAATTACTAACATGAATAAAAAGGGGAATAAGCGGCTTTTGACGAAGTAAAAAATTAAACAAACGATCTTGGCACACGACATTTCATTGCCATCATCGAATCGCCTTTCTCGCGCGCAATCGAGGCTTCGAGAATTCCCCCCATAGGTAGACACGCGAGTGCATAACCGAACGACTTGGTACCGGGAAAAAACTGCAATACAACTTTGTAGTTGAACCTTGGAGATGAATGGTTATATGACAACGCCACTTTGCTGGCTACGATGATGGGAACGATTGACGTCACATCTCCAAACGACCAGTATATTTTCACTTTTTTGTACGCTGCTGAATTATGCACCTGCTATATTTTATCTCTTACTGTAGTGCAGAGATATGCGCCTTAAAAGAAAGCTGCTACGGAATTCGTAAATATGAGTGGATGATAATTATATTGCGGAGACATCGGGAAAGTATCAAAAATTATGTATGCGATTTATAAAAAAGTGGTTTTGTGCATTATTAGCAGGTTTTATTATGCAAAATTTGTCAATATAGTAAGAATTTAGATGAATTTTTTCTAAAGAATTTTGTAATTATGTAATTTCATTTTTTCATGTTATTGTGTACTAAAAAGTCACTGACAAGACTGTTCGTGCAGCTGAATTCATTCTCTATTTTACAAAAATAATTGATTACACATTTATTTTTAGTAAATCAATTTCCAATCGGACACTGTTATAGAATATATATATGCTAATTTACAATTTATGTCACGCAGGATATTAAAAATTTGTTTTCTCGTACGTGGAGCCATCGCATTTAAAATCAAATAATGTTTGCATCGAGCATTTGCTTAACTATTTAAGAATATTTGCAATTGAATATGCATTTTAGTTATTTTTTTTTAATTGTTATCAAAATCCGAAAATATTTCGAGTACAGAAAGATATCCGTGAAAACGGAAGTGAATCTAAATAGTTAAGAGTCTAATAGATAACGCAAATTTTATTATTCAGAATTTGTTATCAATACAAATAGTATAAATAAGAAGTTATACAACACATGCTTTATAATAAAATACTGCCACTGAGATTTACAAAAGTCCTTGTATATTTTATAATCACAGCAGTCGCAGTGCGTTAAAAACCGTTTTCTTTAACCATAAGTGGTTTATTATAAATAAAAAGCGAATTACATTGATGTGAGAAATCACAAATATGTCAAATTTTTATTGCATCATAAACTTCACGTGCTGCACATTCAAGTGAGATATGAAAACAAGTGCGTAAACATGTACAGTTTTACAGGCACGTGCGAATTGAATTATGATAAATATTTATACTTAGAGGCAATTGAATACAACGAACAATGACTCAAATGCGCGAAAGCATTAAAATAAACAAGAAAAGAAAAACCGATTGATAAAACTACATGTATATATGAAAGTGCAACTCGTGGAGCAAAGTCCAAAGCCAGCGCGAAAAAAAATGAAGTACAGTAAGAAAGGACCCGAATGTATGAGTAAGGATAAGATAATGTCAGAAAAACTTTTACGCGATGTTATCTTTTTCCACTCTACACTCGGCCTAATAAAAAAAAGATCATTGTGCATTTGAAGATGATACATTAGAAATAAAAAAAGGGATGTTTAGATTGCATGAAGAATGGAATGTTCACTTCGATAAATATTATTTATCAATGAAGTATATCTGCGGAATTTTTTTATATTTTCAGTTGAGTGTCAAACAGTTTATTTCAATCGACTCGAAAACATCCAAATAGAAACTCTTATCAAAGTGATTCCTTCTATTTGACATTCTTAGTTGTCTAACGTTTCTCATTCTTGTTGCGCACACGCACACATTCGAGCAAGGTTTAAGCGACGATAAAAGGCCCTACGTAATTACAAAGATACATAGCTTCCAAATATGTTTTAGAAGATTGTGAAAAGATATTATAGTTGTAAAACTGAGATAATACTTTGATTTCTGATTAAAATGTTATCGGTGTCAATTAATTTACAAAGTAAGAAAAATTACGGATTAGTAATATTAGATCATCTAAACTTGTTTCAATAGCATCAGTGAAAGTAATTGCATTTAATATTAATCTTGAACTAGTTAGCGAATGCATGTGGAGAATCGCGATAGTACCGACAAAAACAAGGAAGAGAAAAAACCATGGGATCAAACAAATATAGATAAGTGTAATGTTCAGTAGCGAATGAACTTGCAAAATGAATTTAAATATAGAATGGTAAGTATTTTAGAAAGGATGTACGTCCTAGGCGCGTAGAACAGCGTAATAGATTGCTCATCGCCGCGACAGGAAACTTCCTTGAACAACTGAAAATAAGAAAAAACGATTCGCTTATTGCCGACAACCTTGATTATCGCATTGGTAGGTCGGAACCTTTCCCTTCGTGATCCCCGGTCACAAAATCGCCGATAGCATTCGCTGGGCACTTTGGGTTGAACCCGAGACTAGAAAACAGTTCGCGCCCGCTCACGGTTTCCGATCCGGCAAGTCGGGCGTGAATATCACGAGTTCTTGTGCTCGATCGATAAATGGTATACCTTTGTCAGCAACACGCATTCCATCGAGCTTTCCATCTCTTTTTAAAAAGCCGTAAATTTTGCTTTTCACAGCTGGTCTAGCTTATGAATTTCGTATTTCACTTTTCATTTTTATCATCGCACAGAGTCCTCGAACTTATAACGTTACAGTGGCTTTCCTGTTCGAGCTATCATCGAGTCGACTGTGAGCGAGCTGTAAGCACTCTCGAGCGTCATTCCTTTATTTGTCTGAAAAGTCACGTGAAAAGCAGCGCGTCTATTTATTAATGCGATCGCGCAAGCCCCGTATCGACTTGGGCCCTCGGACAACCACGATTCTCAGTTGGTACAAGGTTCAAGGTCAGTCATCAATATCCTGCATGGCGATTGAATCATTAATCTCTCGACGCGCACGCAGACGCGCGCTTACAAATTGCAAACTCGAACGAGAGACTCTGACCTTTCGTCTACCGTGCTCGCAAGTTTTCGTGTCGTTCGTTCGTAAGTGCGCGTGGACGTCGCAAGCACAGAATTAACATGAGAAAGAAATCGAGCTACGTGCAATCTTCACAGGCAGAGCGAGAGAGAGAGTGTGTGAAATAATCGTCGCGCCGGCTTTTTTTTGTTTTCGCACGAAAGCGTGCACTGATCCGTCGACCTCTTTAATTTGTTAAACAAACAAGCAGCGAAAGTGAGCTTTAATAATAATAATGCGATCTGGCAGATATGGAGTGGTAGTAGTGGGAATATAAAGAGCGGCGGAAGGAAAGGAGAACGCTACGTTGGAGAGAGCCGCGTGCGTGCGTATATGTTTGACAAAGGAATCGCCGGCGGTGCGGCAGTCAGTCAGTCAGTCAGTCAGTCAGTCAGTCAGTTGCCGTAGTCGCACTTAGATCGGCGCTCTCTCCCTCGCAGTCGCACACCATTCTCCACTTTCATATGTGACAGCGTAGTTTTTATTTTTTGGTGAAGATATTTTACTTTCGAGTGCCTTGTACTTGGAGCATTCGTCGTTGATTTGGCCGCGGCAGTGTGCGCCCTGCTCCCTACTTTTGTTTGTGAGTGCTTCTCTTATTTTCTCACATTTAATGCACATTAAAAGTTGGGCATGACATTCAAGCTTTAGCATACTTTCTATTCCATTTAAGCTCGCCGGCAATTGAATTATTCATTGTTTAATTCCTGATTTACACCGCTAGTGTATCGAAATACATTATCTTTCTCTCTTCCTTAGCTTTTCCCCTGATTCGAAACACAGCACGATAATGAAATGAAATAACGAGTTAATAGATAGTCATTCGAAAGGATATACAGAGCATGAGATAAAACTAGTTTTATTGTAACTATTGTATTCACGACACTCGCATCGACATCTTAATCATAAAGCAAATTACATTTCTCCGAAGGTCGCGTTGACATTTTCACAGCGAACACATTTACTTTGGAAGGTGTATTCGCGAATGCAAATCAGTCACTCGTGAGCATCATCTCGTTCGCGATGTAACGAACTTTCGAGCGCCTTGTTGTCAAGTCAAACGCAGGAGGGCACTCAATTCATCAGCCGCTCTGACTTTATCTGGCAAATAATTAATTGAACTATCTATCACGCACACGCGAGGCTGCTCGCCCTCGGAGGGAGCGAGAAAATCCGCTGCGCGAAAATGTTCGTACGTGCATTGTTCTCGCGATAATCTTATCGCTGGATTTTGAACCCGCGATCGCGACGAGAGCAAAGCCAAGCAACACGAATCGCGCATCGCTAATGATCTGCTCGCAACGATGCTCTTTGTTCGCGCGCTGTTCGCCCGTCCGCTTTCTTCGCGCGTCTCGCGCTTGCGACACTTTGCGGCCCAACGCAACCGCGTTGTAAGGTTTGCGCCCTTGCGAGCGAGCGACGTTTCATTTCGGGCTGCCAACTTGAGACGATGCTTCGAACGATGATTTATGCGATTATCACTATTGCGTTGGCTTTAAATTTGGCGTTCGCTGACAATGAACAACTAGCTCTTTGCAATCTTGATGTAAGCCTTTGAGCGAGGGGAAGGAGGCAATTGTTATTGTGTGTCTCGCGCGCAATAATATCCTTGCATGCATATACTCGATTGTATTTTTCCGGCTATAGTGCGATCGATCGATAGTTTTTTTCTTACTGTAATTAGTAAAAAACTATATCTAACGGCTATATTGTGTCTCTCGGCAAGTCAATCACACACAATTGACCGAGCTCGAGCGTTTGAATTGCAAAATTCGCTAGTGGCGATACACTTTTTCAGAGAAAGTGTCGCATCGACTGATTTATACGAAGAGCAGTCCCCCGGTTTTCGTCGCGCGCAACCAATTTCAACAAGAATAACGAGGAGATTTATTCTAAAAAACAATTCGCATAATAGTTTCGCTGCATCATCGGGTATTTTTAGAAATCCACTTGGAGCACACACATATATATGAATATATAACGTTTATACGTATTCATATGTGTTGTCGATCGAAGCAAACGTTATCATTGAATACAAAAGTCCCGAAAAAAAAATATCAAGATAATTAACTCGTCGCAGCGTCGAAACAACGACAACTGCGCGCAAAGTTGTCGCGCGCGAAAATGAGAATACTAATAACCCGGCGATGCGACGGAGCAATTTCATTTTTTGATTGGCATGTGTGCAATCGTGTCAAGTCTATATCGTGGCATGCTATTGCCTCATTTTTTAAAAAAATCGTTTAGCAAGCGAAAAGAAAAAGATTGGTTCGCGAGTCGCGTGCAGCGAAGCGCTTTCGCGCGCACCTGCGCGATTCGCCGTGGAATCCATCGACGCAGCAGAGACGATCCGCGAGGGAAGCCGATGTTCCCTGCTGGCGCATAGTCGAGCGAAACAGCGAGAGAGAGGGAGATACGCCGGGGCGCCGGAATCGTGTCAGATTAAAATTATTATTGCCGCCACGCGCTCCCGCACGCGTGTGGCTTTCGCGTCCTTTCGGTATTTTTATACGCCAGATGCTCCGAGCTTCTCGGATTAGCCGCTATCTCCGCCCAGATTCGTTCGATTGTATTTGACTACGGGTACTTGACACTTCGAGATTGAAATCGTCGGTAGGAACACGTTTGTTCCATGTGCTTTTCGTTTTTCAGCGTTCAACGTCGGATATTTAATCGAGTATTGCACGCATCAATTTTGACGTAAACAATTTTTTCATAAAAAGAGAAAAACAAATGGTCAAGTTTCATCCACAAGGAAGCAAGGCGATTTATCGAGGTCAGATAACGTGATCGGTAGTATAATTGTTTCCATGTAAAATAAGGAAAGATATTATATTCATTTAGTACCCATCAAAGCGAAAAAAAAAAAAGATTAAATTTGATAATATTAGGAAATAATGAAATTCTTTCCGCGTAGACAGGCAAAATAAACGTCGATGGAGCATCCAATCCAAGATTACGACTTTCGGACACTATTCGAATAATATCAATATTCGGGAAAAAAAGACGATCGGGGTTTCGTTGCAATGTATGTGCTTGAAAACCTTTCATCTAAATCTCTCTCCCTTTGTCTTTTATTATCTCGGTATAGATAGCGATTAGATTTCCGTAATCGGCGTTGTTCATCTTCGAGATGTATAATGAACAAATAAAAGTGGGAGAGTCGGAGAGATTAATGCGTAACCGCGATGAGATAAAAATGCATTGAACTTTAACGCGCGCCTATTGCTTGATTGACATCGATGATTACTGATAAATCATTCGATTCTAATGGATTTGCTTTTGGAACTTTTATCACGTATTAATTTCGTGAGATTTCATTGTTCCAAGTATTCCTTTTTTACTTTTTCAAGTCGCACAGCATTCAGCGAGCTGTTTTGCCAAAAATCATTAATGTTTGAATAATTTAGTTTATCTTAACTGATCACATGATGTTTACACGAATACACGCGGGGACTTAAAAGTTATAACATTATAAGGACCGAAAAATGCTTTACTATTTGAATGAACGTAGTCATTAAAGTGAATTCTATTTCATCATTAAAGTAATATGATGTTCAGCCAAAATAACAGTAACATTAGGATATTGTCGTCGATATACAATCACAATCTCACTCATCAGAACTTGACCTTCGATATTACGATAGCGAATCGATAAAAAAAAATGCAATCATTCTGCCGCCTTCCAAAAATACTTCCCGGATAATTATCAGTAGCGTTATCGTGGAATGACGTCCTTTTCTGATTTCCACCAAATATCATTAAGTGACCACGTACACATCACGGAACTCAGCCGATAGCATCGTGACAATTTTTTTTGCTCACGAGATCCAAAAAGAAACTCGTAATCTTTCGTTTAACATGAAACGGCTGAATTCACATATGTGTTTTTTCTCCCTCGTTTGCCGAACGTTAATTGCTGGCGATTCGCATGATTTGTTCGTTTTTTTCGCGCGCGAGCATTGCACCCGAATTTTTTTATGCTGATCGTGCACTTTGATTTCTGGAAATAGCGATTAAGCTGTTGCCAGGTGATAATCATGTATTTAATCAGAATATTCGATATAATCATTGTTATTTAAAAAACCGTTAGGTTGACGTAACGTTTCAGTTTCGTTGTCGTTACAAACAGACCAGATTGATTTACGGCTTAATATTAGACGTATACAAAATTGGCAATGAATAAACATAATTTATAATCATTTTTTCTTCCTGTTTTTTTATGAAATAATTTTCGAAGCAAAATAGTAATGTCTCACGGCTCGTATTAATCGCAGGTTCTGTAAAAAAATGTTGTAAAAAAGATTAACTTAAAGACTTTCGCTCTCACGGTCATTTATTTACCACGTGACATCGTTAATCCCATGAAAAATTGCGTTGAATAAAAAAAATTTTCGTTTCGCCAAGCTAGTCGTCACACGTACATTCCAGTTGGTAGCAGCAGCGACGATCAAATCGAAAGTTGTAAACTTGCGTAAGCGGGACTGGACCGACCAGATCTGACGCATCGATCATCATCTGCTCCATTTCACTCTCACTCTTGCGCACACACACACACACACACACGCACACGCGCGCGCGCGCGCATACACTCACTGTAAACGAAAGAGGGCGAAATGGATATAATAATGGCATCATCTCCTTTCGTTTGCCATTCGCGTCTGCGTGGCCTGTGTGTGCACTCAATTCAAATGTTAAATTACCTACACCGTGAGATCCATATTACATATACAAGTGAGGACTTTTTTAAAGGGCTATTGACATTTATGGTCACAAAAACTGCTTCTTCATCTGTCTTTGTCTTTGACGTAGTAAACACATCATAAATTATATATCTAACGTGTGACCTTAAAATGCATATCTCGAGTGGAAGAAGAAAAAGTTGTCGCGCGCTTGCAGCGGTCGTTCGGAAATTTATTGAGAAATGATTGTAAACACTCTGATATTATTCTAATGAGGATTTGTGCTAAATTGTTGCGTCAGAGAGGATATACTTTTGGCTTGCGAAATTTATTATTGATGGCATTGAAGGCAATACAAAGATCAAAATTCATTAAGGTACTCTAATTTCGAGAGAAAATTAACAATTTACTCAATATAGGAGATTAATAAATTTCTTATTTTCAACGGATTTTTACTTTATTTTTGGCACGGAAAAATATAATGCTTTACAATATAGGGATTCACGAATGTAATGTTTTGATCAAATAACTTGCCTTTGCAATCATTCGAAAATCTTTTTTTAAATGTTCATGGTGACATGCATTCGACAGAAAAAATCGTTATATTGCATAATTCGTTTTAGAGAAGACTCAGTATGAGACATCAAGCAATTTTGAAGGAAAATTGTCACACATATGCATTAATCTCGCAACACATTGCTTGAAAGAATCATCACAAAGTTAAAAAGATTTAATCCAATCTCTTACATATTACGCAAATGAATCTTCGCAGAATAATTCTTTTTTGCATTTTTCTTCGTTATTTATAAAGCAGCGAAGCAACGATGCGCGATAAAACTTCAATTACGAACGATATCCGGAATAAAAAATTGACCAAAAACTTTCCCGTTCATTTCAATCGAATCTGATAAATAGCTGTATCGTAATAATTATTCAATGTTAAAACGTCAACGTGCACGCGAAGCATCTTTCATTCCCCTTGTAACAACAAAGCGCGGAAAATATTTCTTGGCGAATGTTTTTTTATTGCACTGGTATGTTAACGAGATTGCGACACGAGCATTTTAAATTAATTTTTCTCCGTTTAAGTATACAAAGTTTTTATACCCGGAATAAGTTATTTTTGCGGTGAATTTAATGGGCTATTTCGTGCGATATATGCAGAGGACGATAGTACGGACGCGATTTCTTTTATTCATCATTCTCGTAATGCTATTCATTCAAAATGATACGTATCTTATAGTGTACATACGCAAACGGATTATCTTGCGAGAATAAGACATTGTTTCATTGTCAGTTTATTTGGAAATCGAGTGTGCAGAAAAAAGTTCTTTGCACATTTAATTTTTACCAATAAGTGTGCACGTATCAGGCAAGACAATAAGTAGGTTGTATTGATAAAGTAACCATATCAACGCGCAGCCTGTATACAGCGATGAAAATTAGCATTAACATTACAACGGCACATAAATCGTTTTCTTATTACACCACCGCGGCACAAAGACACTCGACGCATATCAATCATACCGAATAGTCAGCGTTCGATGAGAAGCAAAAAACGTTACGAAGCTTACTTAGCTTACTTCACCGTAGAGATTTTCTTGACTCTTTCATAAGGTAAAATTCTTCTTTTGAAGGATGCATTAACTAGGCAAATAAGAGTACGAGAGGTAATGCAAATGTTGAATCGCGGTGCAACTATCAAGAACGTGACATCGATATATGTCAAACGAAAAGGACAATTTGCTACGGAATCTCTAAATTGACAAAAGTTTCGCGAAAAATTCCGAAACGACAATGACAAAGGCGAAGGAGATTCCGCGCGGAGATGTGCTGGAGTGAATGAGTCACACGCCGCAGCGGACTTTGACCGATCGCAAAGTCTTCGCTTGCCTTATCGCTTTTAAACTCCCGCGCGCGTCTCTCTCTCTCTCTCTCTCTCTTTTTATCGGCATCGCTTGCCACGCGCACGTGGGTTAAGAGATATTTGTTCGCGTGGCCCATCATCTTTGTTTCTTTAAACGGGAATTTACTTTATCACATTTTCGGCTAATTACACAATGAATAATTTGTGCGATATGATTTTCAGTGTTTATTAAAATTAGGTAGGTCATCCGGGAGACGCGCCAGTTACATTCACCGGATGTTGTAATGGAAAATTACGAAATAATAGAATTCTATCATTTTGTCGATATCCGGTTTGCGCATTAATTCGCACCTTCGGATCGTGGAATTCGATCGTGCAACCCATCGGGTTTGCAAATACGTAGGTATATACGCATAGACTTCCTACCTCTCGAACATGAATGCAGCTACGTACCTTCTATAATGGAGCCGTAAGAACCAGTTGCTCATGTAACTAGGCGCGCGTCGTAATTCGTGTTATTTACTATATACCTTGCGGTTTTGCTTTTGATGACTCGTGTACTTGCGCGTTAACATCCTAGCATTAATTAAATTCAAGATACTTACATGGTTGTTTTTTCTAAGTGCTGTGGTTAAATTAACGAAAAGAAAGTTCATTGGTTGAAATTTCGCTTTCCATGATCTACAATCCTGTGTAACGATATGTGACCAAATAAGTAAATGATTTCTACATTTCCTTAATTGTTTTATCAATTTTTTGGTGATTTTCATTTTTGCAAATAAGTAAACGAGACGAAAATTAATCGTGCCATTCGGTTGAAATCACGTGCGCCGCAGCGCACTTTCGGTTTGTTTATTGGTGAAGAGGTCACGCAATGACAGCTTCAAACGACCGAGAGATATTGCATATGACGAATTGTTTGTTGTTCCGATTAAGTCGATGCACGGGGGACCATCAATTCTTGTGGGTCTCTTGTAGCGTAATTTTTATCACATCGATGTGTTTTCTTTCAGAGGGGGGAGGGGGTGCATACGCGACGGACAACTTGGTTATCTGTATCAAAACCGTGCCTAGAATTAATGAAATCGATGCTCATTTATTAGAAATAGAATGCAAATCGCTGATTTCCCAACTGCATTCACGTGAATCTTTCCGAGAGCGATTTTTGCTCAGCCAGGTGCGTCACAATCTGACGGCCTCGTCACACTTGCGGATGACCGTCTCTTGATCGTATGGTCGAAAAAACGATCGTTCAACGTCAGCATATCATTCCCATGAGTGACAAGGAAACTACAGTGGGATTACTTTTTCGACCGTCCAGCTCTGAAAAAATTATCAATTCTGCTGTATAAAAAGTAAAATAAATTAACACAAAGCGCATTGGGGTATTTTGAGTTCCACGACAAATAATCTTTAGATAGACCGGATTCGAATGAACTACATCAAATTATAACTAAAACAGAATTGATGGTCAAGGTCGCAGAACAATAAGCGGCGCAAAAATCAAACAATAGAAAGTTCATCTCACATTAAATCGCAGACCTCTGGACTTTGGTCGATAGGGTGATTGGTTTCGATTTATTTTATCAGACACATCTGTAGTGTTTATTATATGGTTCCGTATTTTTCTCTCCCCTCTCTTTTCTCTCTACGATATACAATCCATAATCAGTGATTAGATGTTCTTTCGAGATATAACGAGTAATATGTATATATATAAAGATGCTTATGTCTTGAGATATTGTACGTGAAGTTGCTAATGAATTTAGGCGCACGTAATTATAAAATAATAAAAAATGAAGTATTATAAGATTTACAGGTGATCTATAAAATTATTAAAAAGAAAGTGAATTTAGGTAGATATTCTTATAAATTTACAACTCATTAACACGAGATAGCAGTATGTGTGAATGTAAATTAGCTATCAAACGACAATGTGAAATGACAAGCTAGTTCACGTAAGCGCGATAAAAAGAACACAACAAATCTCGTAGTGAATTTGAACGAGCGAGGGAAATCATTCGACAACAGAGCTATGAGTATGTGCATTTTTGTTTTCAATAAGTGACATGTTTCGATTTTCACTTCGAAAGTATAGTTTATGCAGAAGAAAGCTGACCTACCTGACGATTCGTTAGCCTAACATATCGACACCCCTGAACACCATTAAATTTTACACCACCAAGAGCTCATCGCCGTAAACTTTGTTCCTTTTTGGGTCATTTCAATTGTTTTCAGTCATTCATCGAGTGCAGAAAAATTAAAACTGTTCAAATATTCTGGAATATAAACGACGTTCAGTGTTGTATTTACATTTAACGTTAAAGGGATGTTTGGTTAACATTTAGTTAGATAGAATTGTGATGGATAAGCTTGTCATTGATAAATATTTATTGTTATTTTTTTTAAATTATTTATTGTAAAGTGTGCTTGCTTCAAATAAATCGACAAGATACAGGACTGGTTTTCTTTATATCCCTCACTGTTTCATTCCATCAGATAAAATTCATTAATGCTAGCTTATTATACATTGATTTGCTAATAATAAAGGTGTTGAGAATTAAAGTTTTCTAGTGTGTTTAATCAACAAACGTTCTGCTTGTATTTCTTAAAGTGTGTATTGAACGAGTTTTTGCACTCGTCGTACATTGCTCTGTTCCATTTTTTTCTTTGTAAAATTCGATGCAATATCCTGCGGTCACACTACTTTCTTCGCATTCGGGTACAACGTGCACAGCAAACACAACATCAATTATAAGCAGTAAAAATTACATGGCATTACTTTCGCTACCAACTTTCTTCAAAATGTAATGTAAACGTGTTTCATAAGGCAAAACTTAAAAATGTCAATTATCTGTTACAGACATAAGGTCACGTGGCAGAAAGATCCCGAAAATGGAAGTAATCATGCACGAGGCAAGCGAATCGGCAATCAGCAACAGTCAGTTGGAGACAAATGGTAATGCACCGTCAAATTATCAGCAGCAAGTAGCACCATGTTGCGTTCACAAGACGCTACAACCAGCAGCAGTACCGGTGGCTTGGACTGCTAGTCAACAAGAGATTATCCAGGGTAATAACGGCACGCCGTTCTCCAAAACTAAGAACGACGAGAGTCTTGATATCATGTTCCAAAATATCATCTATACGGTCAATCTAGGATGGAGACAAGGTGAGTTTCTAAAACTATTATCATGATTATGCTTTTTTCTCATTTTTTACATTGCAATGAAGGAACTCGGTATGAAGTTTGAAATACAGAGTAACGTTTAATATTCTAAAGTGTTCAATGATTTTATATTATTCAGAAATTGTTAATAACTCTTCCCTTGATCTAATTACAGCACGCATTTAAAGTAAGGATTTTGACCTAAATGTTATAGTTAAATAGCTGACGTCGATCGACACGAACGATTCGATAAACAAATGACTCGGCCTATTTTGAGACCTTACTCTATGAAAAATTAGTACAATTTTTTTATGCCACTCACTCGTGGACAATCTTGTTTTCATTGAGACTCTCGGACATCATTCCACAATGCCGAGAAAAATTCTGAATGTCTTTTCTTGCGTGAAACATACATCGATAATGAACGATTATTATCTTAAGTAGCAATTTTCGCGAACGAATTCAGTGCAAGTTGTGCCATTGGCATGTAAGACTCGGGCTGTATAGTTTCTTCAAATTACAGTATCATTTAAGATTCCTTTCAAAATGGAAACCTGTTTTCCTACTTATTCACATCTCAAAATTAACACGTCGATTGTAATACGCAAGTGCAGCTTTTCGAATCCTGTTTGTGAATGTCAATATCCTTGAATTAAAAGCATAAGAACTTAGGTGAATTAATAAAAATGGATTTTGCTAACAGGTAAAAAGGAGATTCTACACAGCCTAAACGGTCGTCTACCCTCGAAGCAATTAATCGCATTAATGGGTCCATCGGGCGCCGGTAAATCAACTCTTCTCGACGTTCTTTCTGGTTTCCGTATAACTGGTGTGCAAGGTTCAGTCTACGTTAACGGACGTGTTCGCGATCTCGATGCTTTCCGAAGGTGAGTCATCGGTCTTCCTGAAATAATAAATTTGGTCTCTTTCTTTCATCGATGCTTCTTTGGATTGACAATCAAAGAATGTTTGTTGTTAACAAATTTCGCGGTTACGTATTCACGATTGTTTTTTTGTTGCTATCTAGAGAATGTATTTGTTGTTGAAAGCGCTTCAAGATATGCTCGCTTTGTTCTTATTGCTTACACTGTGTTATTGCTATTTAAATGTAATGTCTATCTTTAACGCTACATTTGCGATTTTGATGTATTGAACTTTTCGATAACAACACTGCATGCTATAATAACCAATAAAATCGCCGCAGTCGTTGTGAATTTAACGTGCAAATTCAAACGGAAAATATCTAAATGTCATTACCAGATTGCGTCATAGACGCACTCGACAAATAAAGTAAAGTTGATTTTCAAATATGATGAATCTGAAACAAAGGAACGAGGAAAAAAAAAGTCTTGATTGATCGATTACGCATATTTAGGTCCAGCGCTTACATCACCCAGGATGACCGTTTGCAGCCTCTGCTCACAGTATTGGAGAATATGCACGTTGCCGCTGACCTCAAACTTGGCACCGACACATCTAGAAGCGAAAAGGAAACTATCGTGAGTATTTTTCCCCCTTTCATTCCCATTACTTTTTTTTATATCGATTGCGAAAATTCTGACCAATGTTAGCGGTATTTTTATTCCTTTCGAATAAAAATGATCATATTAACGGCGTCAGCGAATATTTATCGGAAGAAATGGTGAATAACAAGTTGTTTTTACTTACCACGGAGTCGAATGAAAAAGCAATCGCGATATTACTTTAACAGAACTTGTTAGTAGTTATAGTAATTGTATGTAAAGATGATGGTTCGAACGTGCGTGCTTAAATAGCTACCCGGAGAACGCACGTTTGAAATAAGGAAGCTCAGTCGTGACGTTTTCCCACATAGCAAATACCGCATACAAAATAATTGAAAGAAAGTTACAAGAGTGCGTTCACACTTGTTTATCGCGAATATTGGGAAATTTCCCTCGTGAGTAAAAGTCAACTTGATTCTCTCGTCGCGAACTATCCCGCGTCGCTTGCATCCTAATGAGTATTAAAACGCACGTGATTGCCGTGTGCTTGCACAGATCGAGGAAATCCTGACGACCCTTGGACTTTACGAGCACATGCGCACGCCTTCGAGTCGGCTCAGCGGTGGACAGAAAAAACGTTTGTCGATCGCTCTTGAGCTTGTCAACAATCCGACGGTGTTGTTCCTTGACGAACCTACCACGTAAGTTGATTCGCAATCAACGACCTTGCGCAACATGAAAATCACTGATTTTCTTGCCAATTCATCTACTTGTGCAAGGTGTTGAAGTCGTAAAGTGTCCTCCATGTAAATGGAGCTAACGATCAAATAGTGATTGATCTTGTGTCATTATATTACTGCTTACTGATAGATGTTTTTCGCGCCTAATGAGTACTTTCAATTATCTGAAATTGATCGTTTATCCACTTTTTTTCTCTAATTCCATCCCAAAATTACAGTTATTCTAAAGATTTAATTCATAATTTTATAGAGGTTTGGACAGTTCATCATGCTCCCAAGTGGTCAACTTACTGAAAGTTCTAGCACGACAAGGCAGAACGATAATCTGCACAATTCACCAACCAAGTGCCTCACTATTCCAAATGTTCGATCAGGCAAGTAGACGTATTATCGTTTTCTCATTGTCGTCTTTTAGTCGTAAACATGACGATGAACTTGCAGTACGATAAGATGGCACAGTTTAACGAAATTCGGTCATGCGCAGTTATCTCTCTCTCTCTCTCTCTTTCCTAGCGCATTACACGAATAACGTATGACACGTATTTTTTTCAATTAGGTATACGTTTTGGCGAAAGGTCAGTGCTTGTATCAAGGAGCAACGAATAATCTTGTACCGTATTTGGAGAGCGTGAAGCTTCCCTGCCCAATGTATCACAATCCTGCTGATTACGGTGAGATTCGTTATTACTCATTTTACTTTGTTCAATAATCAAATTTCAATTTCACTTAACTTTTGTTTTTTATAGTGATCGAATTGGCATGCGGCGAATACGGAGAAGACAAAATCGATGCTCTGGTTCAAGGAACGGAAAACGGCAAGAGTCTCAAGTGGTTCGACAATCCTGATGTTTTACTTGACCCCAGATCGCTAAGAGGTATTTTGATTCCTGCCTGCAGTAAAGTTCGAAATATAAGCATAAGATTTACGCTAACGTTGCAGCACTGAATCCGGTAAAAACCAGTAAAAAGGACGAACAAGGACCACAAGCTACATCGCAATTTCATCAGCTGGCTGTTTTGCTCAAACGAGGATGTATCAAAGTCAAAAGAGATTCGGTAAGTGTCAACATATATCTATAAAAAGTCGAGTTCAAGTAATTTTAACCGTATATCGTTGTTTTCTCGTCAGACTTTGACGCACTTGAGAATAATGGTGAACATATGCACGGGATTAATGCTGGGCTCGCTGTTTATCGAAGCGGGAAATGACGCTGATAGGATAATAGAGAACTATAATTTACTGTTTGGCTGCCTTATACATCACATGATGACCACTATGATGCTGACTGTTTTGTGCTGTAAGTGATCGTTTCAATATTTACTCGATGATATACGTTTGCTTTCTTAGTCTATCGATGACCGAAGGAAAACTTTGGGTAGTCTTAAAAAATGAAATTGTTGTGTTGCATTGCAGTCCCAGCTGAGATGAATATCCTGCAAAAAGAACACTTCAACCGGTGGTATAGCTTGAAAGCTTATTATACGTCTGTGACAATAGTCGACTTTCCTGTATCGGTACTATGCTGCTTCCTATTTTCATTGATTGTGTACTTCATGTCGGATCAACCGGCCGAATGGGTTCGTTTCGGCATGTTCTTCGCTATCAGTCTTCTGGTCGCGATGGTCGCTCAGAGCTTCGGCTTGATGATCGGAGCTTGGTTCGACGTTGTGGTAAGTAGGGAAAAAAAAACGTTTGCTTTTTGATTCTGTTTTAGGTGATAATAATGCAATGTTTCGCGCTCATTTCAGAATGGAACATTCTTAGCACCAACATTGTCAGTGCCAATGATGATGTTCGCCGGATTTGGAGTATCTCTACGTGATCTTCCAAGCTACTTGTATTGGGGTACTTACATCAGTTATTTGCGGTATGGACTTGAAGGGTAAGTAAAATATTAACCCATTCAATCATTCTATGTCGCCATAGAAATTGAAGTACAAAGATTAATGCTCTGTCAATAATTTCAGATACGTTAACGCGATTTATGGCTTGAACAGAGGTCCTCTAGAATGCCACAACGACGACCTAGATTTCTGTTACTACAAAGATCCACGCAAATTTCTCAAGGATGTAGTAGCCATGCGAGATGACCAGTTCTGGATAGACTTTGGTGCTCTCAGCTCTATCGTTATTGCGATGAGACTCGCTGCTTATTATCTTTTACGATGGAAACTCATGGCGTCACGGTAGTCACTTGAATTCTCTAATGGAGAGGATTTCAGAAAAACAGTGACTATAGCGCGTGGCAGCGCTTGCAACGACAATGCACATACCATTAGATAACGCTGAGTATGGAAAATTTTGAAAATCCGTGATACGGATTGGTGAAGCTTTTATTACGCGAGATATATCGCACAATGCCCAATCGTAACAAATCGCGTATGTATACAGTTGGGTCAATAAAAAAAATTATTTTATCTTATTATAATACTAGTCAATAAGGATTGTTAATCTAGCAGTGTTTTCTGTTGAAAGGAAATGTCTACTATAACGTGATCAAACTGTTTCGAAGACTGTAAAGAGGAGGGGGGGATTTTTTGGAGGGATGCTCTTTCAAAATTTTCTATAACTCAGTTTGTCACACTCCTGTATATGTTAAGTTTTTTTATTTTAGTTTGCTTTAAGATTAATTTTTTTCATTACGATTGTAAACATGATTTTCTGAGTGAAGAGTTCTATTTTAACGATAGATGACACTGCATTGCCTTTCGTTTTTTATTGTAGGCGGTAAGACGTTAATGATGACGAGAAGGAGGAAGAGCAAGCAAACGGCAATCGTTGATTGCTCGTTTGTCATCATTATTATTTTTTTATTATATCTTCATCATGACTGATCGCAACTTTTCTTACGAAGCTATTAAGCGATTTATTATTATTACTTTTTTTATTTATTATCTTTACGCTGATATTGAGCTTCGATTCAGTGGTCTCGTTTATAAATATAAACGCACACGCGTCGATATTGTGCTTATTCAAGGCAAGATAAGAAAAAGATGTGTAAAAATAAAGTGTACGATAGTAAAGTTATATTGTTAATATAGAACTTGTTTATTTCATTCTTTACAAAACCTATTTTCGTAAAATTTCCATACATAACTTTATAAAAGTACAAAAAATAACAACGTATTTTTGTGCTCAATTGGACCTCATTGTATAAAAAAATATAAAAAGGTAATATTTTCATGTAAATATATCACTTGTAGTTTGTAATTTTTATGAATGTCCTATTTTCTAATAAACAATAAATTTAGTCTAGAAAAATTACAATGCTAACTAATATTGTTAAATAATCAATCCCTTCAACTAATTTTTCCAATATACATGTATGCACATACACATGCACACACACACACACACACACACCTCAAACTTTATTATGGCTACGAATGTCCTTATTCATCGTGTTCAATTGATAAAATATGCATTCAATATACAAATCTCGCATTATAATGGCATAAAAGTTAAATAAAATATTGAAAAATATATATTAACAATAATCTGAAAGGCCCCTCTGCAGCAAAAATTTTAATTGCTGTATCTACGTGTCATATGTAAATAAAAACCACCTTTATTTTCATCTGTTTACAATTACTCGCAAAGTTATGCTTCTATAAATTCATAACAAAACGAAACCATCTCTCTATGACTAGCCGTTTAAATGAGCCCACCCACATCGAAATTGATTGCACAGTTCCACGGATATGCGCACAAAAAAATATATCGAATATAGAATCTCTTCATTTTCTGAAGTGGAAGAATAATTTTATATCTGCTGTCATAGCTGTACTATTATGCATTCGGTAAGACACCAAGAAGATTAATAGTATTTGTACTAAAGATAATATAACAGTACTCTTAAAAAAGGTTTTGCTTTAATGCGGAATGTTAACAAGTATATTTAAAAAATGGCAAGTACTTGATTTTGATCACATTCGGAAAATTCAGATTCAACAAATTAGATAGTAGATTATCGGTCAGCTTTCAATTCTCTCGACTAGTATTTCAATGGAATGAAAATTTGATTTGTTTCATTGTACTACTAATTTCTTCAAGAGTATATCCGTTCGTGATTATTAATTGTAGGCGATGAAAACGCAATTTCCTTATCTTTCTGCGAGGTATAATTTGTAGCGCAGTGTACCGTAAGTAATTGCATGTAAAATTGCAATCCACGTGGCAAGTGCAATTGCAGCTGTAGAAAATGCGACTGAAGGCATATCAAGTTCACCCAAAATTCGATCGCAATCGCGAAGGTAGCAGAAGTCTGCGCTGCAAGGGAATTTGGGTCGACCGATGTATATAGCTTGCAGAATACCCTCAAAGGCGTACCTGAAATGTAAAATGATGCTTCGAAGAATATTGCCAAATAATCGAAAACTGATATTTTTAAATAGATTCGCACCGGAAATAACTGATACCACTGAAGAATCGTAAAAAATACGGAATTTCTTCAAGTTTGATGAAAAAGCCTGCGAAGAGGAGCATAGGAATGTTAAATGCTGGTACCAGGAATGTTCCGGTCTGAGGAGAAGATAAAATATATTAATTAAGTAGCTAATAACTGCTGGTATAGATGCAACAACAAAATAATTACGTGGGTATCGAACGACGCACCAGTGGTGATACCAAACGACTGTGCAAGTATCGTAAACAGTGTGCAAATAATCCAAACTTGAAAGAATCTAGCCACTTCGATTGGTTGACCCGTCAAGTAGTAGCCTATCGCGAGAAAACCAGTCGGGCAGATTATCTGAAAAAAAGAATATGATTAAAATGAATGATGGATTGACAGTTCTTTTAGATTTTAACAGAATTTTGAGAAACCTACCTGCAGTGGTAGATCAGACAGCACTTTCGTAATATAATACGACTCGAGTGAATACCAATTGTTTTTGTTCTCTTGCAGGAAAACTGTAGCTTCAACTGGAACTGTATATAAAGCAAATAATTGACGATTGATTCTAAAAATGTTGTTAGATTTTTTTTAGTTTTCATAAAATAATGTGAAAGTTGATCAAATTAATTTAGTTCGCATTATACAGTGATGTAAATCAATAATTAAATGAGTTTTTCATTTTGCTGTAATTTTCATCCTAAGAATTAAGCTTTAAAGATATACTTTTGATTGATGAAATTTCCTCAACAAAAAGTTATATATTCTACATTTTCTAGTTAAAAAAGGTATGCTAACGCTGATCTAATATTGTTATCCGGTATTATTGAGTATTCAAGAACCGCAATAAAAATGTACATTACACATCTGGACAGCGGGCATAGAATTTGCGAAGAACAAAAAAACAGCAAAAAAAAAGCAGCATGCAATGTTGCTTTGCACTGTTTTGGCGTCTTTGCCGAAATCATAAAATACTATCCCAAGAAGAACAGCAACGACCAAGTGTGCAGCAAGCCTCAAGTAAGTCAACGTCTAGAATTGAAAACGAAAGAAACGCGATAAATGTAACTGTTTAAATTGATAAATTGATGGATCTATAAAAAATAACTAACGGCGTCACGAAAGATACAGATAAAAGCTCTGTAAAGTAAAATCCTCATCTGTTCAAACTGCGATATGGCATATCGTTTTGTAAAGCTTTGTGTAAAACTTGTGCTATCCGTACTTGGCACTGAACAATATTTTAAATCATCGATACTTTTATTCTCCACAGAATCTTTGTTACATAATTGTTCATAATTTCCACCTCGTTGACCTGTCACAACTTCGAGTACTGAAATGTCAAAAAGAGTTCATATTTTACATAAATAATGACGAATTAAAATAATGTATCAAGTAAATTAATAAATGGTTAATTGAATATGAGTTTGTTACTTCAAACGAGCAAAATGAACATCGAACGCTACTATTTTCATTCCCGGTTATCTGAAAGTCGAGCATATTTTTATATACTGAATAATTCTCATATGTAGGTATTTATTAATTAATTTCTTGTATTGGTTTGATGAATAATGATAATTTTTTTTAATTATAACGAGTCAATTTTTTTCAGCAGGCACAATGCAAACAATAGTTCAAATTATTACAAATTGGCTTGGTCTCGTAAAGATGCTCTTTACTTTTCGTATACTTTTGTTATCTCAATAATCTCGCTGTGAATATTATTTAACTCTGTCATCAAAATATTGCCAACAACAAGAACTTTTCGGAAACCGGTTGTCTAAAAATAAAAGTCTCTTACCAAATTCTGCAAGATTGTAGAACGGCGGACACGCATAACCGGCGTCTTTGAAAAATTCGAGAATACGCTCGCGTGGACCACAGTATCGGCATTTGCCTTGACTCATTATCAGCATGTCGTCGAAATGAAAAGTCATTTGACTACTCGGTTGATGTACCGCGCATACGACTGTGCAGCCGGATTGTGCCATTGAATATAAAAGGTTGATTACCTGTACAATAATTGTAAATTTCAAAGCAAAGGAAAATCATTTATGGTTTATTTTGCAGTTAAACCTAAATACATCTCATTTAAAAATAATTAAATATAAAAATTATTCATAACAATTTAGTAATTTTACGTATCTTAATGCTCAAATCTTTCGCGTTAAATTTTAACCGAAGATTTTTGAATTGATTAATATCATCTTGATTAATAGTGAATCAGCACATTGTAGAGAAGATATTTTACGATCATATACCGTGAGAACACGTGATCATAAGGTGTTTTATATTTTTTGTGACGACTGATTTTTACAACTTTTTACATGTCTAATGAAACTTGTCCTTTGAAATGAAAATAGCGAATAAGTCATAAAAAAAACTTCTTTTTACCCATATTATAAAAAAAATACAACCTATTGCTATGCTAATGATGTACAATTTCAAATTATGTTCGAGCATCGCGAGTACAATTCATTAAATCGACCGTGTTTAATCCAAATTAAATGCTTTTCCAATTAGTAAAGTACGATAATATTCAACGATAACCACGTCGCAATTATCTTTGTATAAAAAGTATATCCTCCAAAGTATTCAAACTAACAAGCGAAAAACACAATGAAGCGTACGAGAAAAACAGCATTTCAATTGCAAATGAAAGAAAAAACCTGTTGTGCGTTTGCTCTCTGGACTCTTGTGACTTTTATATATACCTGATTGGACGAAGTGCTGTCAAGGCCACTAGTTGGTTCGTCGAGAAGCATCACCGAGGGGCTTGTGATCATCTCCACGGCAATCGATAGTCGCTTCTTCTCACCGCCGCTGAGGCGGCTCGTTAAAGTGTCCATACAGTCGAGTATACCCAACCGCTTGGCAACGTCTTGGACCTTTGAAAAAAAAAAATGTCACTTGTACATGCACAAGTGTAAATCAGAATTTTACGAGGATGTGCGGGCGATCGTAAATTAAATACGAAGATGCGAGGATGTGATGAGCAAGAAAAAGGAAGACGAAGAAACTGCCTTGTGCATTAAGTCTAATAGCAACTTCGGTAGGCAATCTCGCTGAATGAATAATTGATTGGCCATTTCAGATGAAAATCCAAATATCAAATTAGACGTTAATTTTTCATAAATTTCGGTTAAACTGGTTTTGTTAACGAAATGAAAAAAATGTTAACGATTTGCAATTTTCTTTTAGAAACAATGATTTTACGTTATATTCGAGAAATTTTCATTGAAATGTTTTCAGATGTTAATTGCCAAAGGTAATATTCATTGAACTTATGAAAAAATCAATGATAAATGTGTCTTGCTATTAGCTGTAACAAGTAGGACAACAAATTAAAATAAATGTCTACTGCGCATATATGAACCATATCGGGAGTGTAAAATAAACGCACAGCGAACGTAGCTGCAAAAGGTCAAGATCGCCATTGCCATGTACAGCCTACTGGCAGTCTACACGGCAACTTTAATTTATGCCGTTAACGAGTACGTTCATACGTGTATGCAAAGATTCAGTGTGCTAATCGTCATTCTTATAACGATTGTTCAACAGCACATTACGTCAACAGCATATTGCGAGCGAATCGTCTCTCGAGGACAATTTATTGTCGAATACAATAACTCGGCGGGACTCCAGAGAATATCAAAACGAGCGCTCAACGTGGAATTATTCGAGCCGACACGGCAGCTTCCAAAATCAAATTGGCATTTTAGCGGGCTCAACAAAAAACCGATACGTACAATGCATTCTCTAGCCTTGGCATTGTGAGTGTTGCCAGGCAACTTCAGTCTGGCCGCGATGCAGATGGTTTCCTTGACGGTGAGTAATGGCATGAGAGCAAACTCCTGTGGAATGTAGCAAGCCCGGAATCTTCGAAAAAGGTCCGGATGCTCCGAGCAACTCGCACCGTTCCATCGGAGACTACCTTTCAGCGAGCTTTTTCCTTGGCGTATGCCGCGACGTGCGAGAAGATTCAGTAATGTGGTTTTACCGGCGCCCGATGGCCCGAGGATTGCTGCGAGGTGTCCGGAGCGAAATTCGCCGCTCACGTCTTTCAAGATTTCTTTCCATTTTCCTGTGCGGTTTCGTCGAATTTCACATACATCGAATAAATTGTTATAGAGATTGCGCTACAACGACTAATTGAATTTCCCGATAACAAATTATGCGACATCATAATTTCAATTGATAATCATTGATAAACCTTTAGAAATTTAAATATGTCAAGACTAGTTACCGATGAAACATTCTTCATATTTTTAGTTGATTTTACATATAATTATAAAGAAATTGAGTAATTTATCAAACATAATTTGCATGCAAGTACATGTATACTGGTCGTAAGCAAAATTCTTGCTTTATTCATCGTCGTTTCATTTCACATCTTTTAGCTCTACAATTACAAGCAATTTTCCTATACGATGTACTGATAAATTGACGCACTTTCAAGATGGGAGCTCGTATCCGCTAATTTCCTTTCAACTAGTTTGCTTTTTCTTGTGATCTAATCTCAATAAAATAACAATCTTTCATACCCACCTTTACGATCCGGCACTGAATAGCACAAATCCGTGAATTTCACATCAACCTGATACGGAGGCGGTCTCGGTTCATTTGCCACGACAATAACATCTTTTTTAGGTTGCAGCGGAATCCTCACTGAACAATCTTCAAGATCCTTCGCCATTGTTCTATATACGAGACAAACATTCCTTTCAGTTATACTTGTACGTTTTATCGTAGTTTTATCTATTTAATCTTCTAGTTGCGCACAACGTGAACTAATCATGTTTACGCCAGGAAATAACTTATAACGTCGCTGTGTGATCCGAATATTTTCGATGAATATTTATGTGTCCGCTAAAATCTCATCGCGTGAGCAAGGTACATTGTTTTTATCTGTAGGGGTGCGTTTTCTGTGGCATAAAATGCGAACAAAAAATAATATTAAAAAAAGTATTGTTCCAAACGTACAGATATTTTTGAACCGCAGTTTTTAAGTGTTATTTTTTCAATTCGAAAGTGCATTGACCGATGTTAGTGAATAACTTTTCAAGTATTCAAACTGATAAATTGAATTAATATATTCTGTTGGTAATCAAATCAAAGTAGAACATGGATAGACGAGCTACAAAAGAGAAAGTCGTGTCATACTCTGCAATTAGTTGCTATCGGCGAAAACTCGGCAGACACGTGTGACACACAATGAAACACAATAATAATTTCGATTTGAATGGCAGTATTGCGCCACAAAACGTACAATTATGTAGCCGAATGCACATGTGACGACGCTGACCGAATTCGTGTTATTTTTGCTGTCCTATAACAACGTATCGCCGGCAGGCGTGTTGACCGACAAAAGTGGGCGGCGAGAGAGTGGATAACCGCGTTTGAAAGGCGCAATTGCTGAGTGGACGCGCTAGAGATAAGAACTGTACGGGTGATACTTGTTAATCGAAGAAGAGAGAAACATTGAACTCAAAATCGCGTTGAAGTTTTGCCGAAATTAAGGAAGCTCGTATTGCTCAGTTTCGGTTTGTTGTACTTTCATGCCGGTAAACGAATTCTTGCAGATTTTGCAAGACTTGAATTATACGGTAATACTAGTTAACAAGTGTGTCAGCGCGAACAAAACGAAATCGAGACAAAGATGGCATATATTTTCGAATAATTACAATATATGTAATAGTTGCAAGTCCTTGGGATATAAATATACGCTCTTGCCTCCGTGCATTCGAATGATGCGATGTGAAATACCAACGATCTCCCGTCCGCAGCATTTACTCACTTTAACAAATAATCTTTCTACGCATTTAAAGTCATATCACTCTGCACTGAGAAAACTTACTCTATCAAGTGCAATTGTATCACAGAATTGGTGAAATGGTCGTCAAATTGCTTAAACTAAAACGCAAGTACGAAGAAGCTAAACGGGAAGGGATGCCGTGAGAGATCGCATGCACGTGTTACGCGCCTTACGACTGAAAGCCAACTGCATAAACGAGTGTTGTTGCCTTTATAACACTCCGCTTACTTTCCAATCGATGGCTGCTGCCGCCGCGCGAAAAACTGCTATCGCGAGAGAAGTTGACGTCCGATCGGAGGATGAAATGTAAAATTTTATTTTATTGACTTTTATTTTTTAAGGAGGGAAACGAGATCTGTTTTGTTGTTCTAGTACGTTAAAAGTTGTTACATGGCCTTTTTGGCTATGTACTTATGATATATGTTTGCTATGTACGATGATATTGTAACATTTTGATTGAATTTATCGTAGTTAAAAATTGAAATGTATCTTTATCGATAAAATAATGATATTTGCGCGTTTCAATTTTTAATTAAAAATACAATAAAATAAAAATAAACAATAATTTTTTCTTCGCGATGATTTGAAAGCTATTTTTGCAAATATAGGTAGAATATTCATTGAATATTCAAAACGTGATTGCAAATTGATGACATTTACTATTGAACGTACAAAAACTCGACGTATAAAAAGTAGTCATTGCAACTTATGTATTCGTCTAAAAATAAAACTTTATCTTAAAAGTTTTCAAGATTTACACTACTGACATAAGCTCCAAAGTTATCATAACTATACACGATGGGTACATATTCTGTCATTATTTTTTAATATAACAAGTTAAAGAGATAAAATGCAACCAAATATCTGTTTATCAATTGGAAGATAAAAATCATATATTTGAACTTCACATGATAATTCAGTTTCCACTTCATTTATAAATTTCTAATTACCACATGGTTGATAATCCAAGCAGTCCTTGACACGAGATAATTAGAGAATAATAAAAATCAACGTAAAGTAATGTTTACATTTTATATTATTTTTTTCCTCGCGTACTGAATTATTTTACATTTCTTGTTGAATATTTTGTAATGAAAGGTGAAAAATTCTTATTTCTATATATTACTGACAGTTCAAGTTATTTCATTAAAATAATAACAGCTTTAATAAAAATATTATTCAACATCATACAATTAAATTGTAGACGAATTTCTTTTTTTTATAAGTCAGTGTAGTTTTCTTTATATTTTTAATTTTATATAAAATCATAATTTTTATATAGCTAAAAATCAATATTTCTTTCTAGCTGATAATTCGTAGCACTAAAATGGTTTTTCGAGAAGTCTAAGTGATATATGATTAAGTGCAGTGAAAATGCTGTATGAAACTCGCGCCAAAACGTCATCACGCTTTCCGATGTTTTTTTACCTTTCGTCGAACGGTCGAACGTCGTTTTTCTCCAAAAAACTTTCTGTTCCATGCTCGATCCTTTTCCGCAGATTCCATAGAAGTAAGATAGCGAGAGTGAGACTGAGAAATTACCTCTATCTACACGCGCTGCCTAAACCGTGACTTAAAACAAAATTCACAAAACCTCGTGCTGTGCGCGTATCAACTAATAAAATAATTCATTTTTAATTAATCAAAAGTGGTAACTTATAGTAATACTATACTTTGGACTCGTTGAGAATTCAAGTTGTAGAGAAGGAAATTGGAATAAACGAACGAAAAAATGACGGGCATAGACGGAAGACGCGGCACTCATCAGGCTTACAAGGATAAAAGCAAACCTACAGATATTCGTTTCAGCAATATTAATGCTGCAAAAGGTTTGTTAATTAATAAATTCATTTGTTGAATAAAATTTAAGCGGTACATTGAGTATTTCATCTCCTGTTCTTCATGAAATTTGGAGCGGGGGAGTGTCATTTCACGACCATTTATATGGAAGCCAATGGTGAACCTTTTATGGTCATCAAACTTACCGGTTTTCATGAAAAAACATTCAATGATGAAAAGTATTTTGTTAATATTTTAAGAGCTGTTCTGATTCTCAAAACTGTATTAATTGTAAAGATTTCAATCCAGAGAGAGAAAAATTCGATCCTGTTATAACTGTTTATGATTGATATAGGTTATTTCACGACACCAATCTATGCATGTGTAATCTTCATTATAATTTTTACATTTACAAGATTAAAAGATATTTTTGAATGTTGAAATTCATCAAATAAGTTTGACTATAAAATTATACAGAACTAGTCAAAATTCAAGTTATTTACTACATTAAAAAATTAATTAATTTAAATAAACAATATTCTAACTTTACAGCTGTTAGCTATGCAATTAGAACAAGTTTGGGACCCAGGGGTATGGATAAAATGGTAAATATTTATTAATAAATATTGAACCATAATTATCATTCATTTAAAGCTTTTGAACTTATCAATTTTACAATTCAGATTCAAGCTAGCAATGGTGAAGTAACTATCACTAATGATGGAGCAACCATTCTGAAGGAAATGAATGTTGTGCATCCTGCAGCAAAGATGGTAAGAACAAAAACATAAAAATTTTTACATTTTATTATAATTACTTCAAAATGATAACTTTTAAATTGTATTGCTCAGTTGGTGGAATTGTCAAGAGCGCAAGATATTGAAGCAGGAGATGGTACAACCAGTGTTGTTGTAATTGCTGGTGCTCTCTTGGAGGCAGCAGAACGTCTGCTCCAAAAAGATATTCATCCTACTTTGATCAGTGATGCTTTTGCAAAAGCAGCTCAAAAGGCTGTTGAAATTTTAAGTTCCATGGCAAAATCAATTGATATGGTGAAAAAATCCATACTAGTCATGACTGCTGCTACTTCTTTAAACTCTAAGGTATTAATTGCCTTGTCTTTCTTCACTTCATTTAATTACCTGATTTAATTTTTTATTTGTTATTGTATAGGTGGTATCGCAACACTCAAGCCTCTTGGCTCCTATTGCAGTTGATGCTGTTCTGAAAGTGACAGAGCCAGGCAAAGAACAGGCTGTAGACTTAAAGGTTTGTTATTACAGCACTTTCACAATTCAAATTAATTTGTAACACATTTTTGTACAAATATTTGACTTATTTGTAGGACATCAAAGTTATCAAGAAGTTAGGAGGCACTGTTGAAGATACAGAATTGATTGATGGTTTAGTGTTCACTCAAAAATCATGCAATAGCAATGGACCTAAGCGTATTGAGAAAGCCAAGATTGGTCTTATTCAGTTCTGCATTTCTCCTCCTAAGACTGACGTGAGTACCTATTGATTATGCACTATTCTCACAATATTTTAAATATGAATGAACTTGCAACCAAAAGTTGAACTTTTAATAACAGATGGACCATAATGTTGTTGTTTCGGACTACTCTGCAATGGATCGAGTACTTAAAGAAGAAAGAGCCTACATTCTCAACATTGTCAAGCAAATTAAAAAGAGTGGGTGCAACGTCTTGCTTGTACAGAAGTCCATTCTTAGAGATGCTATCAGTGATCTGGCTATCCACTTCTTAGACAAAATCAAGTGCATGGTTGTTAAGGATATTGAAAGAGAAGATATTCCTTTCATATGCAAGACTCTGGGCTGCAGACCAATTGCTTCGCTGGATCACTTCACTGCTGAAAACTTGATAAATGCCGAACTTTGCGAGGAAGTGCAAACTGGTAACTCTAAGTTTGTTAAGGTAAATAATGTGACGAGTTTATTTTGTTTAAGAAAATCCAACGGGTAAGCGAAAAATGTTTTCATTTATATTTTACAGATCACAGGGATTCAAAATCCAGGAAAAACTGTAACGATCATCGTACGAGGCAGTAACAAACTCGTTCTCGAAGAAGCCGAACGATCTCTTCATGATGCACTATGCGTAATTCGTTGTCTAGTTAAACAGAACGCGATTCTTGCTGGAGGTGGTGCTCCTGAAATTCAAATTTCTTTACAACTTGGAGCCTATTCCAGAGCTTTAACTGGCGTCGATTCTTATTGCGTTAGAGCTTATGCGAACGCTCTCGAGGTAAGCAGCCTAATTTATATTTTCTAAATCAAAGCACAAGATCATAAGATTTTATAAATGCATTTTTAAGGTTATTCCATCGACTTTGGCTGAAAACGCAGGTTTGAATCCAATTGCTACGGTAACAGAGTTGCGAAAGCGTCACGCAGCCAACGAGACAAGTATGGGAATAAATGTACGCAAGGGTACAATCACGCGAATGTTCGAGGAGGACGTAGTACAGCCACTGCTCGTGTCGACTAGTGCGATAACCCTTGCAACTGAGACCGTACGCAGTATCCTCAAGATCGATGACATTGTCAATACCTTAAACTAAGCTTTTTCTGCACCGAGGAAGTAATTTTCTACTCTTTCAACGGAAATTACCATTTTTGTAATGAACTACAACGCCTTACGCTGTTCAAGTGAATTGCTTTTTTTTAAACATTATGCATTTTTTTAATGTAATTTCTAATTAAGGTTTTTTCGGGGAGTGTACATGCATGTATGCATGTACACGCACATACATATACACAGACATGTTCACAAATGCGCTCATAATTTTTTAAACACAAAGTAACAAAGATGTCGGGTTCAAGGAACACCCATCGTTGAATTTTTGTATTCAGCCTAAAGATAGCGAGATTAATAAATTAAAGTAATAGATTTACTTATACTACAAAAATAGTCTTTGAATCGTGATTTTTTCATTAAAGAAAACGTTTTCTGTCAACTATCACCAATTTTCACAAATTTATACGATCATATTATACAATGCATTTCAATGAAAAATAATTATTAAAAATAGTTTCTAATTTCATGACACATACAATAATAATATAAATATTGTGAAATATCATCATGAAAATATCTTCAACTTTTTATTGTATGTTATAAATAAAACAGGTACTCGGTATTTGTTGCATCTGTTATTTGAAGAAAAATGGTCGTCAATGTTTTTAATAAAATAATCGTAAATAACATATTTATCAAAGCGCATTGGTTATTTTTTTTAATAATATTATAATAGAATACTTTGTTAGCATTTGAAAATTCTATTTTTACGACAGCTTGAAACGATGTTCTAAACTTGTCCTTCAAAAATTTTAATTTAGTATTCCAGTTTAATTTAAAAAGAAATGAAGATAATTCACAATGGACTTAAACAACACGTCGAACTTTAAAAAAAATAAAGGAAATCTACCATGAAAATTTTATCACTCTTATTCATTGTTAATTGATAATTAAAAAAGGGCATCCTACATTTGGTAACAAAAATAATTATTTTGATCTGATCAGTTTTCTAATGGAAACGAGTTATAACGTTGATGTCAAAAATTCATTTGAGAGCTCCGCTCTTTATAGATCTATCATTTGCTCAACTTCTATGCAAGTACAAAAATGTTAAAAACGTAAAATAAGAAAAATGTCGGTATTGAGACTAAGGATGGTGAGATTAATAAATCAAGTAATCAAATTATATGAATTACAACAATGTTGTTTATTCATTTTTTCATACAAAAAATACTTTACCTACTGACAAACATCCATTCTCATAATAACGTAATAAATTTCTTTTTAACATGATTAATCAACTTTTTCGAACACATTTGTGTTGAAATAAAGAGCGTAAAGTTTCTTCATATATAAATTATAACACAATTACAATTTCAATGATAGTCACATTAAGTACATCATTTTTTTTTTATTTTAACGTGAGTACGAAAATAGATGCTTAGCGACTAAACCTTTATCTTCGTTCTCATGATGAAATATTTACCTACCTAGTGTGTGCTAAAGAAATTTGATGTTTAAGTTGGGTATTCAAATTCATACAAAAATTGTTTTGTTGACGTAAATATTACGTTACTATCTAATGTTTTCAAAAGCTTATCTCAGTCATAGGATATATAAAATATAATTGGAATGCTAGCAAATGTAAAAACATTTCTCCGTGTTTGAATTTGCCGCGCATCTACAATTTCATAAGTTTCTGTAGCTATAAGTTCTTGGAAAATATAAATTTTTCACTTTCTTATCCTTTTTTAAAAGTTAAATTTACTAATCCCATTTTACATCATCATTTACGATTCTAAATCATACATTGAAAATTTACCTTCATTGCCTTCTTTAATTAACTTATTATACAATTCCACATGGTATTATATATTCATAATCGTATATTAAAAATCTAATTGCTCTTCTGTTGGCAATAATTAAATTATCGAACAGGAATCTCAATTGAATAACGTTATTCTTTACTTAATAGTTCGTGTTATCTAACTTGACAATTAGACATGTTTTATATTATTGTTTCGATTAGTTTTTATAAAATGAGTCTTAAAATCTCACATGGGAACTTTCTTATGCTTTTAACCCAAAAAATCTTTGTTAATAATGTTTATTCGGTATAAAAATTAATAAGTCACGGATTCGGTTCGTTTCACCATCGAGGACTAGTTTGACGGAAGTTCCATTGATGGTATGCGTTGTTCATATCGCATGGCATAAGCGATAAGTGATGAGTCTGAGGATGAACAGCTATGCACTTTTTGTGCACACGATGTAATAACGTCTTCGATTTCTATTGAAAAACATTATTATTTTCAAAATATTTCCAGTTTTTATTGACTATAAATAACATTTTTAAGATATATTACAAACCTCATCATATTGCCAAGGTCCATCTACAGTTCCCATTCTGCAAAATGCTAATTTGACACCTTGGCCATCAGCCTCAACACATCTTTCACCAACTCCGAGCTGTCCCTTAGCATTTAATCTCATTAGCTGAAAAAAATAAGAGATCTCATTAAAGTATGGCTCAATACTTCTGTCAAGAAAAGCAACAAGAACTTAATTTACTTGGTTGTTTCCAAATCCGTGACAGTGAGATATGGACATTAGATTCGGTGGCGAATGTCCCATGGTATCAAGGCACAAACTAGTAGCTGCATTTCGCAGCTGGTAGCAACAAAAATTGTATAAAAGTTTATTACTTTTTCAATTCAATTACTAATGTAAAATCTTAATATAAATCAATTATTACCTCTCCCCAATGAATATTTGGAGGCAATTCGGGAAATTTATCTTGTACATCATAAGCAACATTATCCATGAACCATTGGAAACTCTTGCAGTGTTTTCTTCTTTTAAATTCTAACTGCTCAGTAATGTCTCCATGATCAAGTAACCTTGCAAGAGGTTCCCTTGCATAGAAAAATTCTTTATGTTTATCGTCAAACCAAGTTTCAATGACGCGTTTGTAATTCTGTAATTATTGTTGAATTTAATGGTAAGAAATCATGACACAGTAACAAAGATTGACTAGTTCAACTCACAATGGTAATTAGTGGTCCCTTTTTCTTCTGGCCAAGCTTGCCAAAGTTATACGGCATGAATCCTCGGTAAACATGACCAACGTGAGAACATGGCACCCAAAGAATACTACCGCCACACTGCCAAATTTTAAACGATAGTTCAAAGTTTTCACCACCCCAAACTAATAATCCTTCATCGTATCCTCCAAGAGATAAAAAGTATTCACGATTTATGGCAAAAAGACCTCCTGCATGAGTTGGTGATCTAGGAAGCGTAGAAAAATTTATTTATTATTTATTAAGTATTGCAGTAATTTATATCATGAGCCACGAAAAAAAACCAATGTTATCAATCTTACCAAAGAAACATTTACAAAGTAAAAGATACCAATACAGATAAAAAATTTTTTTATCTATATTGATTATTTAATAATACAGAAAAGATAAAAATGAAAGGTTGACAAAGAAAATATAGGTAAGGAATATTTTGCTTTTTATAATTTTTTTCTAACTACAACATGAAAAAATGTATACCTGTATGGTTCACTATTAAATTTTCTAGTTTTTGCTTCTCTAAGTGGTAACTCGTTTTCTTTATAAAGCATGCCCCATTCAAATATCCCTCGATAGAGATGACCTTCTTGGTATACCGTTCTATATTCAAAAGTTTTGTGATCAATTCCATCAATTATAGGAACTGTCATAACGTTACTGAAAAAAAAAAATTAAAGCTTTTATTGTACAATAATAAAATAATATATATAATTTTCAAAATTTCTACCTGTTTTCAGCTATTGGAGCAAGAAGTGGTGGAAGCCAATTAATATTGACTTCACAATGAGCATCTAAAAAGACAATAACTTCACCTTTGGCTTCTCTAGCCCCTCTAGATCTTGTACGAATTAGTCCTTCTCTTTCATTATTTCTCAACAGTCTAACTTTTCCTCCCCAGTGCTCAATGTATGATTCCAAATCTCCTTTCAGATTTTCTAAAAAACGTCATTTATTAATGTAATTACATATTCTAACAATAGTAAGGCTTTTCAGTATAAAATGAATCTAAAACCTTTATCAGAGAAATCATCCACTAGGAGAACTTCTTGGAGGAACTGCGGTGGTGTTCTATTAATAACACTGTGAACAGTCCTCATTAAAACTGACCAACCCTCATTGTGAAAAACTATTATAACACTTGTTTTAGGTAAGTCTTCAGGATATTGCCAATGTTTACACCTAATAATAAATAAAAATATTAAATAATTGTATATAAAATCACATTAAAAATATATATTCCATTTCATTCATAATACACACTCTTGTGGTCGCACATCTGGTATATTCCTGTCTAATGATATTTCATCTGAACACACAATATTCATACCATAATTCGATTCAGATTCTTGAACATCATTTTGTTGATCGTCTCTTAATATGTGTGCTTTACCGCCTTCACCCGGACCATTCTTATATACTATTTTAGGCTCAAAGTTTCCTAAATCACTCACCATTATAGGCTTCAAATTCTAAAAGTTAATTTGAAATTAGTTTGAAATTGTCCAAAAAGTGTAACATAATTTAAAGCATATTACAGACCATATGACTCTTTAAGCTTTTAGGCCAATATTTTTCAACGCTCCCATGTGGCATACCAAACATATAAAAAAGAAAAAGCAAACATGTCACTACTAGAAGTAGCAAGTGGAACATTCGGTTCCTTCTCAGCTGCACAATTCGCATCTTGATGGTTCTGAAGCAAAGCTGTAAAAAACAACAAACAAAACTTTGATCATAAACGATATTATTGGATAAAATCGACTCTCTCGTACTTTCATATAGCAAAACATGTTATTTAGATGTATGAAAATTAATTAAAACACTGTAGATCAAATCAACATAGCACTACGTTAAATTACGAAGGTGCATATATAACTACAAATTTAATTAGATAAAGCCTTTCATATTCAATAATATAACTGATGAATACAAAAGGCACTTGTAGCTGTATCTTGTACTATCATTATGATACTTAAATGAGAAAAAGATAATACACTTACCTATGGTATCATAAAACTCCAAAATAAAAAATACTACACCGCAGGTTACACAATCTCGCGAGTAGCTCCCGACATTCCCTTCACTATACGATGAGAAAGGGTTTTATTTAAAGCACAGCATGCCGCCAACAGAGTGTTAATAATTTTCCAGTGTTTTTTGAATTAATTACAGCTAGGCAAATGGTGAAAAGTCAACGTGTCGCTCAACGCAACCACCGCGACTATAGCGGGAATCAGTCGTATTATCTCGCCTCGCTCTCTCATCCTTTCTCTTGCTTGTTTCGACCGAAAGGTGTATACGTATTGTGCTGATTCAGGTGACTTGATGGCGATGCGCTGCAGGTGTGTTGGCATTGGCATTTTGCCACTTGTATTCTGTTTCTGCTGACCTTTTCACACGCGTACCGTGCGGCAAATGTGTTATATGAGAGAATAACTGTAGTATTAATTCTGCAATTGATATGTTGCTTTCGTGTTTCTATTTATTATAAAAAATTAATTATTTACATTTTTTTAAAGCTACTATTTGAACGCTGTTGATTATATTAATTTTTTTGTTACTGCTTATGTTATATTACTTAAAAAACACGTGTTGAACTAATCGTAAATCCCGCTTCTTTCGGATTCAAATTCCAAGTAATAAGAAATTAATTAACAAATTACTTTGAATTTGGTGCTTGTCAGATTATGATTTTTGACAATCACATTACAGAAAATGGTGATGGGGTCAGTACGCAAGCGCAGAAACAATGTTGTTTACTTGTTTTCCAAAGCTGTTGGCCATGTGGTTTGTGGATTTGAAACGCAACAATTTGACATTTACTGATTGATGATTCATAAAAAATCAAAATATTTTTTAAACAGATATCTGTACTTTTAATTTCTTTATTTAGAACCTTCTCTAGGTGCAATGGTGAGTTAAGAATCGGATTGTTTGAAAAACGAATGAAATACCAACATTTGAGGTTATATTATGATTTTTTATTATTACACTTTTTTTCACTTTAATTACAATATTCAGGGCAAGACAAAGAAAACTCGAAAAGTTGTGATGCAAAGATTTGCTCAAATGAAAAAAATGATTAGTCCCAGTGATCCTCGAATGTAAGTAGCAATAAATAGAAAAACCTATTTATAAACTGTAAAATATTTTTGCAAGTGACATCCCTTAATAATTGAAGTTGCTCATTTTCATATTATTATACATTTAAATTGTAGAAAAGCTGAAAAACGAGCTCCACCCAAAAAGCAAAAGACTGAAGACCCTACAGAACTGAAGGTAAAGGAAGTGTAAGTTCACTTAATTGATATAGTAATAATATGTAACATCCTTCGGAACTTAATATATAAATATACTTATATCTATATTTTTAGACCTCAGCAATCTTCAGCCTTGTTCTTCCAATATAATGAACAATTAGGACCTCCTTATCACATCTTGGTGGATACAAATTTCATCAATTTTTCAGTTAAAAATAAGCTGGATATTGTGCAAAATATGATGGAGTGTTTATATTCAAAGTGTATTCCATATATTACAGACTGTGTAATGGGTGAATTAGAAAAGCTAGGTCAAAAGTACAAAGTTGCCTTGAAAATTGTCAAGGATAAAGCATTTGAAAGACTACCTTGCATGCATAAGGGTACATATGCTGATGACTGCATTGTCAACAGAGTAACACAGGTAAGTTTAATCATACAAATTACTCATAACAAATTTCTAAATCATTCAAAAATCATTCTAAATAATTAAAAAAAACTTTGGTTAAAAGATGTTTTACTTTATACTATAAAATCAAATTGAAAATATAATTACAAAATTACATTTTTGAAACATTTACAAGTGTAGAGAAATTCAATGCTAATAGTCTATTTTTAGATGATTTTTAATTTCATTGACTTTAAATCTGCTCAATAAATCAACCCATTTTCATTTAATTTCATTGCCTATCCAACAGAAATATTGTCAACGAAATAATATTGAAAGTTATAAATTTTGTCTATTTAAAACAATTGATTCAGTGCAGTGAATATATTTTGTATTAAATTATTCTTTCACACGGAACCTATCGTGATCATTGAGAGTTTTTTATAATCCAACACTTTTGAAAAATTCCGCATGCATAAAGTAACAAGGATTCCGAAAAATCCAGTAAAAAATTAATTATGCGTTCTTTGATATTCGCGTACAACGTCGAAACATTATTCGCGATATTGCAAATTTATGACGAAGAAAAAGAAAAAAGAAGAAAGTAGTAAGTGGGGGACGGTTTACCTACATCAAAAACGTTCGGTCAATTAATACCATCAGGCCACCAAGAAAGAAATGAAAAAAAAAAATCGATCTGTTTCAGCACAAGTGTTACATAGTGGCAACGAACGATAAAGATCTAAAGCGTCGTATCCGCAAGATACCAGGTGTACCCATCATGTACGTCTCGCAGCATCGCTACACGATCGAGCGTATGCCAGACGCATATGGAGCACCAAAAACTTAAAGAACGAACGTGAAAAAGCTGAAGAAGAAAAAGATGACCGTCACAGACAACAAATGTATAGAATTTGGATCGAGTGAGAGCCGAACTTCTATGAGAATGAGAATGAAAAAGAGAACAGGTTGAGGCCTGCAGGCCATTTAGGAAATTCCGAATAAAATTGTCCCGGGCGTTATTTATTATCGCAAGAGGGAGCAGCACAGCGCAACACAGAGAGCAAGCGCGCGCGAATATAATCTCTTGACCCGCGGCGACACCGAAGACGAAGCGAGAAGGTTGAAGCGTTTCGCGTACGAGAAAGAGAGAAGACGCACTCTCACGCCGCGAGTACTAAAGTACTGTACTTTTGTTTGAGTGTTTTGCTTCTTGGCTCGAGCCTGCGCGCCAAGAGCAAGGAGAGCCAAGCGCATCTAAATACTCGACAAAGGTCTCTTTCTTTCTCTCTCATTCGCAAGCTGCAAGATCCTCGGGAAAAGTAGTTAGGCTGCCGGCGCTCTCTTCCTTTTCTCTCTCTCTCTCTCTCTCTCTCTTCTTTCCCGTCTCCGCACTTTTGTGTGTGTATACGCGAAACGAATTTTATGCGAGGTCTGCCTATGAAACGCGCTCTTTATGGATTATTCGGAAATCTGTATGCATTAGAGTTTCCAACCAATAACAACTACGTGTCTTTTTTCTTTTTTCTTTTTTCTTCTTCAACTGTTTCCGCTCGATTGTCCATTTTTTTTTCATTATTACGTATATTGATTTGTATTGTACAGTACGAATGTGAAAATAGATTATGTATAATGTTTTTTTTTATTTTTAAGGCTAATAAATACAATTTATAAATTAATTCAATTACATTCATTTACTATCCATTGCTCATCCGTGACTTGATGTTTATAGAACGCGCGAGCGTACGCGTGCACGTGTGTGGTGGGTGTACCTATTAAACAGGTGTTTACTATGCTTCTTACTCCGCTGTATTCAAATAGAAACTTCATTTTTCAATTATTCGGTTTTTTTAGATTCACATACACGCACATCTCTGTAAATTCTCCGCCCGGCAAGGTTCCTTGGAATTTCTTGATCGCTGCTTCATTTCACGGACAATTTTGATCGATGCATATTCATACGCTTTTAACGTTTTTCTTCAATATTTTTCACTCGTCCACACGAGAATACGAATATTATACTCTCCTATGGTAGGAAAAAAGAAGCAATCTAGTTAGATTTATCACTGCGCATAGGCTGAAATCGTATGCAAGTATCATGAACGATAAATGAATTATTCAGTACGGACTTTTACAAACATAAGTTCACGTGAGTTATCAGCGGTTTCATCCTGTTTACCGATTATCTACGCTCTAGTATTTTATTATTGCGCGCCTTTATGTTATCTCGCGTGTGTAGTGTATAGCAGTTCGATGCTAAATAAAATTGATTACAAATAAAAATGATGTTATTTAACGTCTATCTTCGTTCGATACAATAGAGGAAAGAAATTAAATTATTTTCAACGCACTTTAAAAATTTAAAATAAAAACATTGTAACCAAACATACAAATTAATTACACATCAGTTCTCCGCTCAAAGTTTTTTTGCAAAGTACTGTAATCACAAAAAAATACTATTCTCAGAACATTTATCGTCACACATTATCGGCTATAACGCAGCAGCAACGGCACGTATAAATATAGCAGAACAATTTGCACAAACAGGGATAGTGTGCGTTTCATTAAGTCCGAAAAGTGTACGTTTCTCGCAAGAGAGTACTGCGGTGTGTGCGTGTGTCGAACCAGTTGACAACGTACGAGCTTTATATGCGTGCGTGTGCGAGAATTAATTTCGACAATCTTGCGGTTGTCACGCAAAAAGGTCTGCTCGCTCACGTCCATTCCGGACGTAATTGACGAGGTCCCCTTAATGAAGACAAAGCTCCAAAACTCTCTCTTTTTCGCATCATTTCCTCGCAACGTTCCGATATTTAACTCACACTTAGGGGGAAAAAAAGAGAACGAGGCTGGTGGAAGGAAAAACCATGGCAGGTCGAAAAATATTCACCCCCTCATTATACGTGTTTCCCAGCCGCTGCCGCAGCGTCTTCGTAAATTATTTGATTCCGGCGGCAAGCAAGCAAGCAACAGTGGCGGTACGACGCCCGCGGGCTTTTAGTATATGCGATCGGTATCGCGCAAGGATCGCGCGCGCACACATACACACACACACGCGCGCACGCGCACACACACACACACAGAGTTTGTTCTCTAAGTCTTTTTTTAAATTTTTACTATCGTCCTTATTATTATGATCGTCATTATTATTGTTATTATCTCGTTTGGCTTTAAGCTCAAGAGTGAAAAAAGAAATGAAAAAAAGTACAAGAGATCGCGCAGATCGATCGCTGCCGGAGTTCGGGAAAGTCATGGGTAATTATACATGCGGGACGCGTCGGCCTCCCTCCGTACGAATATTTGAGACGCCAACATCCGATAATGATGATGATAATGGCTTCCTCCCCTCTCTCTCTTTCTCTCTCGATATCGCCCACTGATAATTTCATTACGCTGCGCCGATAGAGCGTTTTGAGCGTATAGCTTTGAGCAGATTTTTAATTTTTTTTCTTCAAAGCCGCGGTCGTTGGTCTTTGTCGAGAGGTATGTATGTATAATGCATATTTCGTGCAAAATTATTGGTTTTTTCGATTAAATCGAACGAAATATTTGCATGTAGCGCTGATTTGCCGACGATGATAAAAAAAAAACGAGGGTAGGATGCTCTCTACTATGTACCTTCGTTTTTTGGCTCTTTCTTTCGGCATAATTTCATGGCTAAATATACCAAACGCGAATAATTTAACAAAGCGTTTTGCGAGTTTCGTTTCGACGTAGCCGCCGCCGGAGCGAAGAAAAAATGCCAAGTATATTTTACGAAAATTTTCGGCGGCGCGTGTGTTCGTATTTTAATCGATGCAAAAGCTCGTGATGATAAATTGTTACTGATAACCCTACCTCCGCAATATCTCGTGCATAACTCTGGCTGGGATATAGCTGCTGGCGCAAAATTATTGAAAAGAAAAAAAATAAGTCCGAACGAATCATTTCCCGGCAGCGCTTCATATAATTACATACGTGTAACTGTTTAATTAACTTTTTTACTATAGACTACATCGTTTTGAGAATTTTCAGGCCGCTAGTTTTATACGTATTGTTGATGATAATTTGTTGCACACTTCATCCGAATTGCAGGAGACTTTAGCATTTATCATCAATTTTGATCAGAGCTGAACATCCGGCAAATGATGCAATTTAATTTAAAGAGCTTAAAGTAATTCTAATTTGAAAATACATTCTAGAACGACATTTGTGTTAAATAGAAGCGTATTTGGAACTTAAAAAGGAAGATAACCATTGTGATGTTATAATTATACAAAAATCAAGTGGACAACTAACGAAAATTAGTTAACAATTATAGCTTTGTTTTTGATGCTACGTTTGATTTTCAATTCAGTAAGTGTAAAAATCATTCAAATGAATGTATCAGCACATATTTTTTGTACTAATCTACTCGAAACTAATTAAAATTGTCATCGTTATCTGTCTAAAATATCAGCTTCAAATAAATAAGACTCACGGGTATAAAAACAGTAGCTTTGTAAGACATATAATTGAGATTTTAGAACTTGTAAGAAAGAAAATTGAATTCGCATGCAGTCAGTCACACTATATGTTTTGATAACGTATTAAAAATCAGTATATTATTCGCAGCTTTTGAACGAATAATACACAACCTTAAATTTTTATAAAAAAAATGCCAAGCGAGCGTTTAATAATTCAGTGTTGTTCAAAAAACTACATTAAAAATTCAACAGTTCGCAAAAAATAAAAAAGAAAATCTCAATTTATCATCAGAAAGACAGAGAGAGAGAGAGAGAGAGAGAGAGAGAGAGAGAGAGAGAGAGAGAGAGAGAGAGAGAGAGAGAGAGAAAGAGAGAGCTCTAATGTATTCAGCAACACGTTATGCACCTGCAATCATTCCTCTCTCTCTCTCTCTCTCTCTCAGGAAGAGCAGCAGCAAAAGAACGATGATCGACATTTTCCCGTAGCAGGACAATTAAGGGCGACGAATAATATAAATTAAAATCTGCATCGCGCACGCGGCAGCAGCAGCAGTCTCTTTCGCGTCGTGCCCATTAAAAAAACTTCTCAATAAACACGCACGCTCATGCATATACACAGGTCCTCTCTCCCTCTCTCTCTGTCTCTCGTCGTTCCCTTAAGACTTTCGGACGGCATTAATTACCTTCTGAAGTTGCTTCGCGTACATACACTCACACTCGCATGCGCGCGTGCGTTCGTTCTCAACCCCACCTTCTTTTTGCCCGAAATGAAGTGCAAACACACAAATCCCTTGGGTCCCGCGCATGCAGCCGAAACTCCGCGCGCACAGCGTGTGCACGCAAGCCTAAAAACGCACTCTAATTCGCGTGTGTGCACGGGACAGAGAGAGAGAGAGTGCGAATCTAAAATCCATGGGGCACTCAATCACACTTGGCGATCATGCCGGTAGCGAGAATCCCCGAAAAAAGGCCGGCCCATTAATCAGCCGAAAACACCTAATAACCGGCCTTCCATTCCCGTAAACCTCAAGTACCCACGCGTTCTCTCTCGCTCTCCCTCCGTCACAGCAGTCGCTGCTGCTGCATTAAATCGCATATATGTGCAGCCCAGCAGAAACGAGAGAGAGAGAGAGAGAGAGAGAGAGAGAGAGAAAGAGAGAGAGGCGATCGGCAACGCGGATTAGCGCACAGCCTCACCCCCTCCCTCTGTGCTCCGTGCTCCTTCCCTTCGTGCAGTTACTTCTCTCTCTCTCTCTCTCTCTCTCTCTCTCTCTCTCTCTCTCTCTCTCGTCCAACGTGACACCGACGATTTTCTTCTCAGCTATATACGTCTTCTCTCCCGTGCGTGAACTGTTTGTTCCATTATTGCCAAGCCCTTCGCGAATCATATTTATACGTACACACTCTACTCTCACGCGCGCACGCGTGCGCGCGTGCATACACACGCGTATTAAGCCTTTCTCGTTTTCTATTCTCTTCTTTCGTAGTCTGCGAGAGAGCACACTCTTTTGTGCTCGTATTCTCCTTATTTGTTACTTCAGTCTGTCATCTCTCTCTCTAAGCTCTCCGTGGCGCGAGCTTACACGTACTATATATATATGTATATATATGTGTATATATATATATAAGAGCAGAGCGCGTGAGGGGAGAAGTATACTACACGTGAGAGCATAGAAGAACTGAACCCCTCTCTTTTCTTGCCGATCGGCTGGCGGCGGCCATCTTGCATACCTCAGTCCGCTGCATTGCTCGCGCTCTCTCTCTCTCTCTCTCTCTCCTCGAGGGCAAAAGGTATAGAAGAGAGAATATCTCCGGCGCGGCGTGCGAGAGAAGGAGGGAAGGAGAGACGGAGAGTAGGGCCCAAACATCGAACCGAGCGAGACAAAAAACCGTATGAGGCAGAGAGTGCGAGTGAGAGAAAGAGAGACAGAGAGGAGGAGAGGGAAGAAAGAATGAGGGAGCGATAAAGAGACCTGCCGGCACAGGTGAGAGAGAGCGAGCAAACGCAATGCCCCTTGGGCCCGATAGATCGGAGAGAGACGCCGTCAGCTTGCCTCAAGAATGCTTTTCCCCTCCCTCCCCCCTCTCTTTTGCCGAGTAGCGCTGCTGTTGCTGTTGGTGCTGCTGCTACTTCTGTGGGACCGGTGTATGTGTGTCTGCCCGCTGTTTTCCTCAGTCGACTCGGGTCAGTCCTCGAAGGAAGGCCTTTCTTAAATTCGCGTGGGAGACTTATTAGCCTTACGGACGTCGCGTCCACCATTAATCCGCGAGCACACGCACTCGTACACGTACATTTAGCCATTATCCAGGTCGATTTAAGTCGCTTTAGCAGCCCGTTTCGAGTGTGCGCGGGTACGTATAATTGTATGTTGGGCGTGCATCGACGGGACATGCGTTTTCAAATGCACAACTCGTCCAAAAGAAAACACACCATTTCTCTTGAAGAGACATAGAGAGAAGAATCAACGCGATCCGCGTGTTGCATACATATATACAGAGTAGCCGCGACGACCCAATTGCCTCGAGTGACAAGTGCATTATCGGGAGTATAGAAAGAGAGTGAGAAGAATTGGCTGTGCAAAAGAGACTTGTGTTGGCGCGCGAGGCGCGCCGGTCACTGGCCCCCACGGCTTCTTCGAAGCAGAAGATTTCCATCTTGTGTATGTGTGTAGAGAGTTTCTCGTGCGCGCGCGCGAGATCAAGAGAGAGAGGGAGAGCAAGCACCAGTATATTGCAACAGCAAGCAGCACAAGGGGTTCGTTCGATTCGAATCTCTTTTGCCAGTAGCGAGAGAGAGAGAGAGAGAGAGAGAGAGAGAGAGAGAGAGAGAGAGAGCGATCGATCGATCGATCGCACAGTGCTCTTATTGGCACCTATATACGCATGACAATTAAGATGCTGCATCTACGGTGCGAGCGTGCATCCGAGGGAGGCACGATCACGTGAATCTCGCAATTCCTTATCTAAGTTAAAGGGGAACGAGTTGGTGGAGGAGGATGAGGAAACACTGCGACAGGTAGCAGATAGTCAAGAAACGAGAGTGTAGTGTGAGTGTGTTGTGCACTATGTTACGTTTGACCTTAGGCCTAGTATGTCTACTGGGCCTAATAGCCCAGCAACGGCATAATCATGGTCATGCCGCAGAGATATTACAAGCGCGATTGGTGCCACGACGCTCGATCGTGTTACCACCGCCACCCCAAGAAATACCATTGGCAATGCAGAGTCGAGCGGTCGACAAGAGAGCACAATTCGAGGTCAAAGAGGGCTTGTCAAAGGGCAGCTTGGTCGGTAGAATACCAGTGCTGGAGGGTTTCACTTATCGCTTCAACGAGTTGCCTAAGGAGTTCAGCTTGGATCCGGTCAGCGGTGAGATCAAGACGGCGATGCTGCTTGACCGAGAGGCATTAACAAGCGATCGCTTTGACTTTGTGGTGCTGTCGAGTCAGCCGACCTACCCGATCGAGGTAAGGATTCACGTACTCGACGTCAACGACAACGCACCCGAGTTTCCTGAATCAAGTATCGCGGTGAGTTTCTCCGAATCCGCCGAAGCTGGTACCAAGCTACTTCTCGATACTGCCACGGATAAAGATACAGCGGAGAATGGGGTCAATGACGACTATGTTATCGTTAATGGCAATACCGATCGCAAGTTTCGACTCTCGGTCACGGCTAATCCAAGTGGTGAGACCTCTTATCTGCACCTCGAGACTACGGCCAAGTTAGATCGCGAGCAAGTCGAGTACTACTACTTGAATGTGTGTGCGAAAGACAGAGGTAAACCACCGAGATTAGGTTGCCTATTGGTGAACGTTACGGTACTCGACGTTAACGACAATCCACCGGTTTTCCAGCAGAGCGATTACGTTGTCGCGGTCAACGAGAGTGCGTCGATTGGTACTCACGTGCTTACAGTTCGTGCAATCGACAAGGATATCGACGACAATGCTAAGTTGAGTTACTATCTACCGGAGAATGAGAGACAATTTACCATTGACGCTGAAACTGGTGAGATATTAACGGCCGAAATGTTGGACTGCCCTCAGCAGAGTTGTCAACAAACTCGTCCTGGTGGTGGATGTCCAAAAAGCTGTGTGATTACTGTATTAGCGAGAGATTATGGTTCGCCTCGGCAAGATGCAAGGACTTACGTAACGGTTAACCTCGTCGATGCTAATGACCACGATCCCGAAATCAAGTTCACCTACTTTCCGCCCACCACTGGATTTGCAACCGTCGATGAGAATGCGGCCAAGGATTCGATCGTCGCTGCTGTTGGTATTATTGACAACGACGAAGGCTTGAACGGTGACACAACCGTGGAGATAAAAGCTGGCAATGAATTAGGTCATTTCCAGCTAGCTTACAACACTGAGAGCTTTCATATTGTAAGGGTCAATGGGCGACTGGATCGCGAGGAAATTCCCACCTATAATTTGACCATCATCGCCACTGACAAAGGTACGCCGCCCAGATCGACCACGGCTTACCTCGTCATCCACGTTAATGATGTCAACGATCACGAGCCCGCGTTTCAACAGAGCGAGTACTCGGCGGTATTGTCCGAGCTTTCGCCGATCGGTAGTTTCGTCGCCAGTATCACAGCTACCGATGCGGATACTGGACTAAACGCACGAATTTACTACGACTTTGAGAGCGGTAATAATCAGAATTGGTTCGTCATTGATCAAGATACCGGTTTAGTTACCACGAAAGCGCAACTAGATCGCGAGATACAAGGCAGCGTAGAGCTTAAGGTAACAGCTCGCGACGGTGGTCCAAATCCCAAGTACGTATCCACTCATCTGCGCGTCACGATTCTCGATGAAAATGACGAGGCGCCGAAATTTTCGCAGAACGTCGTTCAAGTTACCTTATCGGAAAATACACCGGCTAATAGTTTAGTAGCTACGCTGTCTGCAGTGGATAACGATCAGGGTACTAATGGAAGTGTAGCTTATAGTCTGCATCCTAATGTGTTGAGAGATTATCCAAAGACGTTTGCACTGGATGCGTTGACTGGTCAACTGATGACAAAAATAAGTATGGATCGTGAGAAGGTCGAGGAATATCGGGTCGCGGTGATCGCCAGAGATCAAGGTACTCCACCACAAAGTTCTACTGCCACGGTAATGTTGTCCCTCGAGGATGTCAATGATAATCCACCAACATTCTATCCGACAAGTTATTTTTTCAAGCTGACTGAAGATGCTAGTATAGGTACGATGGTTGGTAAAGTTCTAGCTACCGATGCAGATACTAAGGAGAACGCACAAATCAGATACTCGCTAGAATCTGGTGGTGAAGGATTGTTCGCAGTAGATGAAAGAACCGGTGAGATCTTTCTTCAAGGTTCGATGAAGCAAGCGCATAAACATCTATTTGAATTGATAATATCTGCCAAAGACACCGGTGACAGGTCAGCTATGAAGAACGCGTTCGTTGAAATTGCACGTGAGGAAAGCTTGGAGTCACTGGAATTCGGCGCTTCTAACGGTTATCACTATAATATCACGGAGAACCGAGGCGATTGCAGCGAGCGTACGTCTTACGACAGAGAAGTTGGCACGGTACAAGTAACAAATCACCAAACTGGGAGCACAAAAGTCAGTTACGCCATAGTGTACGGCGACCCGACGGGTAGCTTTAAGATAAACGAATTCACGGGATCAATAAGCACCGCCGGTTGCCTCGATCGCGAGTTAACATCCTATTATAGCCTGCAGGTTGTTGCTCGAGTCAGCCTTGCTCACGCGGTCACGAGCGTGAACATCACGATCGTCGATATTAATGATAATCCACCAAGGTTCCCCACCGAGGAGCGTGAGGAGGAAGTTTATCTCAAAGAATACGCTGCGGTTGGCCAAGAAGTATGTTTGGCACGGGCCCGTGACAGAGATACCGGTGCTAACGCACGTATTAGTTACTCGCTCACGCAAAATCCCAACAAACAATTTCGCATCGCCGAGAATTCCGGGATTATCTATCTGGACAAACCGATCAAGTCACCACCCGGTACTTTGTTACATCTTGAGGTGACAGCGATAGATTCGGGTCCTCAACCATTATCAGCAACACAACAGATTCGTGTGATCATCGAGGACGTTAACGACCATACTCCTGTATTCAGATTGACCAGTTACGAGACATCGTTGCCCGAGTCAACGCCTGTTAACGAACGATTCTTTGCCTTGATTGCATCGGACAATGATCTTGGTAATAACGGCAGAGTATTATACTCGATTAGTGAAGGTAACTGGGAAAATCGCTTTGGTATCTTTCCGGATGGTCAATTATATGTGAAAAACGTGCTGGATCACGAAGAACAGGACTACTACGCACTTGAGGTAACAGTCAAAGATCAGGGTAATCCACCTCGCAGTTCCACCGTTCCAGTAGTAGTTCATGTAATTGATGAGAACGACAATGCGCCGCAGTTCAGCAATTCTAGTTTTACCTTTCATCTTCGTGAAAATGAACTATCTGACACTTTTGTCGGTAAACTTCTAGCTAGCGATCGGGACGTTGATCGCAATGCCGATCTGACGTTCTCATTGAGTTCAACCCAACAGGATTTCGCCATTGATCCACGCAACGGGTTCATCAAGTCTCTACATCCTTTCGATCGAGAACATCTGGTGGCAACAACTGGTAACAACTTGATCGTCCTAGAGGCAAGCGTGATCGACAACGGTATGGTGCGGCTTTCGGACAAGGTAAAGGTCAGCGTATACATCAACGACGTGAACGACAATGCTCCGCAATTCAAGCGACTGCCATACAAGGTACAAGTGAGTGAGGGCGCAGCCGTGGGTACTCAATTGTTGCGAGTGTACACTCAGGACGCGGATGAGGGGCTGAACGGCGACGTGTTCTACTCGCTGGAGACCATGACAAATGATGAGCATCAGGAGGGGCAATTTACGATAGACGAGGCAACGGGACAGATCTCGCTGGCAAGGCGGCTCGATCGTGAGACACGAGACAATTACCATCTCACGGTCGTAGCGCATGACGCCGGATTAGAGAGCCGACTGTCCTCGAGCGCGATCGTGCACATCGAGGTACTCGACGAGAACGACAACATGCCCCGTTTTCAGGATAATAAGCCCAGGATCTCTGTACTAGAGAGCGCGCCTATCAGCGAACAGTTGCTTAGGTTCCAAGCGACTGATGATGACCTCGGTATCAATAGCGAACTTACCTATGGAATATCCGCTGGTAATAGACGAGATGCTTTTCACGTTGATCCAGTTAGCGGTGCTCTCTATCTTAGGCGACCGTTGGATTATGAGGAACAGGAGATTTATCATCTGAATATTACTTGTAGCGATGCTGGCCATCCGCGACTTAGCAGTGTCATTACACTGCAGGTGAACGTTGTCGATGTCAATGACAATCCACCTGTGTTTCCTAATACCGCGATTGTGCGACAAATTCTCGAAGGTATCCCGGTACACAGACCTGTTGTTACCGTCACTGCCGAAGATCCAGATTCCGGTGACAACGGGGTTGTCAGTTATACGATTGCTAGTCAAGAGCCTGATGATCAGAAACGTAGGTTTGGTATCAATCCAACAACTGGAGTTATCCACACTCTGTTACCAATCGATCGTGAGGAAATTGATACGTTTAAGTTGGTGGTCGTCGCAACAGATAATGCTAAACCAGTTTCCGCAAGATTAATTGCTGAAAAACAAGTGATTGTCATTGTTACCGACGTCAACGATAATGCTCCAATCTTTGTGAGCATGCCCTCAGCCATCTTACCAATCAAAAGTACCATCCCTTACCAACCTGGCAAACAAATCAAAGTGGCTCAACTGCAAGCACGTGATTTAGATTCCAGCACCAACGGCCTCGTCACTTACGAATTATTACGACTCGGTGCCAACTACTCGGACATGTTTCATATCCACCGCAATACCGGTGAATTAACCATGCGGCTACCACGTTCGCCAACAATCTTTGAGAAACTAACGAAGATGCAGGTTGGTGTACGTGCAACCGACGAAGCCGTACAAGCCGAAAGACGCTCGTCCGAAACATACGTGAGTTTGATTCTACCTGGTGAAGGTGATGATACACCAATTTGGGAACACGCTGGTGGCAAATTAGAAGGAAGCGTGTACGAGAACGAACCTGCGGGTGCCAGCATAATACGCGTGACCGCGCGTAGTCGTCGTTCGAACGAAGAACTCGAGTATTACGTGACTAACGTGACAGCTGGCGCGGGTGGTCCACAAGTCGATAAACTATTCGACGTTGAACCGAAGAGTGGAGTTTTAAGTACAACTGGTCCATTGGATAAAGAGGCTGGTGTCGAGTGGTACGAAGTGGAGATCTATGCTATCGTCAGCGGTGGTGGCAAAGCTAGTACATCGTCTACCAAGGTAAGAGCCTAAAAGTAACCCAGTTTATCTGTTGTGTGACGTCATAATTGTCTTGCCAATCTCGGCTTCGGTGTATATCGTTTATACTGAGCACATTGATTCTACGAATCAATCTCTCTTATGCGAGTGATTTATGCGCGCAAGTGTAGTTTTTGTAGTTTATCTACTGTAACGTACTATAAGAAGAGAGGCAGGGGGGAAAGTTCCGTGAGATTTGTGCCTCATAAATTCAACTCGACATGTCTTATTAGTCGCGAAATGCTACAATTCCCCTTACCTCCTGCTTTGCGTGTCGCCGCGCGAAACAATACGGTCTCTGGTGTACATAAGAGAGAGAGAGAGAGCGGAAAGGTTGCGTTTTTAATAAGTCGCTTCTCTCTCTCTCTCTGTCTCTCTCTCTCTCTCTCTCTCTCTCTCTCTCTCTCTCTCTCTCTCTTGCCCCGCGCGAGTTTAAAAGAAAGAGAACTCGAGTAAGCGAGAGAGAGAGAGAGAGAGAGAGAGAGAGAGAGAGAGAGAGAGAGAGAAAGAGAGAGACAGACAGGCAGAAGGGGGAGGGGGCAGGAGGCTGGGCTGAAGCGTCAAATTAAGTCATCAGAGGCGTGTGCGCGCGCAGGCACAACGGTGGCACTTCCCACGCGGTTTGCCTTTGCACATCCTCCTTCCGCTCGAAATCGCTATGCGTCGGGTAACGAACCGCGAGCTCCTTGCAGAAAGGTATTACACAATGACAGCTAAAATAACCGTGACAGATATGATAACGAACCGCGCCACGCGATCGAGTCGTGTATTGCGCGCTCCTTTTTTTCTTGTTTTTAATTGAGAGATGTTCCTATGCAGTTGCAGGATGACTATTAGAACTTGATTTGTAAAGTGTACACTATCCCTCGTTTATTTTTTACCGCATACCTATATACATGTACCTTATTTTCTTTTATTCGGATTTGTTAGCTTCGAGTCTTAATTCTTGATCGATGGCGATTGATTCTTTTTCCTTTCTTTTCATTCGCTTACGGGAGCCGATCGAGTTTTGATAGGAAGGTAGCAGCAGCACACACGTATCTTACACGAGAGAGAGAGAGAGAGAGAGAGAGAGAGAGAGAGAGAGAGAGAGAGAGAGAGAGAGAGAGAGAGAGAGAGAGAGAGAGAGAGAGAGAAAAAACAGGAGAAAGAGCAGGAGTCCCTAGAGTTTTATCGTCATAAGCTATTTCTGGACTTGAACTTTTCGTGTTGCGCGCGGGCTCTAACTTACGGTAATTAGCCGTTCTTTCTTTTCCTGAACAGTAATGCAAAAGAAAATGGGCATTTAATTCGTGGCGATAATTAACGACAACAGAGCGTCGAGAAAAAAGAAAAGGGAAGTCAAAGGCACGTATAGCTAACAAATAGGCAGTTTTGCGGGTGCTCGCGTTGCGATCTGCTGCTTTAAGTGTTATACCAATTTATCGCGCGCGATGCGGTGCGAGCAAAACCCAGTCTCTCATTTCAGTCGCCTGGCAATTTGAAAAGTTAAGCGTTTGTTGAAGCCAGGAAAAAAGCAGTCTCTCCCATGTCGAGTTCGCACTCGCAAGCTAAAAAGCTCCCGGTCGTCGAGAAATTTCAAAAAGCCGCGTATATAGGAGCAAAGAAGAAGTAGATCGCTCGTCGCCGTCGTCGTCTCGTCTGAGAGAGAAAAAGGGGGAGAGACACGCACGATGAAAAGCGAGAGAGAGAGAGAAATAAACAGACAGATAGAAGGGCAGCGCACACGAGAAGGAATATATACGAAAGAACGTCGAGCGACAGGAGACGAGAGAACCGCGTGCCAGGAAGTCAAGTCGCGAATAAGGGGGGGAGAGGAGAAAAACTTGATCTCGGCCAGTGGCTATACACAGCCGCCGCTCTGCTATTGCTGCGCTGCATCGTGCTACGTATATATAGTTAATTCCTTCGCGGCCGCCGCGCTTCGTTTCATGATCGTCCGACGTCGCTAATATTCTTTTTCAGCAGTTTTTCCCTTTAACTCCTTTAATTCGTATTATTAAACAATGCGTTCTCGATGCGCGCTTCAACATTTATTATTATTTTGGCTACAAAGCGAAAGTGCCGCTGCCGCAGCGTTAAATCATACCGAGAAAGGGGCACGAAAGGAACTTTTTAAAGGAATCCACTAAATATCAGCGAGGCAGGGAGTGAGAGATGGGAAAAAAGCAGAACGGCCTCGCAATAAACAAATAAACGCGATAATCGCGCGCATTCCCTCCCTACCTTCAAACATGCGACACATATTTCCTCTATCTCGCGCTAATCATCGACTTGCTCGCTCTCTTGTGGGATCTCTCTTGCGCGCAAAACGGTTTTTGCCGAGAGACAGAGAGGGAGATGCCATTGAATGCGAGAGCCATAAGTGGGCCTTTTTGTCGTGCGGCGTGGGACAGTGAAATATTCGGGGGATGAACGTACGTCTTTGAGTGACTGACTGACTGCCTTGTTTTTTTTTTTCTCCTTCGTCTCTTCTTTCGTCCTTCTTCTTTGTTTCGTTTGCGCGCCACAGTACATTTCTGCCGCGGAAGGATATATTTATAAAGCGACTAATTTTACGCTTTTTAAACGCTTTGCACAAAGAGATTATTTATCAAGATAAGCCGACGCGCAGGTTGCCACGATCAATTATTGCACAAAGCTTTTAAGAACATTATACGCCAACCTTTTTCTCGCGCAACGTAACGAGGCAACATTTCCACGAAACGGCAGCAGTGTATATATATTATATACGTCTCGTTACTCGATATTAATTTGGCTCATTATACATCGTCGCGGCTACTATCTCATCTGGAGCAAGTTTATTAATAATCGACTTTTGCGTCTCTCTCTCCATGTCTCTCCGGAGTTTGCTTTTTTTCTTCGCTTTCAAAAGCTTTTCTCACGCGCGCGATCGCGCCACGAATAGAAAGATCGCGCCAGTGAGACAACTTTGTTTCTCTCCGGCAATGCGCGCTAACGGTCTAATTGAATCGATGTTCGCGCGCGAGAGAGCGAGAGAGCGAGAGAGCGAGAGAGAGAGAGAACCTGTCGGCGAATAAATTATCCGTAAGGGAGCACACACGTGCGCGCGCGCGCGTTCCTCCTCTCTCCCGTTTCATCACTGTTCCTCATTTACCTTTCCGCGTGTGTACTTACCTACATTTCCTATACACGCGCTCGTCATATTTTACTTTTTGCGAGATAAAACACAGGCAGCTGCTACCGTGCACGTTTAATATTAGGCTCGTTATGTTCACTTAATTTCCATGCGCTTAATTACGAGAGCGGGATTGTTGCGTGAAATTTGAATGGATTGCAAAAAGGAACGCAAGCAAAATTCCAATGCGAAAGAGTTAATCGCTTGCGTCCAATGCATACGCATACGTATCTTTGCGATCCGCAAGGGACGTTGACATCTGCCGCGCGCGCTCTCTCTCTCTCTACTTTTTTAGCTGCTCTTCCCTCCGCGGCAACGCGAAATTTATTAATTTCAAACGTTAAAGCTCGCGAGGGCGCTTTTTTGCACGCGCGACGACGACTCCCGAAACTCTCTTCTTGCGCGCTCGCGTCCTCTTCAATTTCGATCACTCTGCCCGTCGCTCTTTTTGGCGACATTGAAAAATGAGCCCAAGATGATGACGATCATTATCGTCGGATATCGCGGACGACGATTTCTGAGCTTTGACTTTGACATGTTAAGAGGGGCAGCGAGGTTGGGGAGGGCGGGGGGAGTCAAGATATTCGACGATGCCGATTCAGCTATGATTGCCATCTTCGCATGATCATACTTCTGTCTCTCCTCTTCTGCTGGTCCTTTTGTTTTGCGTGTCTTCTTCGGCTTCTTCATTCCTCTCGACGTTTTGTCTCTTGTATATGCATTTGCTTCAAGGACTTTATACGCCAATGGAGTTATTATCCGGCGAAACGATCGCCGATGTATAATTTGCATAGACGGCAGTCGAAATCGAGACGAGATAGTGTCAATTCCGCGTGAAGTGTCTTGACGTTAATCGGAATTTTAAAAAATAAAAGAGTGAAATCGACGAAATAGACGTATAATATATTACGCGTCCAACCTTCAAAAAAAGAAAGTTCTTCAATTTAATATAATATTATATTTATCGATGTATTGCAAATCAGGTCATCTGAAAAATTTCAGAACGTAGCCCTTCGGTATAGACATATAAATGTTGCCGTCTCATCGTCGCTCGCATCACTCATACGTTGTTAACCGACTTTGTTTTTCTTCTCTCTCACTCTCTCGTTCGAGATGTCCGGTTTACCTTTCGTTTCGTTTTCTTTCTTTTAATTTCGAGTTCCGAGCTTGTCATTTTCCGAAAGTTTTTTTTTTCTTCTTCGACTTCGTTTCTCTCTGATTCGATCTTTGTGGTTTTATAATTGCCCCCCCCCCTTCCCCATCGTTTAAACAGGCGTTTGCCTGCTGTTTTACATGCTATGGATATCGTCACTAATACACATTTCGTTCGGTCATTGATATAGCTGCAATCTTTTTACTTTCTCGATTTGAAAATTTTTTAATATAGGCTCGATTTTTCTGCTCACAAAATCGAGCAAAGAAATCATGTCCTACTCGACGGTATCCTTTCTTGCATTGCGCGTCAAAAACCGCTATATATATATATATATATATATATATATATATATATATATATATATATATCGAAAACGCGAATCTCTCCTCTCTTTGTCTCTCTTTCTCTCTCTTCTGCTTTTTTTGTGTGTCCCGCGTGTGTGTTCACGTTTGAAATTAGCGTTATTAAGAGACTTGTTAAGGATAATGAAGTTGTAGGTGAGAAAGAGATTATCTCTTAACGTGTATATATATACATACATACTTTTTTTTAAAATATTTCTTACCTCACTTTCAAACGCAGCAGACGAAATTGTTTTTTTTTTCTTTTTGGCTAACGAGTCGGTGCTTATAATTTAACAAGATTTTTTATTTTTCTATTTTTTTTCAAAATGGCCTTCTCCTCAAT